CCGATGCGCCAGATTGGCCTTGTTCATCATCGCACATGTATGTGTGGAGCAATTATTCCAGTCGTCGTTCATCGCACCCAAAATATCAGAAAATATTCTGCAACCAATTAGTCGATAATTAATCTAAAAATCACGGCTGACAGTCGCGAATCTTACCGACGATTGTGCCAAAGGCTTAATAGCTTCAAAAACGTCAGAGTATAATCCAAAGTGATGCTCAAGCCATCCATTAACTTGGAGAAATCATTTGTGCCCAATTGCGTAAAAAAGTATGAATACTGAAAGTATTGTATGACGACGAGAGTGGCCATGTAAAAAAGCCAAAAAAACATTCTACACGAAAAGCCAGGCCACATGCCGATCAAGCAAAGGCCAAGTTTCAGCGAGGGGCTCACGGTGCTTGTTAACATAGCAGCTTGTGAATTCACATTGAAACGTTGACCGAGCCGTTTGCGTCGTCTTGTTCTAATGAAATGGATCTCGACTGTCAGGGGGAGGAGCGTTGCCATAAGGAAAATATAGGAAAGAGGTCTTTAAACTCTTGTCCATTCTCCATCCCCTCGCACACCGTTAGCAATTTCGCAGAGAGCTAAACTACCCCGTAGAAGAAATACAGGGTAGTGTGAGCATCGATCAATTGCAATTATGTATCTCGCGATACGACACGTCATGAAATAATAAACCAAATTACAATGATAGGCGATTACAGGTTTTTTTTCTCGTAATCAGAAAAAAGTACATGGGGAAAATATCATTGTCGACTCCTCTAGATGAACTGAGCGTAATAGTATTAAAAAAATTATAAATAATTTCCTTTCTTTAAACCCGCACTTATGACTCTCTGATATAAAAAAATACGGCTATAAGAAAAAAATTACATACTATGAGCAGATCTAAAAATTAAATTAAAAAAAAGCGACTGATTGATAAATGACATACAGCACAGTAATCAATCGCATTAGCAGGGATATTAATTTGTTGAATATTAGCCTGCAATTTGAAGGCAAAAAAATTTATGCAGAAAGATCAGATAATAAAAACGGGAATTATAAAGTAAAAAAAACTTTAATGTATAGTGATTAGGAACACTGTGTTATTATATACTACTTAAATGTTATATTATTATTGTGAATTATCTTTACCTTCTTTAAAAAAAAAGTTTGCAATAATTTATACTTGACGAGAAGAATTGGAAACAAACGTTGACATTTTCAAAGCACACGCACGTTACATATTTTCATTACAATTTTTTACTACAGAATGTATCGCAAAAAATTTATACTAATTTATTTATCTTATAAGTCAAATCTTAAAAGGATTAATATAAAAACTGTAATAAAAACATTCTAATAAAAAATTAATAGAATTGCTGAAAATAAAAGAAAATCTGCATGCTTATAATAATTATCTTTCTCTATGAATCTTTCTACAAATATACATACATCATTATTTTAGTCATTGATTTGACCATATAGTATATATCCATATATTCAACATAAATTAATTCAACTTTCAATACATCGCGTATAAAACTGAAATATATGAAGCCGAAGCTTTCATAACCTAAAAAATATCACGTAAAAATGAATATTAACAGAAATGTTCATTTGAAGTTTAAAAATAATCAACATGATCCACATATTAAATTTTTTAAATATATTAACTATTGTTGTATACACAACAACAATTGGCACTTGTTTGGCAATAATAACAAAACATATAATTAAGAAAAATATATTAACGTATTATTGTAAATAATAATTTATTATCAGAAAAAAACTCGACACAAAGTTCGAAGCAAAAAAACTTACGTTAGTGAAACCTTCCAATGTCAAATCCACGACTTTTCCAGCAGTAATTGTCAATCGTTTTTGAGATCGAAGAATTACAAATAACAAAATTCGACATTCGCTAATAGATAAATCATACCAAACCGTTTCATACGCTGCATCACCAATAGCCTTGCTCTGAAAAAAAAAATTGCTTGATACATGGAACTATAACATACGATACATAAGGACAAAATTCTCTATTTAGAAAAACACGATAATGTACAATATAGAATGGTATTTTTGCAATTTATTCTTATTTTCAAGATGCTATTCCGGCTCTGTTATTGGATTCCACTCCAATGTAACAGAAAAAATATTGTTAACAAAGCCATGCTTACCTTAGTGCTCAAATACTCGCCGGCAAAACAAAAAACAAAAGCTTCTATAGTCACTGCAAAATATGGAATAATGAATTGTACCAATATTCCGAATTTACTCGTCATGTTCATACCTAAAGACTGAAATATTAAATAATGTTTATAAATGGTATAAAATAATTGATATTAGAATTAGATCTGTATAAAAATGTTTTTTTAGTTATTATTTGATCATTATTATTATTGCCAAATAAATATTACATATAATAATAATATTACATTCGTCTCAAAATTGCATTTTGAATTAAATATTGAATATACTGACTTATCTTTATAGAAATAAGATAAAAAAATATTTTAATATACATATACATATATATATATAATTTTAACAAGACTTTAATTAGGCAAATTTTCAAAACGTATTTCTTTTTTTTAGGCAATATTAGATGACGGATAGTTTGGTTCTATGGTTGCTGAAGCAGTCTTACTCACTATTACGACCATGAATCCTAAAGCGCAAATAACAAAAGTATTCCATACAAACTGCAATAAAGCAACAAATGAAAAGAAACTTTCAATGTTTTTCGACAACGATATGATCTTCTGGTGTCTTACGACGAGCGATTTAGTGAGTACCGAGCTAGATTTGGTCATGGAAGGAATCGCTTTTAACTCTTGACACATAATATCGATTTGCCCACTTACGTGAAGTACCTCGAATAAAAACTAGGATTTTAGGCAAAATACAACAAATTCCATAAAAACTTTAATTTAAAAAACTCGAACTATATATAGGATAACTGTCCCTATTATTGTGCCTGTTTCTATCAGTGTGGAAAGTATTGGAGCTGAGACATTGTAAATACTATGATTATTGAAATAAATATAATTCAAAAAAATAATAATTTATATAATACATATATTAACTTAAACAATTAGCTTACATTTATTATCTGTTTAGTAACTATGTGTTAAAATAAGTCAAATGCGGTGATAGGCACAAATTGGGGGCACGTTAATAGAACCATCACCGCTTGGAAAACTTATTAATATAGGAAGAAAAACATGTTTCTCATTTTTTTAAAAAGTATTATAAAGTATTAACATATTTACATTAAAAAAATATAAGAAAAAAAATATGGAAAACCGATATTGATTTTAAATAAAATTAAAGCTACCATATTTAATAATTAATTCAGTAATAAGCAAATTGGTTTAACTATAGCTGCACTAATAAAGACAGTTACCTAGAGTATATTTTAAATAGCATTATGTTAATCTTACCACATATAAATCTATAGCTAAAAGTTAAAATTCAAATTTCTTTAACTTACCAACGTTAAAATTAAAGCATTTAACGTAGCTATTATGATCGCCGTTTCCAACACATGGAAAAACAATCCCAGGCCGACGAGCTCGTAAATGGGCGTTTTATAAACCTCGAACGGAAATTGTACCTGTATCGGAAACTTGCGAAACTGTCCGTTCTTAGAACGTGTACGTCCACGCACGTTACTATCAATAAAATATAGAAAAGTGGCAAGAGCGTTAACGGATATCATGGCATTGGAGCAACGATGCGCCAAATTAGCCTTGTCCATCATCATGCATTCACGTAAATTACTTTCGCTATCTTTCCAATCGTCATCCATCGCGATTAAAATATCCGCGAATATCCTACGATCGATCACCGATATCAGTGTCTTTTAAATAATTTCGAAACAATCACTGACCGAATAATCGCTAGTCTTACCGACGATTAAACCAGAAGCTGATCAACTTCAATATTGTCAGAGTGTAATCTAGAGTGAGGCCCAGACCGTCCATCAGCTTAGTAAGGTTGTTGAAATCGAGATGCGCGTAGACGTAGGAATACTGAAAGTACTGCATCACAACTAGAGTTGTCATATAAAAGAGCCAACAGAGCGTCCCGTATGAGACACCAGGCCATATACCGATCAAACCAAGACCCATCTTCAGTAACGGGCTCACGGTACTTCTCAACATAATAGTATGTAACGTCACATTGAACCATCACTCTGGAAAACCACACGCGTCGTCCCCTTCCAACGAGCTGAATAACGACTGTACGAGAAGTGATATCGCGAAGAAAACCCGACGATCGACTCCCTTAGTCTAGCCCCGTATAGTGTATTCCCCACTACAATGTCACAAGGGAGGTAGAACAATTTTACAGAATAAAACTACTATGTCGCGAGCAACGATCAACCGCAATTACGCATTTCACGGTATAAATTGAGCGATAAAGCAAGCTAAATTGCGATAATAAATCAACGATCGTATGATAAACGTTTCAGTGTGCAAAAAAAAAAAGATAAAAACGATCATTGGCGTAATTACACGGGTATATCTTCATACAAATAACCGTTTTTAAAAATGTAAGCGCATGTGTTCACCGTTGATAATTTCTTTACAAAAAGCATTGAAAAAAGTTCTTGTGTTTCTAATAGATCTAAAAAAATACAATATTTCCAAGACATAAGATATAAGAATTATACAATGTACAGCACATTGTCCCCAAGTAGTAGAATATTTACGAGTAAGGATATTTATCCGAACGAAGTGAAAAGGAGATGTCACAGATAACAATATTAAACGAAGACTGCATAGAACAGACATAACAAAGAGATGTATTTTTTATATAATATGCAAATTTTAACTTCTAATACAATATTATTATTTAAATACATATATACATATATATGTTCACACAATCCATTTTCGTCACTGTAACAAGTGTCTGTTGAAAAAGATCATAACAGGTTATCTACCACCAGCGCGGAACGTTTATTAAAACTTTGGACTCTCTAATTACACTTCTCCTGATTTAATACATAGCATGCAATACCGACATGTACGAAGCAGAAGCTTTCATGACCTAAAAATGATTTTGTTTAAAAGACACGAAAAAAGTGCGTCTACGTTACCGATATCTTACGCTCATAAACCCTTCTAAAGTCAGATCAAAAATTTTCCCTGCAGTGATTGTCAGTCGCTTTTGTGATCTCACCATTATTAACAACAAAATCCGACTATCGGATGGTACCATGTTGTACCAAAGAGACTCATATATTGCGTCGCCAATTGATTTACTCTAAAAAACGTGACACGAGTTCAAAAAGTGTGAATAGGTTTTTAAATTGTTTAAATACGATTATTACTAAATATGTAACAATCAATAAATTGATGACAAATTATGCACACTGTAGCTATGTTTCTACATCTTAATATAATTAATTTATTATTATTTACTGTTTTAGAACAAATGCATAAGAAGAAATGCATATTCTACTCATAAGAAACATTTCTTATGAATATTACATCGCACTTACCTTGGAGCTTAAGAATTCTCCTGCGTAGCAAAATACGAAGACTTCTAACGTTTTTGCGGTATAAAGAAATACAGACTTTATTAAAACCATTATGCCTTTATTACTACTGAGAGCCTGCGAAAGAAAGCAAATCATCTATCAGAAAATCGAAGCATTTGACATTGCTTACAACTATGATCATGAAACCGCAGAAGCAGATGATTAAAGTATTCCACAGGAGCTGCAGCAGCGCGATGAACGAAAATAGAGTTTCGATATCATTCGACAAAGTAATAATCTTTCGGTGTCTATGAATGAGATCACGAAGTACGGTTAAAGATGTACCAAGTTTATCGTTGCTGTGCACATCCATTATGGCTCGCCGCATGATGTCGACCTGACCGCCTACGTGAAGTATCTGTAAATATAAAACAATTGATATTATCTAAATTGATAAAAATATTGGTTCATAATCGAAATATGATAATTGTATAATTTGTTCATGCATGAATGTTACTAAGCACCAAGACCATTTTGACCGAAAATGGCTTTCTTCTTCTTTAGAATGAAAAAAATCTTTCATCCACATTTACAGAATATTTTTGCATCTGAAGTCGCGAAGAGAGATTTTGAAGTTTTTATTGAACAGTTGTGTACTTACCAATGTAGCGAGCAATGCATTTATCATACCAACGACAGGGGCTATCAACATTAAAAGAAAAATTTGCCCAAAAAGAATGCATTCAAAAATCGGCGATTCTGAGACCGCGAAAGAGAATTCCATTTTTACAGGGAATTCTCGTGAAACTTCGCTTTCAGTATTTATCGTGCGAAACATGTAAGCACCGACGGATAAGGAAAAGCCAGTCAGAAAATGGATACCGATTAGCACGATGGAATAACGATATGACTGATCCGCAATTGCCGTCATGATGGAATAAGAATCGCTGACAACACGATTGTCATTCCAGTCTCTATTCACTGCTGCCACGATATTATAGAATGTCCTGTAGACAGCGCATTATGTTATCGAACAACTGCACGCGTTAATCACAAAAACAGCTTTAAATGCTTCAAATATATAACTCTTTTTTATAGAAAATATTCGTATTTATTATTTAAAAAAATGGTTATACGTGTAAACGTTCTTAGCTAAAATAAATATTAATTGTATGCTAAAATCATACATCTCAAGCACATTTAATATAAAAAAGGAGGAAATAATAGAGATTAGGTAATGGAAATAAATTCTTGTTATACGTCTCGAAAAATTCCTAAACAACTAATATCGTCTAAAATTAAAGTAAAAATTACGTTAGAATGCTTTATTACATCAATATTGTACGTATACTAAAAAATCCATTTGTATTTCGTTTTCTCACTATCTCTCTTTTTCAGCACTTATAATAATCTATAAGTCCTATAATAATCTAAACCTATAATAGTCTTTGATATTATTTCTTTTAAATCAGATATTAAAACGGAGAGTCTTACCTCCGGTTTAAACGCAAAAAAATTAATTTAAGAAAGAAGGACGTATTCGCTAGGGCGAGACCTAGACAATCCGTTAAAATTGAAAGACTGCTCGTGTCAAAATGCGCAACGATATACGAATATTGAAAATATTGATATAACCCTAGCATTGTCATATACATAGACCAATAAAGATTCGGATAAGCCGAATCTGGCCACATGCCAATTAGGCGAAGACCGAACTCAACTAAACGGCTAATGGTGTTTGTACGTTTCATCGCCTTTTCAGAAGTACTAAATGGCAAAAGCATACGGTCACGTCATACGTAAAAATGTACACACAGACGTATGCTTCGCGTGATGACGGCAAAAGTACAATACTAAATAACCATAGCAAAGACGCAATGAAGCGCAAGCAACAACGATCAATTGTAATTGCACCTTATCGCATTAATTCCTGGAAGCTTCGTAGTATTAAAAGCGAAACGATGACAATGCCCGCTTCCCCTTCTGAAGCAGTGAACAATTTAATAGTTGCATGATAGCACATAATTATTTTAAAAATAAATTTCTAGCTTCTAGATGTCGATTTAAACTGTATCCGATTAAAAAAAAATGATAAAAACGTCAATGTTTGCAGAATATGAATGTGAGAAGAAAGAGAAAAACAGAGGACTTATTGCAGTAAAATATGATATCTGAGAAGTGATTAATGTTGCTATTATTTTTTGCCCTTTATTTATGTATTCGCAAACATTTTGTTCCATTTCGCAGAACGTGTTTTTTTTTTTTACAGCCGGAGTCGCTGTTGAACGATGGCAGATAAGTTAAACAAGAAAAGTGAATTTAACAGCATGCAATGTAAAACTGTAAGCAATTGAAAACTAAGTAAATTATAATATTTAGTTAATATAAATATATAGCACATTTAATATAAAAAAGGAGGAAATAATAGAGATTAGGTAATGGAAATAAATTCCTGTTTTTAAGCAAAATTTTTTTCTAAAAATATGTACATGAAAGAAAAATTCGTTATATTGTTGTTAAAATGTATAGGGTAAACTAGGGTATTATGGCCATACGGATAAGATAGCCATAGGTTGTAATTTCTTTAATAATCGTTAAGTAGAGCGTTTTTGTGGTCGTTCTGAAAGACTATGGCCATCTTATCCGTTTGGCCATCTTACCCTAGTTTACCCTATTGTTAAAATGTAGTATGTTTGCGTCTTTTTTTTTAACTGCTTAACACATTTTTATAACATTTAATACATAATTCTAATTTAACACATAATTTTGTTAGTCATAATTTTTTTTTAGACTAAACATTTTTATCTTTTATATAAGTATCAATATTCACACTCAAATATATATATACTATATATAAAATAAGAAAAACTTTAAACAATTAGAATTTCTCGGCCTAAATAGTTTTATTAATAGTGAGTCGTCTGAATTGTTGATTGCTTATAAATTTTAACTATTTGAGTACAAATTATTATTCTTCACAAATTCATTTACAACTATGTCTTATTGATGATTTACTAGATAAATTTTTAATTTATAAAAAGCTTTGTGAAGTCTGCTTGGTTGATAAGATGTCAAGGTTACCGTTCCCCACAAACCAGAATTGGGCACGTAATGTATTCGACATCATCCACACGGATCTGTGTGGCCCGATGCGTACAAAATCAAATGGAAACACGGTCTACCTGCTGACATTCACAGATGATTATACTCGTTGGTGCGAAGTATTCTTCTTAAAATGTAAAAGCGAAGTCGCAATTAAATTCTTGGAATACAAATTGAAAGTTGAAAACTACACAGGGAGAAAAATCAAGGAAATCCAATTAAACAATGAAACCGAATTTTGCAACTTGGAGACGGACGACATCTTGAGGAAAGCCGGAATACGTCGAAGATTAACTACTGTATACACTCCACAACAGAACGGCGTGGCTGAATGACGTAATCGGACCCTGATTGAGACTCCCCGATGTAAGATGATACACAGAGCGGACTCCTACTATCTTTATAGGCTGAGGCGGTCAACACTGCTAATTACATAAAAAATAGATTTCACGAGAAGCTCTAACGGCGAAACGCCATACGAGAAATAATGGTATAATAAGAAATCTAATATTAGATATTTCGCCACTTTCGGTGAAAGAGTCTATGTGTTAAACAAATCCCCTAACAAAAGTAAAATGGATCCGAAAGGCATCCAAGGAATTTTCGTAGGATACTACGAAGTATCTAAAGATTTTAGGATATGGATTCCCCTGGCTCCAAAAAGGTTATCATCAGAGATATCAAGTATCTACGAGAAATTCAGAAAACAAATAATGAAGAAGATGTAATATGTAACGAAACTAACAACGGTAGATTTATACTCCGTGCCAATAAAAAGCACCAGAGCGAAGCTATCATGTAAGGTCACAGCACATCGACGTAAGGTTCCATTTCATTCGAGTGTTTCTCAAACGTCATCCGATCGAGCTGGAGAATCTACCCTCGGAATTCATGATAGTATATTACGTTTGTATGTCTGGTGAATCTGTGATTACCTTGTACCTTCCATTTTGCATCCTGGAAATGGTTATGGGCCTAGGATACTGCGATTGTAAGTGTTACCACCTAAAACTTGTTGAAGATCATTCAGGGTCTTGACATTCATAACATATGTCAAAGTCAAGGTCTACAAACAGAAGCTAAAGATAATATACATAGATAGTCAAGAATTTGATATTATATACATAAATATACGCATGAAAGCTAGATTATTTTTGATGATAGCGTTTAATAAGTGGCAGCATCACTTCTCTGTTTCACAGGTGAGTAAAATCGTATTATTCAAAAATTCAACTGTGGATAGTGTACGTACTGTAGTAAAATACAAAATGTTTTTTTCCAACCCGTGTGAAGCTGGCCCCCCAATATTAAAAAATCGATTTTTTTCTTCATGCATTCGTTTGCTCATCGTTTGCTCACCCTTAGTTTAAAAGATATACGAAAATTATGTTTTGGGGGGCCAACTTCACACTAGCCCCCCAATATTGAAAAGTCGATTTTTTTCTTCATGCAATCGTTTGCTCATCGTTTGTTCACGAATGCTCAGTTGGAATTTTCGTTTGCTCACCCTTAGTTCAAAAGATATACGAAAATTATATTTTGGGGGGCCAACTTTACACTAACCTCTAATATTAAAAAATTGATTTTTTTCTTTATGCATTCGTTTGCTCACGAATGCTCACGTGTATTTAATCGTAAATAACAGTTTTTTTTTTCTAATGCAAACACATACGTTCATCTGTTGATAATTTCTTTACAAAAGCACTGAAAAAGTTCTTATTTTTCTAACAGATTTCAAAACCTAAAATTTCCAAAGTATAATGTATAAGTATTATATGATATACAGCACATTGTCATCAAGTGGTAGAATATATATGGATATTTACGTCGACGAAGAGAAAAGAAGATATCATACATAAAAATATTAAAGGCTGCATAGAAGAGACACAATAAGGAGATATATTCTTTATATAATATGTAAATTTTAACTTCTAATATTATTAATTAAAAACATATATATATGTATATATGTTTATACAACCCATTTTCTTCGTGTTTACAACAAGTGTCTGTTAAAAAAGTTCATAACAGGTTGTTTATCACCAACGCATAGCGTTTATTAAAACTGTAGACTAATAATATTTCTCTCGACTTAGTACATAGCATGCAATACAGACATGTACGAAGCAGAAGCTCTCATGACCTGAAAATAATTTTGTTTATAATAGACACGAAAAATGAAGAAATTCGTCTATATTATCGATAACTTACACTCATAAAACCTTCTAAAGTCAGATCAAAAATTTTTCCAGCAGTAATTGTCAATCGCTTTTGCGATCTCAGCATCATTAACAACAAAATCCGACTATCGGACGGTACCATCTTGTACCAAAGTGACTCGTATATTGCGTCGCTAATCGATTTACTCTGAAATGTGTGATCCGATTAAAACGCGCGAATAAGTGTTTACATATTTTTAATATTATTTATTACTTAATATTGTGTAACAATCAATAAATTGATAACAATAATTATGTAAATCTACTGTAGCACACGCAGTATTTCTACTCCTTAATTTAACTAATTACTTACAGTTTTAGAATAAATAAGAAAAATTGCACAATCATATATTATACTCATTAGAAACATTTCTTTGCTCACCTTGGAGCTTAAGAATTCGCCTGCATAGCAGAATACGAAAACTTCTAATGTTTTTGCAGTATAAAGAAATAGCGTCTTTATTAAAACCATTATGCCTTTATTACTACTGAGAGCCTGCTAAAGAAAGCAAATTATATATCAGAAAATCGAAGCATTTGACATTGCTTACAAGTATGATCATGAAACCGCAGAAGCAGATGATTAAAGTATTCCACAGAAGCTGCAGCAGCGCGATGAACGAAAATAGATCAGTTTCGATATCATTCGACAAAGTAATAATCTTTCGGTGTCTATGAATAAGATCATTAAGTACGGTTATAGATGTACCAAGTTTGTTGTTGCTGTGCACATCCATTATGGCACGCCGCATGATGTCGACCTGACCGCCTACGTGAAGTATCTGTAAATATATAAAACAATTGGTATTATCTAAATTAATAAAAAAATTGATTCATAATATACAAATACATTATTGTATTTGTATATTCATATATGCATATTATTAAGCACCAAGAATCGCTTTTCACCAAAAATGACCTTCTTCTACTTTTTAATAAAAAAGCTTAATTGACATTTAAAGGATATTTTTGCACATAAAATTGCAAGAAGGGATTTTAAAGTTTTTATCGAATAGTTGTGTACTTACCAATGTAGTGAGTAATGCATTTATCATACCAACGACAGGGGCTATCACATTGGAAACAAAAATTTGCCCAAAAAGGATGCATTCAAAAAGTGGCGATTCTGAGACCGCAAAGGAGAATTGCATTTTTATTGGGAATTCTCGTGAAGTTTCACTGTCAGCATTTATCGTGCGAAACATATAAGTTCCGACGGTTAAGGAAAATCCAGTCAGAAAGTGAATGCCGATTAGGACGATGGAATAACGACGTGACTGATCCGCAATTGCCATCATGATGGAATAAGAATCACTGACAACGCGATCATTCCAGTCTCTATTCATTGCTGCCACGATATTATAGAATGTCCTACAAACAGTGCGTTAAGTCTCTCATTGAATAACTGAACGTGTTAACCAATATCAGGAAAAAAAGCTTCAAGTGATGAAAACATTTAAATATATAACTCTTTTTTATAGAAATTATTTATATCAAATGTTAACTTCATTAATGATATGCTAAACTGGCCTTTAACTATATATTATATAAAGATTATATGCACTTATATGTCTTGAAAAATTCTCGAACAACAAATATCATCCAAAATTGAGATAAAATATATTAAAATGCTTTATCAATATTATTGTATAATAGAAGGACTATTTTCACTTTTTCTTTCACTCCCTCTCTTTCTTTCGGCACTTATAATAATCGTCTTTAATGTTATTTCTTTAGATATTAAAACAGAGATATTAGAACAAAGAATCTTACCTCCGGTTTATCCGCAAAAAAAATAATTTAAGAAAGACGCACGTATTCGTCAAAGCAAGACCCAGACATTCCATTAAAATTGATAGATTGCTCGTGTTAAAATGCACAATAATGTACAAATATTGAAAATATATATATAACGCTAGCATTGTCATATATATAGACCAATAAAGATTAGGATAAGCTGAATCCGGCCACATGCCGATTAAGCGAAGACCGATTTCGACTAAACGGCTAATGGTACTTCTACGTTTCATCGCCTTTTCAGAAGTACTAAATGGTAAAAGCATACAGTAACGTCATACGTAAAAATAACACACACAGACGTTGTATGCTTCGCGTGATGACGGCAAAAGTATAATACTAAGTAACCATAGCATAAACGAAGCGCAAGCAGAAACGATCAATTGTAATTGCACACCTTATTGCATTAATTCCTGGAAACTTGAGAGTATTAAAAGTGAAAACAATGACAATGCCCGCTTCCCTTTCTGAAACAGTGAACAATTTAGTAATTGCATGATAGCACATAATTATTTTAAAATTAAATTTCTAGCTTCTAAATGTCGATTTCAACTGTATTCGATAAAAAAAAAACGTAAGTAACTGTTTGTAAGGACATATATGTAAGAAAAAAGAGAAAAGCGGAGAACTTTTTATAGTAAAATATCTGATATCTGAGAAGTGATTAATGTTGGTATTATTTTTTGCCCTTTATTTATGTATTCTCTAACATTTTGTTCCATTTCGCAGAACGTTTTCTTTTACCGTCACGTCCGAAGATGCTATCAGAACAGTAACGATAGAGAAGTTAAACTAGAAAAGTGAGTTTACCAGCATGCAATGTGAAAACGTAAGCATTTGTAACGACATAAGTTATAATATTTATTTATAAATATATAGCGCATGTAATACAAAAAAGAGAAAAATAACAAAGATTAGGAATAATAGAAACAAAACCTTGAATCATGCCGTCTCTTGGAAAGAATCCTGTGGAGTCTCATGAATATCTATATGAGTTATATACATATAATATATTTAATAATACTTTATCTTGATATTTTTTTTTGTTTCTCGAAAGCCAAAAAGAATTTCGATAATGACGATAAAGTCAAACAAAATGAAATTGCCTGCATATGATGTAAGTAATTGTCAGTAGAAAACAAATATTACGTATATTGTAGTTAAAATACGTGTTCTAATGCTTTTTCTTCTCCAAATATATAATAATTTTTTATAATTTTAGATAAAAAACCACTTTTTATTTAATTAATTATCATTAATAAAACATAATTTTATGAAGTCGTAAAAAATTATTTTTACTTAAACGACTTTGTATGATAAATAATTTGTGCAACCTCATTCATTCAACAATAATGACGACTAATTATTGATGAAACTATTCAGGCCTTAATAAATGTTCTAATTGTCTAACATCTTTCTGATTTTAATACATCGCATTTAATACTGATATATAGGAGACAGAAGCCTTTACAACCTAAAAAAGGATTATTCACAACTAATAAAGTTGTATAAGAAATTATGTTAAATAAGAATTTCACTTATAGTATAATGTCTTACACTTGTGAATCCTTCTAAAGTCAAATCCATAAATCTTCCTGCAGTGATTGTCAATCGCTTTTGACACCTTAACATCATAAACAGTATAACGCGACTGTCGCTTGGCGGCATATTGTACCAAAGTGCCTCGTACACTGCGTTGCTAATCGACTTGCTCTGGAAACAGGATGGAATGTTAGAATATTAAAAAGTAATGGTTAAAATGTTTAAAATGTTTAGAGTCATAATAAACTTAAAAATACTTTTTGTTGATGCAGATTTCCATATTCCAACATCTTCTAATGGTAAAAATAATTTTAAAACATAATATGATACATTATAGTATAATTAATGCTTGGTGCAACTTAAAAAAAATTTATAATGTACATTTAAAATATACTAAAAATATTTTTACACACTTTGGCACTTAAAAATTCTCCTGCAAAGCAATATACAAAAACCTCCAGTATTATTGCAATGTAATAGCTCACTGATTTGATTAAATTTGTTGTATCTTCGCCACTGCTAACGACCTGCAATAAGATAAGAAAAGAACTATTATTAATCATTATTAATTAAAACGAAGAAATAATCGACATTACTCACAATTATAATCACAAAACCAGTGCAACACATAACCAAGGTATTCCACAGAACTTGCATCAGCGCAATGTAAGTGTATAAATTTTCGATATTTTCTGATAAAGTAATAATTTTTTGATGCTTGCAAATGAGACTTTTGATAACAGATATAAATGTATTACGATCGTACTTTTTATTCGAAATTTCAACCAAGTCTTTTTGCATAATATCGATTTGACCGCTCACATGAAGTATCTATAAATATTATATAGATAAATCTGTATAAGTTACAACATAAATAATAATTCATATCAGTTATATAAAATAATATCCAAAGTACTACATGATCTCAATATTAATTTGAACTAATCGTATTGAAAATAGGCTTATTATACAAAACTTTTAATTTCTTCGAATCTTATCGTGTACTTACCAATGCAACAAGTAACGCATTTATCAAATTAACTACAGAAGCTATCAACAAATCGTAAAGAAATTGTCCAATTAAGAAACATTCGAAAATCGGTGATTTGCTGACATCGAAAGGAAATTCCATTTTTATAGGAAGTTCTCGAGAATTATTGCTGAACTGATTGTCCATCGACTGAAGCAAATGCTCGCCAATTGATAGAAAGAAAGCAGAGAAAGCATAAATACTGAATGATACATTAGCAAAACGGCGCGACAGATCCGCCATGCTCACCATCGTGGATTTGTACGAATCATTAATAACACACTCACTCCAATCTTCATCTATCGCCTTTACAATATAATAAAATATCCTACAGGACATATTCCTTCATGTGTAACGTATAATTACCAAAGATTATTTATATATAATTTTATTCAAGGTGCAATAATATATTTTTCATCCACATATTTGCCTCGTCGAGATATCGTAATATCAACATAATTTTATAATATTAGCATTAAATATAAATTCATTCTAGATCATTTTCGCAAAAGAACACATCTTACCGACGATTCCACCATAGAACGAGAAGCTTGAGAAAAGCGAGGCTGTACGCTAGAGTAAGACTAAGACAGTCCATTAGAAGCCAAAGATCGTTCGAGTCAAAGTGTACAAATATATACATATATTGGTAATATTGCACTATAGCTACTGATATCATGTAGCTAAACCAATAAAGATTCGGATAAGCCGAATCCGGCCACATGCCGATGAAACGGAGGCCGATCTCAACTGAGAGGCTAATAGTATTTGCCCGCTTCATTGCTCTTTGTTAAGCGATATACATTAAAAAGTCAACGAACGGGAACATTAATACGCGAAAAACACTCGCATATTGTCCAACGCGCTTCACGTAATGGTTAAACCACTAAATAATCGCAGTTGTAAGACCGTAAAGCGTAAGATACCCTGAACGTGAATCAATTGTAATTATATTTCGAACGTTCTCATTGCATTAGGTAAGGCAAGCTTATAGCTGTACCGATTTAAAAAAAAATATGATAATGTCCACTTCTTCTGAATTAGTGAACACTTTAGTGGTGCACAATAACATATAATTGCTTTGAAACTGTGCGTTTCTATCTCGAAGGGGGCAGTTTTTTATGTTCATCTATATCCATAAAAAAAAATGCGCAAAGTCTTTACGTCTACTGAACACGGAAGATGAAAAACAACGGTTTATTATAGCTATTAAATGTGATCATAATATTACCAATGTCGCTAATTCCATTTTCCCCCCTCATATATTCCGCTTATATTTCAAGTAAAAACAAAGACCTCTAAAGTTACGACAGTGGAGAAAATAAGAAACTTTGCAGCCATATTCTTCTGCATTAAATTTTTCTATAAAGTAGAAATGTAAGTTATTTTGACTATATAAACTGCACCGCTTTGTAGTTACCGATTTTCAAAAAGATACTAAATCTACACAAACAAAAAAGAATTAATACCAAAATTTTTTGATACATTACTTTATAACACAAGACAAAAGTTAGAAGACACAAGTATTATGTCTAATTTGTTAAAGAATTAAGAGGATAAATAACTCTATCTAAAAATGCAAAACAAAGAACCGTTATATTTAATAAATAAACATGTATTACAAATATGCGCAAAAAGTTTTATATTTCCGATAAAAGAAATTAAATGTACGGAAGAAAATTACAAAAATAAAATATAATAGTACAAATATATATATATATCGTTTTAATTATTATTATATAATAATTGTTACGCGTTATTTATATTTAGAAAAAAAGAAACATATAAATTGGAAAATCAGTAAATATTACGGCTAGAATTTGAAAAAAAATTATGAACATATTAGTTCTATAATGTCATAAACTTTTGATGATATTATAAAGTGCATTCTCGTACACCTTCTTGTTTAAACCTGAAATATTTAGTAACAATATTTTTAAAATTAAAACAAAAATAAGACAAAAGAGTTAGTATTCACAGAAAATTTTAAAATAGATTATATAATTACCATAGAAAAATAATTATTCACTGAATTCATAAAGAATAACTTATAGAGAGAGAGTATATTAAAGTAATTTTATATTGTCTCTTCTCTTGTTATATAACTCATATAATGATATTTAATCAAGCATAACAATTGCCTGATATAATTATTGTAGATATGGCAACATTGAATATACATACATAGCAACTGATAGACGTCATTCGGTACTTAATACATCGCATTTAATATAGATACGTAAGAAGCTGATGCTTTCATAATCTAAAAAGTTGCATAACAATAAACTATGAAATTAATAATTCAACATGTTAAAAAACTTAATGCTTATAGTATTATATCTCACGTTTGTAAATCCTTCCAGAGTTAAATCGACAACTTTTCCTGCAGTAATCGTCAATCGTTTCTGTGATCTTAATATCATAAACATTAAAATTCGGCTATTAGTAGGTGGCATATTATACCAAAGTATCTCATACACCGCATCGCTAATTAACCTACTCTAGAAATAGGATAAATTCAATTTGAAATATTGAGATACAATAATAATCGATAGCTTTTAAAACGTTTTTTTATCGGTCAAAATACATATGTTTTAATATTTGTTAATATTGTTAATAAAATTCTTAATATTCGTTAATAAAAATTAATTTTAAAAAAATCGTTTTTTATGTATAAAGTTCTTTACAAACCTTGGCGCTCAAAAATTCTCCAGCAAAGCAGAGTATGAAAATTTCTAGAGTGATTGCAATATAAAAGCTCACAGATTTGATTGAAGTTGTTGCACTAGTGTTGGTACCAATAGTCTGCAATAGAACAACGAAATATTCTTCATTAAAAGCGTGGAATAACAGCCACAACCATTACTCACGATTACAATCACAAAACCAGTGCAGCAGATGACTAAAGTATTCCATAAAAGTTGCATTAATGCAATATAAGTATATAAGTTTTCGATATTTTCTGATAAAGTAATAATCTTTTGGTGTTTACAAATAAGACCTTTGATAACCATTAAGGATAAGCTGGGATTGTATTTGCTATTAGAAATTTCATTTATGTCTTGTTGCATAATGTCAATCTGTCCACTTACATGAAGTATCTATTTATAAATTGGAATATATATAATATAATTAAAATGTTACAGAAGCAATTTCATTTTATTATTAATTATTAATAATAATTATTAATTATGTTATTTAAAACGTCAAATCACACGAAGGACATTATTATAATTGTAATTAATAAAATTAGACAAAGAATAGATATTAAACAAATACATATTAATTTTTGTAAGACGTACATAGAAATAGATTTGAAAAAGAATCACAAAACTCACCAATGACACAAGTAATGCATTCATCATACCAACTATAGAAGCCAACACCAATTCGTAAAGGAATTGCCCAAATAAAAAACACTCGAAAATAGGAGATTCACTGACATCGAAAGGGAACTCCATCTTTATAGGGAGTTCCCGAGAATTATTGTCAATGCCATTAACATCCCCCATCGTTTGAAGCAAGTGCTCGCCGATTGAAAGAAAAAAGGCTGCTAAGGCATTGATACTAATCATCACGTTTGTGCAACGATGCGATAGATCCGCTGCGCTCATCATCGTCGATTTATACGAATTATTGATAACGCACTCTTTCCAATCTTCATCCATCGCCTTTACAATACAATAAAATGTCCTGCAGGAAGCAGCTTATATATCGAGTATTGTGCACTTATTAAATTTCTTCACAGAAAGAGACAGAAGAAACATTTAAACACATATTTGGTTTTAATCAGACATCCGGTTTATAGTCCGTTCTTATTGCAAAATTATCCTAGAAAATGTCTTAAGTCGTTGATACTATACTCTGTAAAAGTTATTCATAGTCCGTTTGCATTTTAAGACCGTCTTAAATACTGTCTTAAAATGCTAATATAACAATCTAGTTGTTTTATAACATCTTAATACTGACGATCTTAAATATAAGATTAGACTATGAATACGGGTCTATGATTGGTTTATGACATCTTGAGATGATCTTAAATATAAGAACTGACTATAAATACCAGAGCCGTGGTGTCGATAATCAATTCGATTTTCATTTATTTCATCGAAATTATTCAGTAATAACAAAGATGTAGTCTATTGTCTAAATCGCTCTAATTCGTTTTCAGACATCTACAACGAAATATGTCTTACCGGCGGTTCCACCATAAGACAAAGAGTTTGAGAAAGGCGAGAGTGTACGCCAGGGTAAGACCGAGACAGTCCATGAGGAGCGAGATATCACTCAGATCAAAATGCGTAAAAACGTATGTATACTGATAATACTGCACTATCACCATTGTCGCCATATAAAATAACCAATAGAGAGTCGCGTAGGCCGAATCCGGCCACATACCGATGAAACGGAGACCAATTTCGACTGAGCGGCTGATGGTACTTGTGCGCTTCATCGTTCTGCAGCAATCACTGTATGCTACAAACTGATGGCTATCGAGATGTCAATGCACCGTAGCGAACGTAAACTTTGGCCAGTAAAACGCGCGAGAGACCGTTGCTCCTCAAATAATTGTGGAGAGAGACGATAAAGCGCAGGTTCTCTTTCGATCAATCGTAATTGTACGCCGACTATTCAAATCCCATTATTTCTTGAAAGCTTATAAGTACACCGAATGAAAAAAACAAAACGCGTCTACTTTTTCCTCTAAAATAGCTCATGTAATATTTCTTGATAATTGCCGAAGAAAACCTTTTAAATACGAGGATAATCATTTCTACAAGCGTCTCTACATGCGACAAAAAATGTGCACTTTTACGGAAAAAAAAAACGTTAATATCTACAGACAGATACTAAAGATAATATGGAAAAGGAAAGTGAATAATTTGAGACTAAATACGAGCATGAGAGCTAAATTATTCTTAATGATAGCATTTAATAAGTAAGTAGTAGCATCATTTCTCTCTTTTACATGTAAGTAAAATCGTATTATTCAAAAATTATACTTCTGTAGAGTATATGATAAGATACAAAATGTTTTTGCAAAACTTTTTGTACTAATATATATATATATATATATATATATATAAACATTCCGCTCAACGGAATTGTACATTTGGTTAAAACTATCCTTGTCATATTACCTAAAAATCGTATGGCGTCCTTTTCCTTAGAAAATATCACTTTGTTATCGTCATAGAGATTTTAATTTAATATTCAATGGTACTAAAAGACTTACCAATGTCAAATATTATTCTTCATTCTTTTTTAATATAGTGCACTCAATACTGATATATACGACGCAGACGATTTCATAATCTGGAACAATTAAGTATATTAAAATTCTTGTTTTAGTTCAAACGACGAAAGTTTCTGCATATTTCAAGTAAACTCACGGTTGTGAAACCTTCCAAGGACAGATCAGTTATCTTGCCCGCAGTAATGGTTAATCGTTTCTGTGATCTCAACATAAGGAACATCAAGATTCGACACTCACTGGGTGTTAAATCGTACCACAGGCACTCGTACGCAGCATCGCTGATGGATTTACTCTGCAATGGTAAACAAGCTTCCACGATTAATCGCGTCTAATAATAAATTTCTTTTGGAAGTTAACGCGAATTTTCAAAAATTTCTACAACGCTACCATTACGCTCCATTACGCTGACCTTGGCACTGAGATATTCTCCAGCGTAGCAAAAGACAAATGCCTCGAGAGTTATTGCAATGTAAAAAATGAGGGATTTTGTTATCATCGTAGTACCTTTTTCCGTGCCAATAGACTGCAATATATGTATAATAAGTATAATTTACATATAAAAACATTTCATATCTTTGTTGGTAAAAAAATTTTTTTTTAATTGCATACATATACATATTACATATATATATATATAAATTTTAGAATACTTCATAAAAAAATATATATACATATATATTATTCATGAAATAATCAAAAATTTTTAAGATTTTTTCATCGTATATAATTTCTAAAAAATATCCCTCAAACTTTTCAAATTTTTATAAAACTTTACAAAAAATCACAGGATGAAAAATCTTAAAATATTTTAGTATTCATGTATATATAAAAAATTCCAAAAAAAATGTAAACTTTCTTAGCACTTTTTTGAAAAGTAATCCAATTTGTATTTTAAAAAACTGAAAATTTTTCTGAAATTTAAAATTATTCAGAAATTTTTAAAAATTACAAAATTTTTATATAAAAATTCTAAAAATTAATATAAAATATTTTAAAAACAATATTTAATAGGATTAAAAATAATATTCTACGTTTAAGCGTAATACACCATAAATATAGATATATAAAAAATCAGTGACAAAAAGAGAGGGAGAGAGAGAGAGAGAAAGCGAAACGGATAAAAATTATAATACAAAAAAGTGTATAAAATTATAACTTACTATTACGATCACAAAGCCTATACAACAGATGACCAAAGTATTCCAGATAAATTGCAATAATGCGATGTTTGAGAAAAGGTCTTCAATGTTGTCTGATAAATCGATGATTCTCTGATGTTTATTAACTAAATCTTTAATAGTAGCCAGAGAAGATCTTGATGTATACTTAGAGGAAATTTCCATGAATCCTTGCAGCATAATATCAATTTGACCACTTACGTGTAGTACCTAAAAAACATCTTCAGTTTTATAGACACTTTACAGTAGTATCGCTCTATCGCCGCAAAAAATCTGAAAAATTATACACACAGAATTGTATTTAGAAATAAAGTATTGTAGCGTTTATTGAAATACAAAATTCCAATGTCACTAAAAGGATAAAAAGCTAATAATCGAGTATAAAAAATTATGAACTATAATAATAATAATAATATAGTCTGTCACAGGTATTCTAAAAACCAGTACAATTAATTTCTCATCCTGATTGATTTTTTCTAGCTATTAGATAACTCAAAGAGAAAAAACATTGTACGTACACACGTAAATATATATGTATGTGTCTCTATTTATAATAAATGCAAGATGTAACATAAACCTGGGAAAAAATATATATGGACATATTTTATATATAAATATGTATAATTATAAATAAAACCTTTTTTCACAGAAAAGCAATTACTTATGTGCTTCTTAAGAATTTAATAAAATTTAGACAATTTTTGAACCGACTAAATCATGAAATACAATGAAATCTTACCAGCGTAACGAGCAAAGCGTTCAACATAGCGATGATACAAGCTACAGACAAATCATGAAAGAATTGAAATATTAAGATTAGTTCAAAAATCGGGGAATTGTCCACCTTAAAAGGAAATTCCATTTTGATAGGTAGTTCGCGAGTTGAATCATCCTTATTTTGAACTATTGACCGGAGTATTAAACCTCCGATTACATAAAAGAACACGGATATCGCATTCGTGGTGATCATTACGTTGGAGCATTGACGAGACCAATTGGCGTGTCTGACCATCGTAGACACGTCCGAATGGATTGCGATCCCGTTGCTCCAATCTTTGTCCATTGTATCCAGAATAGCGTACAATTTTCTACGAAACATTTTGTACGTCCGGCATCATACGCGCAAGATAGAATTGAAATTAAAAAGAAATGAAGGCACACGATTGATCACTCGTCTTGTCTGCAGAGACCATTCAAGCGTTAATCTTACCGACGATTGAACCACAGATTGATCAGTTTCAGGAATGAGAGACTGTAGCCCAATGTAATGCTTAGACCATCTACAAAAACCGACAGATCACTGATGTCAAAGTGCGCCAGAACATACGCATATTGGAAGTATTGCACTATTGCAACAGACACAATATAAGTCCACCAGTTGACATTCGCATATACACAATGTGGCCATATTCCGATAAAACGTAAACCTGCTTCAACCGATTCGCTGATGGTGCTTGCGCGTCCTACTGTATCTTTGCGTAATTCCAGCATGTTTCTTTTGAGAAAGACTATCTTTGAGCCACGTATGCCTCTTAGGCATAATAACATCGGACATAGCAAAAAATAGAGACAATAAGAAGAGGGAGATAAAACATAATAACGAACTGTCGATCAATCGTAATTATCCGTACTGCACAGAAATGGAATAAAATTGAAATTGAATGCTCGCTAATTCATTAGATTATAGACTTGGCAGGAAAATGATACGAGTAGAAAATGCAATCTATCTCGCATTTTTTTTCTGTCCAATTTAAAAACATTAAGTTTTCCGATGATATAGAGTCACTAATTTGCTGAGTCACTTTAAAGATGCATAAAGCTTACTGAAAATTGCTCAGAGCTCGCTAAGACAAAAAATGCAATACACTGAAACGTAAAACGAACAATAAAGTAAAGATAAAGAAGAATATGAAAAACAAGTTGGACGACATATTGTACAGTTTTCATGTTTCTTATCATATAAAAAATTATTTTCCTATTTTCAAAAATATATAGTAAAAAGAATTTAAGTTAATGTACAAATTGTTCAATTACAGTTATATTGAAATATAAAATAAAATATAGAGGTTTGAATATATATGCGAGTAATGCAAGTAATGATCATGATAATCTAAAATACTTTATTATAAACTGTGGAAGGTAAATTGATAAATTATGTCTACATTTAATTTACATAGTTATTATCCTACAAATTTACATGCATCATAAAAATTGACAAGAAAGAATCGTTAAGAAAAATTCCTAATATCTTTAGCAGCATATAATGGCCACATAGACACTAAATGACTTGCCTATGAACTTCAATACATCGCGTGCAATACTGATATGTACGAAACAGAGGCCTTCAAAATCTAGAAAAATTATATCAAATGATATTAATATAATAATACAATGATATAACAATAATAATAACACAACATAAAGTAGATAAGAATATTGCAAATTTATAAATTAAAGAACTCTGTTTAAATATAAATCAAACATTTCTAAAAAAGACATATTCCACAATCAGTTAAAAAAAAGATAGTATTACAAATCACTTAATAACTAAAATAAATCGCGATTCTCTACGGAATGACATCAGTGACCAATTGATCTACGAAAACGAGGATTTTATTAACAAAAAATTTGGTGTTGGAATCTTACACTTGTAAATCCCTCTAGCGATAGGTCCATGAACTTCCCAGCCGTAATGGTAAGTCTTCTTTGTGATCTCAATATTACAAGCAGAAAGAGCTTACTCTCCTTAGGTGTAAAGTCGTGCCAAATTGATTTGTACGCTGCATCGCCAATCATTTTGCTCTGAAGAACAGTGTTGTAAAAAATTCGCATAATTATTACAAGGGCATTGCAATATATTTACATTGAAAAGAAAATATTTATCGATTTCTCTTTTCACATTAAAAAATAGGAAAAAAAAGTTTTAATGTTTCGTTTAAATAATTGCGCGTCCTCCGTAAAAAGACAAAATTGTCATTATTTAAAATCACCGCAAGATATATAGTCAAATCGCGTAAATTGATGCCTCTACAAAAAGGATTAAACGGATTCCGACCTTGGTAGTGAGATATTCTCCGCAAAAGCAAAAAGTAAACGCCTCCAAGATAATAACAATATAAAACAACACAGCTTTTATTAATGCCGTGCTATCGATCGTATCTGTATCTTGCATCGTGTTGATCGACTGCAACATCAAATCGCGATATAAATTATTATCGTTGCAAATTGAATATCGTTTCCGTTGTCTCTTTACGTTTGGCAAAATACTACTTACTGTTATGACCATAAATCCTGTGCAAAAGGTTAGCAATGTGCTCGACATGAATTGAATTAGCGCTATATAAGAGAAGATTTTGTCAATTTTGTCTGAAAAAATGATGATCTTCTGATGCTTGCCAATCACTTCTTTCATATAGAAAATTAGTTGTTGATTGTTCATTTTAGAAGAGACATCCCTTAATGCATCACACAAAATCTCTATCTGACCGCTCGTATGAAGAATCTGAAAATGTATTTCAATAACATCATGATACAAATAAATAAATAAAAATTTAACGCTATTATAACAGTAGTTAACTATATACGTGATATACAAAAGAAGTTTACACAAACACATTAATTTTTCCAATATTTAATACTTGTACTTTCTACTGATATTTAATATTTCTTTAATTGTACTCAAATCTACAGAGTGTAATAGTGATAAATCACTTACTTTGCATCCAGTAAGAGTCTGACATACGTATAGTGCTATTAACTAAGATTAATCTAACTATACAACACAAAACTATAGAACATATACATAGTTAAAGATAAATACCATCATATATCTTCAATGTTTTTTTTATAGAAGGGAGAATAAGGAAATTGCGAATATATAGGAAAAAATTAAACGAAAAGCCGATAATTTTTAATTAATTAAATAAGTGTATAAAATGATATTGACATTAAACGAAAATAATTAACACTTATATACTAAAAATGTAATATCAACATAAACATAATTTTAAACGAAAACAAAACTCAGCTCGGCATTGCTCAATGTAGAGACAAGTAATTTGAAATTACAATAACTTTGTTTGGTGTTCAAAATTATATCACTTATATATGAATGTTAAATATTGCACAATTTAAAGACAAATAACTAGAGATCTTTTTAATAGAGACGTTTATAACTAATAAATATAATCATTAAAATTTTATTTAATTTTTTTATATACTTACAATTCCTCACTCTCCTTTATACAAATATAATCTGTTAGCATAATGTTAAAAAACATTAATAAATAAGAGTATAATACTATATGTATAATATTATATGAAGAGAATAATATTATATGAATATATACAGTAATTGACATTATACAATATCGTCTAAGTGTAAGTCTGAAGGTATCAAAAGAGAATTTTTCTATCATACATTGCACTTACTAACGAAATGAGCAGACTGTTAAGTATGCCTGACACAGTGGCAGATGCCAATTGATGAAAGAATTCCAAACCCATAACGAGTTCGTACAGCGGCGATTCGTTACATTGCGACGGAAGCTGTAGTTTCAGTATGAACGCGCGAACAGGTGTGTTGGTTCCATGATCAGCATCGTAATCGTCGGTTTGGGACACAAGCACCTCAATAACAGAGCAAAATATCGCTACCGAATGAAGCCCGATGATAACATTGGAAAAGCGCCGCGATAAATTTGCCTTGCTAATCATAATGTGTATTTCGCCGTTGGTGGCTTCCCTCCAGTCTGCAGCCATCGCAGCTAGGACGTCGTAAAATATACTGCGGCAGTTTATTCTATCCATATGCATGGATAAATTAACAGTAAATGAGAACACAATAAGATGGAAAAGGATTTGCTATTGTACATGATGTATAAAATACGACGACAAATGTAATAGTAATTTGGCTTTACCTATGTATTATATATAAGTAGTATAATTATAATTAGATGGTGACGTTTATATTGTATAAATTAACTAATAGAGGCTACCGAATTTAATTGACCACATTAGTACGATAAAATATGTGACATCGAGACATTTAGGAGTCCAAGAATACTAAATTAAAAAGAAAGTTGTGAAAAAAACCAGTATTAAGAATTAATAAGGAAAAAAATCAAAATTTATATTTAATAATAAAAGAATAAAAATTAACATGACATGCATTGACCGCCAATTCAAGCCATTTTCAGATGTAAAATTTTTTTCTTTACTTAAGAGGAAAAAGATAATGCTATGAAAATTGTGACTTTTAAAAGCGATTTAAATAAACGTGATTTCCACTTTCTACTGCGTGAAAAATATTTTCTTACCGACTATAGAACCATAAAATAATCAGTTTTAAGGATATCACGCTGTACTCTATAGTGACACTTAAACCATCCATCAAGTACGACATATCGTCTTTTCTAAAGTGAATAATGATCCACCAATATTGGAAAGTCTGCGCTATACAGAAGGTCAATATCCAAAGACATCGAAGCAACAGGGCGCAAGGCGTATTAGGCCAAAACCCAATACTTCGAAGACCGATTTGCACCGAAAGAGCAACAGTGCTTGTAGTGATGCTATCGATTCGTGACATCTTATAGCAAAATATAATAATACCGATGTTCCAGTTTATGTTTATTGTTACGTAGAATTTGGCTAGGAATTCGATATCTGAGATATCTGAAATGTAACTTAGAATATTTATCGAAAATGTTAACGTTTTATAGCCACAAATAGGAGCATGCGAAGTTTTAGAATAATAGCTCTTTCAAGAAAAGTTTTAAATGTACTGAAAGACACATGAAATGAAGCGAGACAAGCAAATATATAACGGGTACATTACGGTGTACAGTATTTTTATGCATGTAAAACATTTTTTTCTTAACAATGTTATTAAATATTATTGAATTTATACTCAATTTATTAAAAGTTATTTAACTGTTTAAAATACGATATAATTTCTATCATTTTTTTAACATTTCACTATCATAGAAAGCGCGCGATTTCTTTTGGACAATTTATGTCCACATTTAATTTGCATAGTTACTATCATGCAAATTTACATGCATCATAGAAATTGACAAGAAAGAATCGTTATGAAAAACTACTAATATCTTTAGCAGCATATAGTGGCCATCTAGACACTAAATGACTTGCCTTTGAACTTCAATACATCGCGTGCAATACTGATACATACGAAACAGAGGCCTTTAAAATCTAGAAAAATTATATCAAATGATACTAACATAATAATACAATGATACAACAATAATAATAACACAACATTAAGTAGATAAAAATATTATAAGTTAATAAATTAAAGAACTGTTTAAATAAAAATCAAACATTTCTTTAAAAAGACATATTCCACAATCAGTCAAAAAAAAGATCATACATTACAAATCATTTAATAATTAAAATAAATCACAATTCTCTACGGAATGACATCAGTGACCAATTGATCTATCAAAACGAGGATTTTATTAACAAAAAATATGATGATAGATTCTTACACTTGTAAATCTCTCCAGCGATAGGTCCATGATCTTCCCAGCCGTAATGGTAAGTCTTCTTTGTGATCTCAATATTACAAGCAGAAAGAGCTTACTCTCCTTAGGTGTAAAGTCGTGCCAAATTGATTTGTACGCTGCATCGCCAATCATTTTGCTCTGAAGAACAGTGTTGTAAAAAGATTGTGTTGTCAGTGAAATAAATGATTAAATCAACTTAAAAGCTTTTTTACAGTATAAAAAAGCAATTTACGTATAGCTTGTTACAAAATCATTATATACTTTAATTACCAAAAAAATAAATTTTCGCTAAATAATTAAGACAAATTATTGTTATCATTGACATGAATTAACTTTTAAATAATGTAAGTGATAATGATTATATTTAAATAATAATTAATATGTAAAAGCAAGATGTTTCTTTAATAAAACTTGCACATGACACAACACACGTATATTATACAAATTCCCACAATTATTATAGGGGCATTGCAATATATTTACATTGAAAAAAAAATATTTATCGATTTTTCTTTTCACATTATAGAAAAGGAAAAAGAAGTTTTAATGTCTCGTTTAAATAGTTGCGCGTCCTCCGTAAAAAGGCGCTATTGTCATTAAAATCACCGTAAGATATATAGTCCTACTATATATTTTGCGGTGATGCAACCCGCGTAAATTGATATCTCTACAAAAAGGATTAAATGGAAAAATCTCGATTGTTCCGACCTTAGCAGTGAGATATTCTCCGCAAAAGCAGAAAGTAAACGCCTCTACGGTAGCAGCCATATAAAACACCACAGCTTTTATTAATGTTGTGCTATCGACCGTATCTGTATCTTGCATCGTGTTGATCGACTGCAACATCAGATCGCGATATAAATTATTATCGTTGCAAATTGAATATCGTTTCCGTTGTCTCTTTACGTTTGGCAAAAGGTTACTTACTGTTATGACCATGAATCCTATGCAACAGGTTAGCAGCGTGCTCGACATGAATTGAATTAGCGCCATATAAGAGAAGATTTTGTCAATTTTGTCTGAAAAGATGATAATCTTCTGATGCTTGTCAATCACTTCCTTTATACAGAAAGTTAATTGCTGATTGTTCATTTTAGGAGTGATATTCCTTAATGTATCACACAAAATTTCGATCTGACCGCTCGTATGAAGAATCTGTAAATGTATTTCTATAACACCATGATACATATAAATAAAAAAAGATTTAACGCTATTATAACAGTTGTTAACTAGATACGTGATATAGAAAAGAAGTTTACACAAATGAAGCATAACATGCAAAAGTAATTAATTTAGAATAAATATACTAAATAATTTACTGGCAATAATATTTTATATACATATTGACAACGAATATGAAATTCTCCTCTTTCTAATTAAAATATTGAAAATATTTCTACATGTTAAAGCATTTTACAAAACTTAAATAAAAAAATGAAACAAAGAAAAGAAGGATGACATTATAAATAAAGAGCGGAATAATTATTAATATCGTGTAATAGTACATATTCTTGTCGATCTTCAATAATGTACATATAGGAGAATGCAAATACGGAGTGAACGCGAGCAATATTATTGCATAATATTAGATTTGCATACAATGGAAGAAATATTAAGAATATATATATATTAAATATATAATATATAATAAATATATAAATGAAAGATAGGAATATAAGAATGAAACATAATTGAAATAAATCATTACGCGTAATAAATGTATAAATAGGATATAAGATATACTATATACCTTGTATATATCTGATATAACAAGTTTAATATTTTATGTGTTCTCAGTGTATATTTGTGTCATATACACACTCATTCCATTCTTAACTTTTTAATTAATTTTTCGAATAATTAATACTTGTACTTATAACTGATCTCTAATATTTCTTTCATTATACTTAAATCTATAGATTGTAATAATGATAAATCACTTACTTTGCATCCAGTAAGAGTCTGACATACGTATAGTGCTGTTAATTAAGATTAATCTAACTATACAAATAAAAACTATAGAATATATGCATAGATAAAGATAAATACCATTACATATTTTCGATGTTTCTTTATAGAAGGGAGAATAAGAAAATTGCGAATATATACGAAAAAATTAAATAAAAATCCGACAATTATTAATTAATTAAGTGTTTAAAATGGTATTGACATAAAACGAAAATAATTAACACTTATATACTAAAAATGCAATATCAACATAAACATAATTTTAAACAGAAGCAAAACTTAGCTCGGCATTGCTCAATGTAGAGACGAGTAATTCAAATTACCATAGCTTTGTTTGTTGTTTAAAATTATATAACTTATATAACACTCCTTTATACAAATATAATCTGTTAGCATAATGTTAATAAACAATTAATAAATAAAAATATAATATTATATGGAGAATACAGTAATTGACATTGTACAATACCGTCTAAGTGTAAGTCTGAAGATATCAAAAAAGATAATTTTTCTATCATATGTTGCACTCACTAGTGTAATGAGCAGACAATTAAATATGCCTGTCGCAATGGAAGATGCCAAATGATGAAAGAACTCCAAACCCATAACGAGTTCGTACAGCGGCGATTCGTTACACTGCGACGGAAGCTGTAGTTTCAATGTGAACGCGCGAACAGGTGTGTCGGTTCCATGAACAGTACCATAATTGTCGATTTGGGATGCAAGCACCTCAATACCATAGCAAAACACCGCTACCGAATTAAGCCCGATGATAACATTAGAAAAGCGCCGCGATAAATTTGCCTTGCTCATCATAATGTGTGTTTCGCCATTGGTGGCTTCCCTCCAGTCGGCAGCCATCGCAGCTAGGACGTCGTAAAATATACTGCGGCAGTTTATTCTATCCAGGTGCATGGATAAACTAACAGTAAATGAGAACACAATAAGATGGAAAAGGATGGGTTCTGGAAAGGAAACAAATCTGATCTTTTATTGTACATGATATATAGAATACGACGACAAATCTAATAGTAATTTCTCTTTACCAATGTATTATATATAAGTAGTATTATATATTATAGTTAAATGATAATGTTTATATTGTATAAATTAACTAATAAAGGCTACCGAATTTAATTGATCACATTAATACAATAAAATATGTGACATCAAGACATTTAGGAGTCCAAGAATACTAAATTAAAAAGAAAGTTGTGAAAAAAACGAGTATAAAAAAAGTAAAAATTTATATTTAAAAATAAACAAATAAGATTTAACATAAAAAGTATCGACTGCCAATTCGAGCCATTTTCAGATGTAAAATTTTTTCTTTACTTACGAGAAAAAAGTTTGTGCTATGAAAATCGTGACTTTTAAAAGCGATTTAAATAAACGTGATTTCTACTTTCTACTGCGTGAAAAATATTTTCTTACCGACTATTGAACCATAAAATAATCAGTTTTAGGTACATCACGCTGTACCCTATAGTTACACTTAAACCATCCATCAAGTACGACATTTCGTCGGTTTTAAAGTGAATAATGACCCACCAATATTGGAAAGTCTGCACTATACCGATGGTCAATATCCAAAGACATCGAAACAACAGGGCACAAGGCGTATTAGGCCAAAACCCAATACTTCGAAGACCGATTTGCACCGAAGGGGCAACAGTGCTTGTAGTCATGCTATCGCTTCGTGACATCTTATAGCAAAATAAAATAATACCGATGTTCCAGTTTATGTTTATTGTTACGTAGAATTTGGCCAGGAATTCGATATCTGAGATATCTGAAATGTAACTTAGAAAATTTGTCGAAAATGCTAACGTCTTAAAGCCATAAATCACAATGCCAACAGTACGATTTTAAAACGACTCTAGAGCTGCAAATTGATCACGCAAAGTTCATTGGCTGAACATATAGCCGTAGCAAGGTAACCGATCAATTGCAATCAACTGAAAACAAAATTATACAGTAGCTTACGTGAAACAAAGGGGATTAAAAATTGTAGTTTTTCAGCTGTAATTACGATGTAGAAACGCAGTATATAATGGTTAGTCTTCTTACTTCTTTGTAAAAAAAAAAATGTCGCCGACGGAACAAATTAATTGCTTGAAAAATCCAAGAGACAGCGTTTCTACTTACATCAATTATACTATTCATATATAATAGGAGCATGCGCAGTTTTAGAATAATAGCTCTTTCAGGAAAAATATTAATGTACTGAATGACACATGAAGTGAATATCGAGACAGGCAAAAATATAACGGGCAGTACAGTGTACAGTATTTTTATGCATGTAAAAGATTAATTTTTTAACAATCTTATTAAATATTATTAAATTTATACTCGATTTTTTAAAAGTTATTTAACTGTCTAAAATACGATATTTCTATCATTTTTTTTAACATTTCATCATCATAGAAAGCGCGCGATTTCTTTCGGACAATTTATGTCCACATTTAATTTGCATAGTTATTATCATGCAAATTTACATGCATCACAGAAATTGACAAGAAAGAATCGTTAAGAAAAACTCCTAATATCTTTAGCAGCATATAGTGGCCATCTAGACACTAAATGACTTGCCTTTGAACTTCAATACATCGCGTGCAATACTGATACATACGAAACAGAGGCCTTTAAAATCTAGAAAAATTATGTCAAATGATACTAACATAATAATACAATGATATAACAATAATAATAACACAACATAAAGTAGATAAAAATATTATAAGTTAATAAATTGAAAAAATGTTTAGATATAAATAAAACATTTCTAAAAAAGACATATTCCACAATCAGTTACAAAAAAGATCGTATTACAAATCACTTAATAATTAAAATAAATCGCGATTCTCTACGGAATGACATCAGTGAATAGATTTACCAAAACGAGGATTTTATTAACAAAAAATTTGGTGTTGGAATCTTACACTAGTAAATCCCTCTAGCGATAGGTCCATGATCTTCCCAGCCGTAATGGTAAGTCTTCTTTGTGATCTCAATATTATAAGCAGAACGAGCTTACTCTCCTTGGGTGTAAAGTCATACCAAATTGATTTGTACGCTGCATCGCCAATCATTTTGCTCTGAAGAACAGTGTTGTAAAAAGGTTGTGATGTCAGTGAAATAAATGATTAAATCAACTTAAAAGCTTTTTTACACTATAAAAAAGCAGTTTATGCATAGTTTGATAGAAGATCATTACCTATATACTTTAATTATCATAAGAAATAAATTTTCGCTAAATAGTTAAGACAAATTATTGTATCATTGACTTTAAAGTAATTATCATTTACATAATATAAGTAATAATGATTATATTTAAATAATAATTAATATGTAAAAGCAAGATGTTTCTTTAATAAAACTTGCACATGACACAACATACGTATATTATACAAATTCGCATAATTATTACAGGGGCATTGCAATATATTTACATTGAAAAGAAAATATTTATCAATTTTTCTTTTCAAATTAAAAAAAACGAAAAAGAAGTTTTAATGTCTCTCGTTTAAATAGTTTCGCGTCCTCCGTAAAAAGACGCAATTGTCATTATTTAAAATCACCGCAAGATATCTAGTCAAATCGCGTAAACTGATGTCTCTACAAGGAGAATTAAACGGAAAGATCTCGATTGTTCCGACCTTGGCAGTGAGATATTCTCCGCAAAAGCAGAAAGTAAACGCCTCCACTGCAGCAGCCATATAAAACACCACAGCTTTTATTAATGCTGTACTATCGATCGTTTCTGTATCTTGCATCGTGTTGATCGACTGCAACATCAAATCGCGATATAAATTATTATCGTTGCAAATTGAATATCGTTTCCGTTGTCTTTTTACGTTTGGCAAAAGAGTACTTACTGTTATGACCGTGAATCCTATGCAACAGGTTAGCAGTGTGCTCGACATGAATTGAATTAGCGCTATATAAGAGAAGATTTTATCAATTTTGTCTGAAAAGGTGATAATCTTCTGATGCTTGCCAATCACTTCCTTCATACAGAAAGTTAGTTGTTGATTGTTCATTTTAGGAGAGATATTCCTTAATGTATCACACAGAATTTCTATCTGACCGCTCGTATGAAGAATCTGAAAATGTATTTCTATAACACCATGATACAAATAAATAAAGAAACTTTAACGTTATTATAACAGTTGTTAACTATATACGTGATATACAAAAGAAGTTTACACAAAAGAAGCATAACATGCAAAAGTATTTAATTTAGAATAAATATACTAAATAACTTACGGACAATAATATTTTATATAGGTACATATTGACAACGAACATGATATTCTCCTCTTTCTGATTTAAATATTGAAAATATTCCTACATGTTACAGCATTTTACAAAACTTAATTAAAAAAATGAAACAAAGAAAAGAAGGATTACATTATAAATAAAGAGCGGAATAATTATTAATATCGTGTAATAATACATATTCTCGTCGATCTTCAATAATGTACAATACTGAAGAATGCAAATACGGAGTGAACGCGAGCAATATTATTGCAAAATATTAGGTCTGCATACAATGGAAGAAATATTAAGAACATATAAATTAATATTTATTATATATTATATATTTAATAATATATAATATGTAATAAATATATAAATAAAAAATAGGAATAAACATAAAACATAATGGAAATAAATCATTACGCATAATAAACTTATAAATAAGATATAAGATATACTATATTTTGTATATACCTGATACAACATGTTTTATATCTTATGTGTTCTCTGTATATGTTTGTATCACATACACATTCATTCTATTCTTAACTTTTTAATTAATTTTTCTAATATTTTTTTAATACTTGTACTTATTACTTATCTTTAATATTTCTTTCATTGTACTTATATCTATAGAGTGTAATAGTGTTAAATCACTTACTTTGCATCCAGTAAAAGTCTGCTATACGTATTGTGCTGTTAATTAACATTAATCTAACTATACAAAACAAAACTATAGAATATACACATAGTTAAAGATAAATACCGTTACACATTTTCGATGTATTTTATAGAAGGAAGAATGAGAAAATTGCGAATATATAAGAAAAAATTAAATAAAAAGCCGACAATTATTAATTAATTAAATAAGTATTTAAAATGATATATTAACTTTAAACGAAAATAATTAACACTTATATACTAAAAATGTAATATCAACATAAACATAATTTTAAACAAAAACATAACTTAGCTCGGCATTGCTCAATGTGGCGACGAGTAATTTCAAGTCACAAGAGTTTTGTTTGTTGTTTAAAATTATATTACTTATATATGAATGTTAAATATTGCAATGTAAAGACAAATAACTAGAGCTCTGTTTTTAATAAAGACGTTTACAATTAATAAATAATTATTAATTTAATTTAATTTTTTTATACATTTACAATTCCTCACTCTCCTTTATACAAACATAATCTGTTAGCATAACATTAAAAAATAATTAATAAATTAAAGTATAATATTATATGCAGAATACTGTAACTGACATTATACAATACCGTCTAAGTGTGAGTCTAAAAATGTCAAAAAAGAATTTTTCTATCATATATCACTTACTAACGAAATGAGCAGACTGTTAAGTATGCCTGTCGCAGTGGCAGATGCCAATTGATGAAAGAACTCCAAACCCATAACGAGTTCGTACAGCGGCGACTCGTTACACTGCGACGGCAGCTGTAGTTTCAATGTGAACGCACGAACAGGTGTGTCGGTTCCATGATCAGCATCGTAATCGTCGGTTTGGGACGCAAGTACCTCAATACCAAAGCAAAACACCGCTACCGAATGAAGCCCAATGATAACGTTGGAAAAGCGCCGCGATAAATTTGCCTTGCTGATCATAATTTGTGTTTCGCTGTTGGTAGCTTCCCTCCAGTCTGCAGCCATCGCAGCTAGGACGTCGTAAAATATACTGCGGCAGTTTATTCTATCCAGGTGCATGGATAAATTAACAGTAAATGAGAACACAATAAGATGGAAAAGGATGGGTTCTGGAAAGGAAACAAATCTGAACTTCCATTGTACATGATGTATAAAATACGACGACAAATGTAATAGTAATTTAGCTTTACCTATGTATTATATGTATATAAGTAGTATTATTATAGTTAGATGGTGATGTTTATATTGTATAAATTAACTAATAAAGGCTACCGAATTTAATTGACCACATTAAACGATAAAATATGTGACATCAAGACATTTAGGAGTCCAAGAATAGTAATTTAAAAAGAAAGTTGTGAAAAAAACCAGTATAAAATTAATATGGAAAAAAATCAAAATTTATATTTAATAATAAAAAAAATAAGAATTAACATGACATGTATCGACTGCCAATTCGATCCATTTTCAGATGTAAAATTTTTTTCTTTCCTTAAGAGGAAAAAGATTATGTTATGAAAATCGTGACTTTTAAAAGCGATTTAAGTAAACGTGATTTCTACTTTCTACTATGTGAAAAATATTTTCTTACCGACTATTGAACCATAAAATAATCAGTTTTAGGGACATCACGCTGTACTCTATAGTGACACTTAAACTATCCATCAAGTACGACATATCGTCTGTTCTAAAGTGAATAATGATCCACCAATATTGGAAAGTCTGCACTATACCGATGGTCAATATCCAAAGACATCGAAACAACAGGGCACAAGGCGTATTAGGCCAAAACCCAATACATCGAAGACCGATTTGCACCGAAAGAGCAACAGTGCTTGCAGTCATGCTACTGCTTCGTGACATCTTATAGCAAAATATAATAATACCGATATTTCAGTTTACGTTTAGTGCTACGTAGAATTTGGGCAGGAATTCGACATCTGAGATATCTGAAATGTAACTTGGAATATTTGTCGAAATTGTTAACGTCTTAAAGCCATAAATCACAATGCCAACAGTACGATTTTAAAACGACTCTAGAGCTGTAACTTGATCACGCAAGGTTCGTTGGTTGAACATAGCCGTAGCAAGATAATCACCGATCAATTGCAATCAACTGAAAACAAAGTTATACAGTAATTTACATGAAACAAAGGGGATTAAAATTGTAGTTTTTCAGCTATAATTACGATGTGGAAGCGCAGTATATAATGGTTAGTCTTACTTCTTTGTAAAAAAAAATGTCGCCGACGGAACAAATTAATTGCTTGAAAAATCCAAGAGACAGCGTTTCTACTTACATCAATTATACTATTCATATATAATAGGAGCATGCGCAGTTTTAGAATAATAGCTCTTTCAAGAAAAGTATTAAATGTAGAAAAAGACACATGAAATGAATATCGAGACAAGCAAAAATATAACGGCCAGTACGGTGTGCAGTATCTTTATGCATGTAAAAGATTATTTTCTAAACAATGCTATTAAATATTATTAAATTTATACTCGATTTTTTAAAAGTCATTTAATTGTCTAAAATACGAAATAATTTCTATCATTTTTTTAACATTTCTCCATCATAGAAAGTGCCCGATTTCTTGTCACAAAATTGTTTTCATTCAATCTTTTACAATAATTTGCATAAGTGATAATTTAATGAATATCAAGGTATTAAGAAAATCAAAGAGTACAATTGAAGATCCTAATTCAGCTTTTAGAACTTTCGATGGGTTTGCGCAAAGCTTTGGTCAAATGATGAAGTTTACATTGTAGTGAGGAACCTAATTCTCATTGATCCATGTGGTATGTTATTCCTACGTTGTTTCCTTCTAATTATTCTACTATTAGCAGTCAAAATTAATTTTATCTCCGAAAAGATTCTAAACTTAAAAGTCATTACTTCGCAACATTTTCACCAAATCATTAATATCAAGAGTATAAGATTAGATTTTTTTTATATTTCGTATAGATTAACTAAAATAACATGATAAAAATATATATTTTGTATCCGATGTGTATTGCTAAATTATTACACTTAGTACGTATTATTATATTAAGTATATAGTATTAATTATTACGCTCACGTACGCACTACTAGACGCGCGGCTCACGGACGTGCGTCCGTTTAAAACACGGCGTCAGTTGGATTATCTTTACTCGATAATAACTGCTTCGGTAAGCATGGTGGAAAAAAATTTCCTAATAGTAATCGACTTATTTTTTATCAGGAATAACGCTATATGAATACTGGCGGTATTTTGGAAACACCCTGTATATGTGTGTGTGTGTGTGTGTTGTGCGTGTGTGTGTATATGTATGCAATCAAAATCTTGAAAATCTAAACATTTTATTATCATTATCGATGAATAAGTTGGTACATCACGTATTGTCTACATTCAATTTGCATAACCATTGTCGCATCATTATGGACACCGACAAGCAACAGCTGCGATAAAGAGTTTCTACTATTATCTTTAACTGCACGTAATAGACATCTAAACAGATTGGCCCACAAACTTCAAACTTTAATACATCGCGTGTAATAATGATATATATGAAACAGAGGCCTTTATAATCTAGAAAAATTATATCAAATAATAATATAATAAAAAAATATAAGAAAATAAATTTGTAAATGAATAAATTGTGTAAATATAAATCAAACATTTCTATAAATAGACATGGATATATTTTACAAAGAAGAGACTCAAATATTTCCCAATAATATGAATGAGCTTCTAATACATTGTTTTATAGATGGAAATAAGAAACACGTACTTTTTTATACGTGTCCTATTAAGGAATGCAACATTCTTTAAAAATGCCGTTTTTTTGTTTCAAAGCAAATATCGTAGGAACTATAAGAGATAGAAAACGAGTTTAAAATAAAATATACTGTACACCATATATACTGAGGAGGATCCTATCACGTGGGTCAAAATATTTGTATATTGTCCATTCTAATATAAGATAAAATTGATTACTCAACAATAATCGGCGTTGGATCTCAAGAGCTTATTAATTCAGTTTAGATTTAATATAAAAGTTGCATAGTTTTAAGAGTACTTAATAATCATTATTTAGAACATTTTAATGTCCTTTTTTTTATAAACAAAACATTTTGTTTAAACAAATATTTTAAAATTATTAAATAAAGTTTTCTTGAACTATTATAAACTTTTATTTCCAATATTTTCTTCTATCTCTTAAAGTTTCGACAATATTCGCTTAAAGAAAAAAGGGTGTTTCTATTACATTTTTTTTCTAAAGTGTCTCACCTCTTAAAAATGCTATAGAGTATGTTTAAAAAAAAAATATTTTCCTTATTTTTTCCTTACAAAGTACCATTAAAGGCTCATCAAAAATCGCAGGGGAATACTTGAATCCCTTCTTTATCATTTAAAAGATTGTCGTATAAAATTACTTAGTAATAGTACATCTTGATTTCATTTTCAAAATCGAATGATGACAATGTTGTTTCACATTAAGACGAGATTTTTATTAACAGAAAATTCAGTGCTGGGATCTTACACTTGTGAATCCCTCTAGTGACAAGTCCATGATCTTTCCAGCAGTGATAGTAAGCCTTCTTTGTGATCTCAATATTATAAACAGGATGAGCTTGCACTCGTTGGGTTCGAAATCGTACCAAATTGTCTCGTATGCCGCATCGCTAATCATTTTGCTCTGAAGAAAGTCGTAAAAATGTCGTATTATTAGTGAAATAAATAACTAAATCGATATAGCTTCATTTATACAGTATTGTATACAAAGAAAAAGTTCAGACACAATTCTCCTATATATTACAGAAATCATCAAAAAATTAAATTATTAACAAGATGCCTTCTTTTTAAATAACTACGGAACTATTAAAATTAATTTATGTAATAATCATTTAAATAATTATCCTAGCAAATAACAAATATAAATGTTGTATAACTTAGATGTAAAATGATGTATATTTAGGCTATAACAGTTATGTTTGTATTTGGAATTATTTGACATAACAATAAGACAAACACTTTTTTAATTCGTATATGGCATGAATAATTAATTATTACGGACGCATTGTAATATATTCACATTGAAAGAGAAAAGAAGATCTTTATCTTTTTTCTTTAGAAGTTTAGAAATGTATTTTGTTATGAATTGTTCCATGATGATTATGATGAAAGTGCAGTTTAACATTATTTCAAATCGCCAGGCGCGTATAACCAAATTGCGTAAATTAATGTCAATGTAAATCAAATATAGAAATCTCGCTTGTGCATTCCGACCTTGGCACTGAGATATTCTCCACAAAAGCAGAAGATAAACGCCTCTACTGTAGCAGCCATGTAAAACACAATAGCTTTCATTAATGATGAGCTATCAATCGTATCCGAGCCTTGCCTGCTTATCGACTGCAACATAAATCAAACTACAATATAAATTGTTACCACTCTAAGACGCAAATTCTCTTTAGTTTTGGCGAACAATTACATAACATATTTACCGTTACAATCATAAATCCTAAACAACAAATCACTAAAGAGCTTGACAAGAATTGGATTAGCGCTATGTAACAAAAAATTTTTTCGATTTGATCTGAAAAGACAATGATCTTCTGATGCTTGTCGATTAGTTCTTTCATGATGGAAATAACAAAACGTTGGTTATTTCTTTCGGAAGAAATATCCCTTAATGCATCACACAAAATTTCTATCTGACCGCTCGCATGAAGAATCTAAAAAAATACACATTCTATAAACACATATGACAAAAAATGTTCACGCCATTAGAGGTAAAAATTAATTGTTAATTACACAGCATATAAAAAAGTTATATATATGTATATATTTTAACATTTAAAACAAAATGTAACATATAAGAAATTTTTATATTATAACTTTAAAATAGTATTAAAGTGAAAAGAAATACATATAAACAAGTATCTGATTTTAACTTATTTTTTATTTAACTTATTTTTAAATATTAAGTTGTCCGTGAGATACGCGATTATTAAATAGTAAGAGTGGCAGATTATGAAATTAATATATTTAATCCTATAATATTTTATATACCGAGAAAAAACAAAATTCTTTTCCTTCAATTATGTATATAGGTACAATTTTGAAAATATTTCCACGTGTCCAAATGCGCTAAAAATCTAATTATAGAAAGAAAACGAAAAGAAAGTTTTTTTTTACAACAGTGAAGATAAAAAAAAATATCATCAGTATTTTACTATAATCCAATGTTGGGATATAATTTTATCCACACATTCAATAGCATTCAGGAATAAAAAATTATAACTTTTTATGATGGTATAAACGATAATATCAGAGTTGAAACACTTTTGGAAAACTCGTTATCATTACATACTAACGATAATAGCGTTGCAAGTAACGCGTTATTTACCATCCCTGTCATATATGTATATACATAGAGCACAGTCGTAATAAATCTTAATACAATAAAAAAGCACAAAAACATTAATAATATCACATAATATTGTTTAGTCAAGTAGGTGAAACTTATAATATTAAAAAAGATTATTTTTTGTAGATTGTACTCACTAATGTGATGATTAGAGAGTTCAGTACGCCAGTCGTGGCTGAAGATGCCAATTGATGAAGGAACTCCAGACACATAACGAGCTCGTACCGAGGCGACTCGTCACTCTCAAACGGAAGCTGTAGCTTCAGCGTGAACTCACGAGCCGGCGGCGTCTCGACTTCATCAATATCGTAATTGTCATTTTGAGACACTAGCACACCAATACCGTAAGAAAATGCCGCTGCCGAGTGAAGTCCAATGATCACGTTGGAAAAGTACCGTGACATATTTGCCTTGTTCCTCATGGTATGCATTTCACTGATGGCGGCTCTCCTCCAGTCTGCAGCCATTTCAGCTAGGATGTCATAAAATATACTGCGGCAGTTTATTCTATCCGTGAATTCACTGATTCTCATTAGATGAAAATGTAATAAGTACAAGAAGGGGATGGGGACCAGAAAGAAAGCAGATCTGACTTTTTAATATAAATATATCTTCATGTAAGATTGATTGCACTTTTGACAATTATTGCAATAAAATAGCACGATCCTATATAATGTAGATATTCTAACGTTCTGAGAACGCTCATAGAAACATCTCTGGGATAAAGTGCAGTATAGGCTTGTATATGGCCATATAAATTAATTGATTAAACTAAAAACAATTTTAATAAGATATTGAATAAATCTACTATATCTTTTCTTCCTCACATATTTTCAAAATTTAAATTTTTATTGAATATTATGTAGAAGACATTAATCTCTATTTAAAAAAATGTTGCCATAAGAGTCATGACTTGTAGGATTAATTGACAAATAAATTTGATTTTGATCCTTGACAGATATTCTCTTACCGACTATTCAACCATAAAATAATCAGTTTCAGGAACATCACGCTGTATTCCATGGTGACACTCAAACCGTCCATCAGGTGCGACATGTCGTCGGTTCCTGAGTGGATAACAATCCACCAGTACTGAGAAATTTGTACTATACTAGTAGTCAATATCCAAATACCTCGAAAGAACAGCGCATACGACGCATTAGGCCAAATCCCGACAAATCGAAGACCGATTTGCACCGAAAGAGCAACAGTGCTTATAGCCGTCATTTTTCGCGTCCTGATATGTTATTTACACCGAAGTATACCAATTTTCGTTCATCAATTTATATTTATTATTATATAAAGTTTGGCCAAGAATTCAATAATAACATTATCCAAAATGTGTGTATTGGATACTTAGATATTTATCGAAATTGTTACGTTGTAAAGCCTCGAATCACAATGGCAATAGTATGATTTTAAAACGACTCTAGAGCGGCAGTTGATCACGCAAGGTTTACTGGCTAAACGTAACCGTAGCAAGATAATCACCGATCAATAGCAATCAACTGAAAATAAAAATTATTGTAGTTTGTATGAAACAAAGGAGATTAAAATTATAGCAATTCAGCTACGATTACGATGCACAACCGCAACGTATAATTGTCAACTCGACTATTCTTTCGTAGAAAATGTCGCCGATGAGATAAATTAGTTACTTAAAAAATGCAAGAGATAACGTTTCTACTTGCATGCATGGGATCATACGCAGTTCTAGATTAATAGCTTTTTCAAAAAAAAATTATTAATTGTACACCTATGGTAATTCTGTGTCTAACCTAAGAAATTTTTACAAAATGAGAAAAGGACATCTTTCTACGCAACCGTTTAATTAACATGTTGGAAAAGCGTAAACTGCTAGGTGGCAGTCAGCAGAAAATTCTATAACAGTTACAAAGCTGCTTTCTCCGCTAAACGCAACTCTTGACTTTATATCATGACGTTCTGCAGAATGATATATATGTATAAAGATATTTAAAAATTAATATACCATTAATTAATTATTGTGAAAATTGAAAATGATGCAGAACTCTTCGACTCAGTTCAGTTTACCCTATCTACACAAGAATGTTTTGTTAATAATTGTGGTAGACCTTATATATAGAGTGTTTAACTAATAAACAAAACTCTAGCATAATGGCAGAATGGACTAAACTAAGAAAAGTTTTCTACTATTTTTAAGGACATATTTGGATTCTCACCCGGTTGCTTCCCGAGTGTCATGTTATCATTGTTTAATATTCGGTAAACAAGGATAAAGTTATCATAAATAATATTATACATTCGTATAAACGTTTCTTCTCAAAATTTTGTCAAAAATTATTTTTATTTAAAAAAAAATAGCAAAAAGAATTTTCTTATATATGTAATGTACAAAATGTTTAATTATTTGTATATTAAGATATAAAAGAAAATATAAAGGTATAAAATATAAATTAAATATATATGCGAGTAATTATTATGACAATCTAATAAATACTTTATTATACATTGTGGAAGGAAAATTTCTACATTATGTCTACATTTAATTTGCATAACTATTATCGGTTTATTACAAAAATTGGTAAGAAAGAACCGTTAAGAAGAACTAATATCTTTAGCAGAATGACCATTTAGACGCTATATGGCTCGTCTTTGAACTTCAATACATCGCGTGCAATACTGACACATACGAAGCAGAGGTCTTTAAAATCTAGAAAAATTATACCAAATAATAATAATATAATAATACAATATCATATCAATAATAATAATAATAATAATGATACAATAAAAAATACATTAAAAAATTTGTTTTAATTAATTGTTCAAATATAAATCAAATGTGTTCCTATAAAAATGGACTATTAATTTAAAAAAATTGTCTTAAGATCACTTAATAATTAACGTAAATTGTGATTGTTCGAAATAACAATTCAATAATCAATTGATCTATCAAGACGAGGAGTTTATTAACAAAAAATTCAGTGTCAGAATCTTACACTTGCGAATCCTTCTAACGACAGGTCCATAATGTTTCCAGCCGTAATGGTAAGCCTTCTTCGTGATCTCATTATTATAAGCAGGACGAGTTTGCTCTTATTGGGTAAAGTCGTACCAAACTGATTTGTATGCTGCATCGCCGATCATTTTGCTCTGAAATATAGTGTTATAAAAAGGTTGTGTTGTTAGTGAGATAAATAATGATAAATAACATAAAAGTTTTTTTACAGTATAAAAGAAAAGAACAATTCAGATTGTTTGATATAGACACACACACACACACACACACACACATTATCATATATCTTAATTATTATAAAAATATTATATATTCTCATTAAATAATTACAGTAAATTATTGTATCACTGACTTGCTTCCCGAGTGTCATGTTATCATTGTTTAATATTCGGTAAACAAGGATAAAGTTATCATAAATAATATTATACATTCGTATAAACGTTTCTTCTCAAAATTTTGTCAAAAATTATTTTTATTTAAAAAAAAATAGCAAAAAGAATTTTCTTATATATGTAATGTACAAAATGTTTAATTATTTGTATATTAAGATATAAAAGAAAATATAAAGGTATAAAATATAAATTAAATATATATGCGAGTAATTATTATGACAATCTAATAAATACTTTATTATACATTGTGGAAGGAAAATTTCTACATTATGTCTACATTTAATTTGCATAACTATTATCGGTTTATTACAAAAATTGGTAAGAAAGAACCGTTAAGAAGAACTAATATCTTTAGCAGAATGACCATTTAGACGCTATATGGCTCGTCTTTGAACTTCAATACATCGCGTGCAATACTGACACATACGAAGCAGAGGTCTTTAAAATCTAGAAAAATTATACCAAATAATAATAATATAATAATACAATATCATATCAATAATAATAATAATAATAATGATACAATAAAAAATACATTAAAAAATTTGTTTTAATTAATTGTTCAAATATAAATCAAATGTGTTCCTATAAAAATGGACTATTAATTTAAAAAAATTGTCTTAAGATCACTTAATAATTAACGTAAATTGTGATTGTTCGAAATAACAATTCAATAATCAATTGATCTATCAAGACGAGGAGTTTATTAACAAAAAATTCAGTGTCAGAATCTTACACTTGCGAATCCTTCTAACGACAGGTCCATAATGTTTCCAGCCGTAATGGTAAGCCTTCTTCGTGATCTCATTATTATAAGCAGGACGAGTTTGCTCTTATTGGGTAAAGTCGTACCAAACTGATTTGTATGCTGCATCGCCGATCATTTTGCTCTGAAATATAGTGTTATAAAAAGGTTGTGTTGTTAGTGAGATAAATAATGATAAATAACATAAAAGTTTTTTTACAGTATAAAAGAAAAGAACAATTCAGATTGTTTGATATAGACACACACACACACACACACACACACATTATCATATATCTTAATTATTATAAAAATATTATATATTCTCATTAAATAATTACAGTAAATTATTGTATCACTGACATTAATTTAAATAATTATTATTTAAATAATATAAGTAAAACATAATGAGAGACTATTTAAATAATCTATATCTCGAACCATTCAGAAATTTAGGTAGCCCGGGATTTTAAGCAAACACTGTATATTATATTTGCATAATTATTACGGGGAAGAAGGCGGCCATTATAGCACATTAAAATATCTATCGATTTCCTCTATACATATATAATCTATTAACACAATGTTAATAAATAAAAGTATGTAAAATATGACAAAAACAGTAACTGGCATGTAATATCGCTTAAATGTAAGCCTAAAGATGTTAAAAGAAAATTTTTCTATCTTATGCACTTACTAGTGTAATGAGCAGACAATTAAGTATGCCGGTCGTAGTGGAAGATGCCCATTGGTGAAAGAACTCCAAAACCATAACGAGCTCGTACAGCGGCGACTGGAGCTGTAGCTGCAGTGCGAACGCACGAACAGGAATCTCGATTCCATCGGCATCATAATCATTGGTATAGGATGCGAGCACCTCAATGCTAAAGCATAAAAACGATACCGAATGGATCCCGACGATAACATTGGAAATGCGCCGCGATAGATTAGCCTTGTTCATCATGATGTCCATTTCACTGTTGGTCGCTTCTCTCCAGTCTGCAGCCATCGCAGCTAGGACGTCGTAAAATATACTGCGGCAGTTTATTTTATCCAGGTGTATATGGATAAATATTTAACAATAAATGGGAACACAATAATGGATAAGGATAGGTAAGGAAACGGGTATGATTTTCCAATGTACATTTAACGATAAATAAAGTGATATATATTATAAAATGCAAAAAATGTAATAGTAAATTTAGCTTCTATATATTATACATAAGTATTACCGCAGTTAAATATTATTTAAATTAGCTAATAAAAGCATTTATATCTGGATTAAATATATCTTCTATGCATTTCAAATTAAATAAAAAATTTTATTGAAAAATAGATACAGGATATAATTTTTTTTTCTCTCTACTTAAGAGAGAAAAGATAAGCTATGAGAATCATAACTTTTAAAAGCAAACTAAATAAACTTATGATTTTTGATTGCATGAAAAATATTTTCTTACCGACTATTAAACCATAAAATAATCAGTTTTAGAGACATCACGCTGTATTCTAAAGTGACACTTAAACCATCCATCAAGTGCGACATATCATCGGTTCTGGAGTGAATAATGATCCACCAATATTGAAGAGTTTGCACTATGCCGATGGTCAGTATCCAAAGACACCGAAATAACAGGGCGCACGGCGTATTAGACCAAAATCCAATTCCTCGAAGACCGATTTGCACTGCGAGAGCAACAGTGCTTGTAGTCATGCTATCGCTTCGTGACAACTTACAATTTTATAACAAAATATAAGTAATACTGATATTCCAATTTATATTTACTGTTACATAATATTTAGCCAGATATTTGTTATCTGGTATGTGAAATGTAACTTAGAATATTTGTCGAAATTGTTAACGTCTTAAAGCCATAAATCACAATGCCAACAGTACGATTTTAAGACGACTCTAGAGCTGTAACTTGATCACGCAAGGTTCGTTGACTAAATGTAGCCATAGCAAGGTAATAACCGATCAGTTGAAATCAACTAAAAACCAAAATTATGGTAGTTTATGTAAAAAATAATTGCAGCAATTTAGCTATAATTACAATGCACGACCTCAACGTATAATGGTTAGTCTTACTCTAAAAAATGTCGCCGACGAGGTGAATTGGTTGCTTGAAAAATGCAAGAGACAGCGTTTCTACTTACATTCACGGGAGCATGCGCAGTTTTATAATAATAGATATAATAGCTCTTTTAAGGAAAGTTAAAGTCAACTGTATTATCAATTAAATGATATAATTTTTATATAACAATCATTTCTTTCCTCTTTTACATATTCGAAGATCCATTTCCAGAATTAAAGTGTACGCATTAATATGTGTTTGTAAGATGGAGTTTTTGTCGAAGACAAAAAGTTTCAAAATTAATATTTTTACCATTTCTTAGTCCAATATAACGCTCTAGAGCTGTCACATTGTAATAGTATTTGCTTCGTATAAAGCTGTGCAATCTGTGCTTACGAAATCCACAGATCAGTAGTTTGCAAGAAGAAACAACGTGGAATTTTTAGATTTGAGCTTAGACGTTTAATTAAAACGATACTCTTCCAATTATTAGCTAGTATCATATGTTTTTCCTGGATTGTTTCCTTTTAATTATCCAACTGTTAGCAAATTAATTATATCTCCAAAAGAATCCAATTCAAAAAAATTACTTATTCTAATAATTTCACCAAATCACCTAAACGAATAAAATTTGATTTTTCCTATATATCATAATATTAACTATTATAAAATAACATAAAAAGTTTGTATTTTGTATCCACGATGTATTATTAAATTATTACAATTTTATAGTTTATATATATAAAAAGAAATAAAAGATACTTTGACTTTGTCACAACATGTGTACGTAGTTCAAAGTATATACATTATTCTTGGTATCAATACATTGCGTATAAAACAGATATATACGAAGCGGAGGCTTTCAAACTCTGGAAAATTAAATAATATGCAATGAATAATAAGATGTAAATTATATCTTTATTAATAAAGAGAGATACTCAAAATTGCTTTCATTTTTAATATACTGCATGTTAACTGTATACTTATCCTTAAACTATTGTTATGTTTAAAATAATATGTAATTCTTTTTACATTGTATATATACATATATGCATTTACATGAAATATATGTCTATATGTCTAATTTTGACTCGAAAATATACTGCAGTAATAAGATACATCGGAGATATCAAACATGAACTCTCTCTCATTATAAAATGTTTCTTAATATTTCTCACAATAAAAACAACACAATATTAACACTAACTATATGTATTGCAATATACAGTTACAAGACTATATAATTATCCGGGTTATTATATCGAGTATTTCTTTAAACTATTGTCCTGTTAAAAATTGTGAATTCACGTACAATTTTTTGTGAAGAAGGAAAACCTACATGGTAATAGAAAACTGTAATTTACAATTTTTGGAAGATTCTCATACCGGTTTGTACTTTTCCGTATTTATTTGTGTTTTTCCTTTTATTCTGAAGAAGGAATTTTTATTCTGTATAAGGAAAACGAAATGGCATGAGAAATATGAAATGAGCGTTCGGTAACTCCAACATCCCCTTAATAGCTCATATTTAGACAATTAATTGTGAATTATACCACTGTTGTAACGAGAGTGCTAGAATTATTGTTTCTAATTTACCCAAAAAGCAGTTTGAAAAAATCATCGATATAATGACGTACTGTCTGAATAATTATTTAATTTCGTAAATGTAGATGTCGATATTGCAATATACGTATATTAATTTATGTTATTAACTTATGTAGCTGTAAAAAGTCTACAATTTCAATAAAATCTTACGTGCGTGAATCCTTCCAACGATAAATCCATAAACTTCCCTGCAGTAATTGTCAGACGTCTTTGCGATCTCATTATAACAAACAGTAGAATGCGGCAATCCTGAGGCTTGAGGGTATACCAGACAGATTCATATACGGCATCGCCGATTGTTCTGCTCTAAAATGTAAATGAGAAACAAGTACTGCGAAGAAATAAGATGTCCTCGGTACGTATGTTATGATGCTTTATTATTAGATAACTAACAAATGATTTCCGATATTCACCTTATTACTTAAATATTCACCAGCGAAACAGAAGATAAATGCCTCCAAAGTGATAGCAATGTAAAAAAACAAGGTCTTCACTAACATCTTTATCCCTGCATCAGTGCCCAACGACTGCAAGTCAAGAAAACGGTCAGCAAGAAAGGGCGATATAAAGCCGAGATCTTAGACACGCGAAAAGCGAGCGAATATCTCCCACCATCGTGCAACTCGTAAGGGCTTTGTGTGAAGATAAAGGAGTTCGAGGATATCCGGTCAGTCTTATAGCATTTCTATACATGAAGAAGTGACTCGAAGTCATGTCAATACATTTATATAGAAATCTTTTTACTTAAAATAAAAATACTGCAGCAAATAAGATTACAAATAGAAACGTTGATTCTTTCATATATCGTAATAAAAGCTATTGGCGGTCATACTTATACAGTCAAAGTGCACGACACTTAAAACGATAATTTAAACAAAAATTCAGTTATAAATATTTGTTACTCACAGTCACTATGAGGAATCCAATGCAACATATGATCAAAGTATTTGAGAAAAATTGCATCAGTGCGATGTGAGAAAAAAGACTTTCAATATGCTCCGAGAAAGCAATAATTTTATGATGTTTATTGATTAAGGATCTTATTATAGTAGTGGATAAATTATATTTATTATTCCTAGGGGAAATCTCTCCCACTTCGTGTTGCATAAGGTCTATTTGCCCACCAATATGTAGCATCTATATATATACATATATATAATACATATTAATTATTTACAGTGTTTTCCGTTATCTCGAATAAAATTATCTAGATAATCGTCTAGATGAAGAAATGGCTTTATCTTATCTTCATCTAGATTATTAAGAATATAGATTATCTCTATTCTATCTTAAAACATAAAAAAGAAATGTTATCTTTTTCAAACTATCTAAAAATTGTACAAGAGTGGTATTATAAAAAATTAACTTCCAGTAGTAGTAGTATAGTAGTAGTGATGAGGATTTTTTTCGTTCTACAGACAAAAAATTGAGATTAGTGTGACACCAGTCATTTAAAGATATATTGAAGTACTTTCATATTTAGAAAATAAATCTAAGAAAATAGATATTCTACTTTTATATCCACACGTCAAATAAATTTTTTTTTAAATATGACATATCATTGCCATCAACGTCAGCAGAGCACGTCTTTAGTTATAAACAACAAATATTAATTTGTACGTAGAAATCGTTTATCAGACGAAATGTTTGAACAACTTTGGTTCTTAAAAAATAAAAATTTATAAAAATATGAAATCATCATTTTTGCAAATATGAAATCATTTTTTGCATCCTAAATTGTTTTACTACCTAATAGTTACTTAAAAATAAAATTATCTTAAAATTTATCTAGATAAATTTTTTTTATTTTATCTAGATTAATGTAAAATTAATCATCTTTATCTTGTCTAAGCTACATTTTTGTGTGCTTTATCTTATCTATATCTAGATAATTTTTAATTATTTAAGCGCAACACTGATTATTTAATTATATAACTGCTAAATAACAGTCCTCGCTTAAACTGTCAACAGAATCGCATAAATACCAAATCTTTAATATAACTTAAACAATACTAAATATATAACATACACATTTATCGATGCATCAAATTAGAAAAAATGTTGCTAAGTGAGGCCCAGTGCACAATTGACAACAGTGCTTGCAATTATCTATGTAGATACTTAGATAGTAATTATCTAGAGAAAGAAAGAGAGAGTAAAAAATGAAATTAATTTTATTTTGTCTAAAACGTATACTTCTACGTGTAAAAAAATTATATTATCAAGATAATTTGAGTTATCTGACTAAACGGAATACTGCTTAATAATTCGTCTCACAAGTAGCCGCGTGCATATTTATGTATGTATGCGGTTTATAATAAAAAGAGAACAGGTGGTCAAACTGACCGTTTCAAACTTCTTTTAGGTATTATGACATTTCTTCAAAATAAATGGAAACACCAGCCGGCCTGTTGTAAGGCATCAGAACAAAACAAAGTGCAAGGTTTTGTCCACCTCGCTATTGTACATGGTATAGCAGAAACGTGAAACAACTGGAAACGAAATCTCACTCATGCGCAGAGCCCAACATGAAAGAGCCACTGTTCGCATGCGTGTGGATAGTAGATCAAAAGCGCGAACGAATTGCAACGACGCTGATGGACTTGTGTAAAAGAGGGAGTACAGTTGAGATCTGCGGTCATCGATCGCTATTATGGATCGAGAATCTGTCAGTTCAGAACGTCTCACGTATGCTACTTACGCTTACGTTTTATCGTATTATTTCACTTTAATTTCTGCTCTCCTATCTTTCGTGCAATTTACTTTTCCTTCAGTGTTATCCTTAAATTATTCTTGCGTTGTGCATTTATTATGATTTAAATAACATATAAAATATTGTTTTTATTTCTTTGAAAACTTTTAATCAGTTAAATAAATTTTTTTTTAATTGTTTGTTTAGAATAACTAATACTAGGATAACTAATACGCTTTATTTTCGTAAGGAAAGAGATATATTTTTATTTGATAAAATGTTATTTTATAGCGAGAAGAAGAGAAATTACTTCTTATTATTATGATGAATTATTTCTAAATATTATAATAATTAACACTAAACGTACCGAGATTTAATATATCTACCTATTTGTAGCGTAACCGGTCAAATGACCAGTGTGATAAATAACGCTAGACTATACGTGTATATTAGATTTAACAAATAAAAATATAAATTATAAATGATGTAAAATTAATTGTATATATTTAATAGAAAAAATCATGAAGTCAAATGTGAAAAAGCGATAACATATTATGCGAATTTTCTAATCAAAAGTTACAACCGGTCATTTAACCGGGTCGTGGTACGTTTAGTGTTAATCATGCATTATGAATTTATAAAATTAAAAAAACAGTAGTACTATGAACAACGATCATAAGTATTACAATGTACGTATCAAGACGCAAGAAGGAAAATTATAAATATTGTTGGTTGCAACTCACCAAAGTAACCATTAATGCATCCAGCATACCTATGGCGGAGGCAACAGCCATTAAGTGAACAAATTGCACACACTCTACGATTTCGTAGATTGGCGATTCGCAAAATTCGAACGGCAACTCCATTTTTATCAATAACTCTCGGCAACTGTCGTTGGTTTGCTTACGAAAATTAATAGACGCGGTACTGTAAAGCAATACCGCTGTAGAGTAAACACCGATGGTCAATTTTGAACAGCGGTGCGCAAGAATCGCCTTGTCGATCATAGCGTACATGTTAGAATACTCGCTCCAGTCGTTGGACATCGCCGTCAGAATATCAATGAATAATCTGTAACGTAATACCTCTAATGCCTCTAATGTCTCTATTGCAGCACTAATTTATATTTATGATATGATACAACAATTGTATATTAATTCGTGAAAAAAGGAAAATCACAAAATCATCAAAAGAATTTTCTAACTATCAAATATCTTTGAATTGCTGCATCATATTATCAAAATACAATAAAAAATTAAATAACATTACATTTTATAATTTAAAATCTCTTTTCGGCGCAATCTAAAATTATAAGACGTTATATACTTAAATAGTTTTAAAACAATCTTGCTTAGCAATCAACGTATTTTATGAATCATTATCTTCAACGAAGTATTAATCTGAGAATATGATGTTTTATAAAATTATTATGTTGTAGGAAATGCACACACACATACCGGTTTTTGACCCATAAGACAACTAGCTTGAAGAAAAGAAGATTGTACGGTAAAGTAGTGCTTAAACCATCTATCAAATACGGTAGTTCCTTGATGCTAAAGTGTACCAGAAGATAATGATACTGGAAGATCAGTCCTGTTCCCATCACCATTGTCCAAAGCAATCTGAAGAAGATTGAAGAATTTGGCCATATCCCAGTAAGACGGAGGCCAATTTCGACCGGTCGACTGACAGTGCTGGTTGGTATCATCAGGCATATAAAAATCCACGTTTTTTTTTATCTCTTCGTTAATGAAGCCTGACAAAATGAGCTCCTGAGACTTCAATCGCGTACGATCGCTGCACGTACTTCTCAGAGAATAAGCTTCAAGATATTAACATGAAGATTGGATGCGGCCCCACCTTAAAGGCCACCAACCAATCGCAAACGTTAACCGTGTATTTTTGTCATGTGCTTAGGAATGCAGAAAAAAGTTACTACGATCGAACGATGATTGTAGGCCTTGACGGGGAAAGAATCGATGAGAACTATTTTGTCATTTCCGGAACGAGAAAACCGCCTGTCCCCGTTTATTGCAGGTGATTTACTTTAAATATGCAAGAAAATATTATAGGGAAAAAGTTACAACACGCCAGTGTAAGAACAAAAATCGTCAGAGTGACTATCATCTATCATCAATAGAAGTTTCTGAGAAAAGTACCGAACATAAGTTTTCGATCATGGTACTGAATTTTCGCGAATGATAGGTCGATACGCATGAGGAAATGCAACAGACAAAAAAATAAATCAACTTTGTATGTAATTTTCATTCAGATGTATACGACTTAGAATAAGGTGTCTAAGACCGGCAATAATACTTTACTACATATAAGCTGATATGTGTAAATTGTTATGGATCCACATCCATTTTGGACGAGGGAATTTTGATAAGCATTTTAATAGAACTTTGTACTATATAAATAATACAAATAATAAATACGGCAAGGTAAATGCTGCTTTATATATTTTTAAGTTATAGTGATACTTATGCATATACATTCATATACGTCTTGTTCTCAAAGTTTATAAAAAAATGAGTAAAAAGTATAAAAACGACAAGTGTGTAAAAAAACATAGGAAAGTAAAATATTCACGTAGCACATAATGACTTAAAATTATTTAATAGATAAATATAGTATGCAAACATATGTATATGTTTCTGTAGACTTCGCAATTGATATTTTTTTGTTGATCAAGACATTGCATATAGCATCGACACGTAAGAAGCAGAAGCTTTTAAAATCTGAAATATATAGAATCGTTTTATGTTAGGAAACAACAACCCACTTCCACAGAGGACAACATTGTTATATCTTACAGCTGCAAAAACTTCTAATGATAAATCATTAAATTTTCCAATTGTTAAAGTCAATCGTTTCTGTGATCTCAATATTAAGATCAACACACTTCTACTTTCGCTGGGTTTTGCATTATACCAAAGAGCCTCGTAAGCTGCATTTGCGACTGATTTACTCTGCAAAAATAAAAAGAATTATCAATATATAAGATAGTGCCATTCACAAAATAAAACCAGGGTTGCGCATAGATTTTACGTAAATAATTCGTGTAGACGTAATCTTAAAATCTACGGCACAACCCTGAATAAAACATTTAATCAATAGTTGTATTATAGATTATAAAAAATGTCTACGCTCTGAAAATTATGTTATTATACTGAAATATTATATTAATACAATGAAAATTATTTGCAAAGTTAAAATCTATTTACATGTATATTACTAATTTAGTAAAATATTTATTTTAAACCTTATTACTAAGATATTCTCCAGCAAAGCAAAAGATGAACGCTTCCAATGTGATAGCGATGTAAAAGAATAAAGATCTCAACAGCATGTCGTATCCTTTGTTACCTTCAATCGACTAAAATAATAGAAAAATGGTTTTATCATGTACATGTTGGATATTTACAGCTTATTTTCAAATATATTGTAAATTTAACAATCTTTTATTTTATATAATCTTTTATAATATATATATATATATGTATCTTAATATACATATATGTATATATGTATATTGTTTATTCGACGCGAAATATTTACTATCAAAATGACAAATGCTATGCAACATATGACAAGCGTGTTCGTAAAAAACTGCATTAGCGCAATATATGAGAAAAGACTCTCGATATTATCTGAGAATGCAATGACATTCTGATGCTTGCGGATAACTGCGTTCTTCGCGTCCTTATAAGATTTATATTCATAGTCTTTTGAGAAAAGTTCGAGCAACTCTTGGCACACAATATCTATCTGTCCACTTATATGAAATATCTAAAAGTCCAAGAGATGCCACATTATAAAGATAAACAGAACTTTTGCAAATACAAATAATTATACTAGTGTAAATTTTCGCAATGATACCCACCTATAGTCACATTTTATAAATCAATCTATAAATCTTGAACATTTAGACAAAATAATTTATACTTTTAAAATCAACTTACATATGTGAACTTATTAATTTAAAAAAATCATCGCATTATTACATGCTATCAAATGATATTTGGTATTCGTCTTCAAACTAGATCAGAAACTTACCAATGTCATAATCAGCGCATCCAGCATCCCAATTACCGAAGCATTGCTCAATAATTGTACAAACTGAACAAACATAACGATTTCATAAACAGGAGAAAATTCATAAACAAAGGGGAATTCCATCTTAAGAAAAAGCTCTCCTTTGCCGGATTCACTATTAATGCTATTAAATTCCATTATAACGGAAACATAAACCACAGCGGCAATTGAGTATACTCCGATAATCAACATCGAGCAACGATGAGAAAGAATTGCTTTATTCGTCATAATGCGTACATCGGAAGCAATGGCATCGCAGTTGCGCCAATCTCGTGACATCGATGTCAAAATGTCGTTAAATAATCTGAAAAGATTGTCTCCATCATATACCATATATAACAAAATTAATTCTAATTGCAGATTACAAAGTAAAAGATTGTAATTATGTAAATTTTTTATATACATATATGAAAACAAGATAAGAAATTCTCAACCACTTTTTCACCATCAATTTTTTATCATAAAAAAACATATTGTATATTGACAAATAATTAAAATTTAAAATATGTTCAACTTGTGTCAAAATACCTATATTATATATATTAGTTTCTTACCTTTGATTCTGCCAGAGGATAATCAGTTTCAAACAGAGCAAGCTGTAAGGCAGAGTAGTACTGACGCTGTCTACCAGATCGAGAAAGTTAGCAGTTTCGATGCAGGCGATGATATATTTAAATTGGAATGTTTGAGCGAGACCCAAAGAGATTGTCCAAAAAATCCGATATAAAATGCTATGAGATCCTGGCCAAATCCCAATAGCGCGCAACCCGAACTCAACCGAAGGGCTTATGGTTGTCGTAAGACTCATTTTTACTTCCGATTAACAGGATTGACTGTATCCGGTGCGTGAGCTTCTCTTAATGCCTCAAATAGCAATCGAAAAGTTACCACATTGTTACTGATAATTTGATACGACGTAGAAATCTTACCACTTACCATGCAACGTTCAGTAATCCTGAAGGATTCTAGAAATCTAGAGAGTTCATCGCCCAAGTATGAACCCAGTGATCGTCCGATCGGTCGAAATTATTCATCGCACATATACCTAGTATATTGCAAGAGAAGAAAACTATGCGACACTATGATTTCAGGTTTGCCGAAGGGAAAAAATAAATCATAGGTAATAAGTTTTGTAGTCTTCCATGTCGAGTGTCCCCTGCAGGCGTGCGATTGCAATATTATTTGCTTTAAAAATGCAAAAGGCTCGTTTCGGGTAAGCTTATACATCATGGTACGCTACAGAGTTATAATCGAAAGTAAGCGTGATGCAAGGGAGGGGATCGAATATCTTGGACACAACCGATGCACGAAGCATATGACACAGTCTTCTGTGTTCAATATTCGAGAGTGAGGATTTCAAGATGCTTTATATCTAGTGCTGTGTGTGCTGTGTATTGTTTTTCTTCATAACAGATATTAATAAAGAGGTTTATTTTTTAGGTAAAAAAAGTGAGATTGATATACATAATTGCTTGCAATGTAATATTGTAAATGTTATATAATACTTTTGTTATATTGGCCTCTTCTTCTTTCATATTTTTTATTAATCGAAAAATTTATGACTATTCTGAAAGCAAAATGAATAGCAAGAAATGGAAAAGTTAATCAATTGCATATAAAAAAGTGCTGTTACATCATATTTAAATATTTACATATGTTTGTATAATTTTTTTTACATTATTTAAGATAAATAAATTCATTCGAAGTGTTTACCGCATTGATTTAATTTTCATAAATAGTACCATATTTGTACAAGGGTTTTATCATTTTTTATACATTTTTAATATATCATGTATAACATTGATACATGAAGATATTGATATTTTCAGAATTTAAAAAAAGAAAAGAAATAATACAATACCAATTTCATTATTTAATAATTAAATTTCATGCTTTTGTAATTACGCAAAGGAAGTTAACATAAAATAAATGTTATGTTACAGAAATATGATTTTTTATTAATTGTAAAGATCTTGTTAATTAATAAAAATTATATCAATTAAATTACGACAGTGATGTTTAAATCGTAATGCTTAAATACTATACTTATAATCATATCACACTATTATTATTAAGAAAAATTTCAAAATTTTTATGTTAATAGAATCAGAAACAAGTCTATGCATTTTCCGACTCTTATCTGTCACTGTTCAATTCGCGGATGGCTTTAGAATAATATATAGCTCTTTGAAGAAACGTTAAAATATGGTAAAGAAAACACAGATCATATACGTGTGCTTCCAAACGTGCAATAATTATGACGATTTTTCATGGAAGTAACATATATTTGGTTTCCAAATTTTTTATTTTCATTTTAATACATTTTTTTATTAATACGAAATCATTTTTCTTGATAATAAATCAAGTACTGTACTATCGCTTCTTTTAGATCCTTTATCTAACGAGAAAACGATGATAAATGTTAGAAGGTTTTAAAGTATTAACTCAAAATAAAGTTATATTAAATAATTTTTTCCCACTTCAAGTGTTACAGGATTAACTAAAATATCATGATAAAAGTTTATTCGCATCCACAATTTCTGCTATTACATTGTTACAGAGTTAATTTATAGAAAGAAGTGAATAATACCTTCTAACAGCATGTATACATAATTCTAAGTATACACAATTTCTTCAACATTAATATTAATACATTGCATATAAAACAGATATGTACGACGCGGAGGCTTTCAAACTCTGAAAAATTAAATAATATGAAATAAATCAGTTTAACGTGCATATTAATTAAAAATAAAACATTATAACCTTGTTGAAATTTCCAGATAGGTTTTCATGGAAACCCATAAGAATTCATATAGGATATATTCAAAATCCATGTAGAAATCCATATAGGCGTGTTCAGATTCCCACCCAAATGCTCTCTGATGAGTGTCATATCATCTTTATTTAACATTCGGTAAACAATAAAAATAAAATGATACCTGGGTGACACTCGGGTGGAAATCTGACCATAGCTTAGTGAATGAAAATTAATATGAACATCAATATAGAAATTTACGTGTAAAGTTTGGTATATGAAAATATAGTAAGACTGACTGAGACGATCAAATCTTATAATGTATATGCTAACTTTATGATTTCTTTAGTTAATTTTTCGAAAATCTTCTTGTTATATTAATATAATATATTATTTTAAATCACAAATTATAAAACCTTGCGTTATAATTGCATACATAAGAGGTCCCAGGAACAAATTCCACTAAGATGCGGACATGTTTTCAAGACCAATTTAGATAGTTTATTTTAAATAAAATCACTGCAAATCTCTTATTAAGAATAAAATATATAAATCTTACATGTAAATAATTTTTTTTTTAAATATTGAACCAGTGTCGATTTAAGTCCAATTTATTTCAATAGATTCTGACATAAAAAAAATCATATGATTTCTTTTGTATAAGAATATATAGAAATCCACATAGACCCTAAATTTTAAGTCCTATGGAAAATCATATAAAATCCCATACGTACGGATTGCCATATGAATTTCCCATATGGATTCCTACCTGGTTTTTTTCAACAGAAAAACCAAACATTATTGAATAAACGATATGAATAATACATAAATGATATTTTTATATATATATTGTAGTACGAAATAAGTGTGAGCTACCCAAAATTGCTTTCACGTAGTATATTATTAATTTTAATTATTCTTACATTATCATTCTGTTTAAAACAACATTAAGTTTTTTAATATCATATTCGCATACTTAAAGATAAACACTAATGGCTAATTTTGATTCCACATCTAAACAATGCTTTTCAAGATAAATCGAATATCACACATGAAGCATAAAACGATTCTTATCCTACTCTTATCATAACAGAAATGACATAATATGGATATATAACATATATATTGTAATATAGATATCTGTTATTGACTTATGCATAATTAAAAAACCCACAACTCTATTGTTAAAATCTTACGTTTGCGAATCCTTCCAACGATAAATCCATAAATTTTCCCGCAGTAATTGTCAGCCGTCTTTGTGATCTCATTATCACAAACAGTAGAATACGGCTATCTCGAGGCTTGAGGTTATACCAAACAGATCCATATACAGCATCGCCGATTGTTTTGCTCTAAAATGCAAATAAAAGTCAAATGCATGTAAAGAAACAAGTGACGTTTTCAGCATATGGTGGTCTATTTTCAATTTCTCCCCTAACTAACACTAAATATTTCTGATATACCTATATTCGAAAAATGTTTCTAAAGTCTCAAAATAACATTCCAAGAGTATTCCGGAATATTCCAAAATATTTACCTAAATGTAAAAATTGTTGAAAATTCCATTCATACATCGTTATATAATATATTTGGAGAATGTTCTATTTATATATTCTTATAATATACAAAATTATAATTTTTTTTTTAAATCTTAAGTCCGTTAATCGCTGAATTAATTTTTAAACAAAATTGTAATACAACCTAGTAATCTTTTTAACATTAACAATAATAAACAAATTTACGTGGAACAGAGAAAAATTGATAAGTAATTTCAGATACTTACTTTATTACTTAGATATTCACCGGCGAAACAAAAAATAAACGCCTCTAAAGTAATAGCGATGTAAAAAAACAAGGTCTTTACTAACATCCGAACGCCTTCATCTGTGCCCAATGACTGTAAGTCAAGAAAAGATCAGGAAAAAAGTGCAATAATCTTATAAGACAGAGATCTCAGACACGAGTAGAAAGCAATCATTTTCCACTATTGTGCAACTCTTGAGGAGTCGCAAAGATTTTGTGTGAAGATAAAAGAAATCGAAAATATCTGATTAGTCTTAAAACATCCTAATAGATGGAAACGATGATCTTACAAGAGCTCGAAGTCATGCGAATACGTTCACACAACAATCTTTTTATTCCCTTTCTATTTGTGGCTGAATATACGTAGTACAGTTTCATGTCTACAATGCAGTTTGAACGAGGACGTTCTAAGACCACTGCTATTTTGACGTCTGTGAAGCTGATACCACCATTAAAAAAAAATTTGCCCGTATGCCATTAATTAAGTGCTAATTATGTGCTAATTTATTGCTCTAATCCCGAATTTTATACTTCTTTCTATTCGTAGGAAATTAATTTCAAAAGTGAGGGTGCTAACTTCACGTTAAGTTTGTACCCCCACATGCGTAAAACACATACAGAGTACTGTAAACAAAAAATAAATATACCAAATTTGTGCTATTTTGGTGCTCTAAGATACTGCATTGAAACTTTGAGAATTTTAAATAATTACTTATCAGAACAATATCGGTCATTATACGTGCGTTAGCATATATGTATATGTATAGATATCATATCTTCGCATATTTTGTAAAGTGCATTAATTAAGTCATTTTAAGTGCATTGCAAAAATTTCAAATACATACGACACTTAAAAAAACAAAAATATATACAAACGCTTGCAGATCTCTGATACTTACAGTTACTATAAGGAATCCGATGCAACATATAATCAAAGTATTCGAGATAAATTGCATCAGCGCAATATGACAGAAAAGACTTTCGATGCTCTCCGAGAAAGAGATAATCTTATGATGCTTATTGATTAAAGATCTCACAATGGTAGTGGATAAACATTTGTCGTCTTTGACGAAAATCTCTTCTACTTCCTGTCGCATAAGGTCTATTTGCCCACCAACATGCAGCATCTGTATGTTGGTTGTAATTATTTAGTTACATATATGTCTGCTGAGCAAAAGTACATATAGTAATTTAAAAAGAAATTTTAAAGGAACAAATAATCAAGTTGACTATTTCAAATTTGTTTCAGGTACATAATAATTACGTCTTCAAAATAAATAGGAATACTATCCGACTCGCGACAAAACATCAGAACGAGATCGCTGAAAGGTCTTGCCCACCTCGTAATTCGTAATATGAGCAGAACCGTGGCGCAACCCCGAAGAGAAACTACCCCACCTATAAGCGCGGAACCCGACGTGAAGGGCCAATGCTACGCATGCGCATGGATCGTAGATCGAAACGCGAATGAATTGCAGAACAATGCAAGGACATGAACCTGATAGACTTATGAAAGAGGGGATAAGAGATTGAACCCTGCAGGCATTGATCATCGCTGTGGATCGGAAATCTGTCAGTTCGATACATATCATGTATGATACATGTATTATATCACTGAGTTTACATTTTCGTGTCATACCATTCGGTTTAATTTTATTTTACTCTTTTGTTTCTTGTATATACTTTTTTTAATTACTTTTTCTCCAGTGCAGTGCTCTTCTTATATTCGTGCGTCGCGCATAAATTACGATTTAAAACAAATATATAATTATTATTATATTAATAAAATTATTAATAATTATTAATAATGAAATTCTTATCGGTAAAATTATTGTATTGTTTCTTTTATCACTGAGAATTATTCATGTATTACAAAATTATAGAAAAAATACTGAAAGTAATTGTAAACGTTGATCGTAAAACTCACCAACGTAACCAATAATGCGTCGAGCATACCTATGGCGGAGGCGACCGCCATTAGGCGAACAAATTGCACGAACATAACGATCTCATAGATCGGCGATTCGCAAAATCCGAAAGGCAATTCCATCTTTATTAATAACTCTCGGCAATCGTCGTCATTCTGTTTGTTTAGGTTGATGGAAGCGGTACTGTAAAGCAACACTGCTATCGAATAAACACTGATGATCAATTTTGAGCAGCGATGCGCGAGGACTGCCTTGTCGATCATAGCGTACATGTTGGAATATTCGCGCCAATCGTTGGACATCGCTGTCAGGATATTTTTGAATATTCTGCAATTTAATACTTCGCAACACGTCACAAGACCGATCTGTGTTTACAACGTGGAAAATATGCTTTCGCCAGTTCGCGATGACGCAAAAAGAGTCACGAATTTGATTGCCGAGCTAGTTCTTTTCATCGTAAACACAAGTTTATGACTGTCAAATGTATTTGAATTTTTCTCTGATCAATAGAAGAAAAGCATAACGTTATGTTTGTAGTATAAAATAATGTTATCTATCAGGTCATTCAAAATTAAACACAACAATTAATTGCAAAGCATTTTGGAATAACTTTGCTCAACAATCAATATATTTTACGCTCAGAATTTTTAACCTTCAACTTTATACACTAGTGCGAATTTGCACCACAAAAATTTTCAATTTGCTAGCAGTTGCCCAAAAAGTAATTTATTTGCAACGAATTTTTTATTGCAATATAGTTTTTTCATTAACTTGAGTGATACCATATTGAATTTGTGACAAATTTTACCCCAAAAAAGTGTGGTTTTAATGAAATTTCTGTTTTAATTCTCAGAAAAAATTTGCAATTAAAAATGTCAAATTCCAAAATTCGCACTTGTGTTCCATTATACATATCGTAGGTACTCAAGGGAGATGTACTATTATATTTGAAAGTTAAACATAAAAATATAATATTTTGTAAAATTATTGCATATGTGTAGGTACGTAAGTACGTACCGGTGATTAACCCACAGAATGATCAGTTTGAAGAAGAGGAGACTGTGCGGCAAGGTAGTACTTAAACCATCTATCAGATTCGGGAGCTCCTTGGTGCTGAAATGTGTCAGAAGGTAATGATACTGGAAGATCAACCCTGTTCCCATCACCAACGTCCAAAGCAGTTTGAAGAAAATTGAAGAATTTGGCCATATTCCAGTAAGACAAAGGCCGATTTTGACCGATCGACTGACAGTGCTAGTCGGTATCATCGCGCAAAACATTCCACGTTTTTTAATCTCTCCGTTGACAAATCTGAACCAAATGATGTAAATTTCTATTGAAGTTTCCGTATGATCGCCGTACGTATTCACTGAAGAATAAGTTTCAAGATATTAATAAGAAGATCGGCCCACCTTAACGACCACCGACCAATCGCGTATACTAAGCGTATATTTTTATCATATACTTAGTAATGCAGAAAAAAGTTACTACGATCGATCGATGATTACAGGCCTCGACAGACGAAGAATCGACGAGGCCTATTTTGTCGTTTTCTAAATGGGAAAACCGTCTATCACTATTATTGCGGGTGATTTACTTTAAAAATGCAAGAAAATAGGGAAAAAGTTACAACACGCTAGTAGAAGAGCAAAAATCGCCAGAATAATCATCATAAAAGTTTCCGAACATAGTACTGAATTTCTGCGACTGATCGGTCGACATGCATAAGGAAATGCAATATATAGAAAATAAACCAACTTCGTATGTCATTTCAATTCGAATGTGCACAATTTAAATTAAAGTGATCTCGGATGAGGAATTTAAAGTTGCTAATAATATTTTACTGTATATAAACTGACGTATTTATGTGTACATTAATCCACATCCACCCAGGACGAGAGAACTTGGATAAGTATTTCAATAGAACTTTGTATAATCGAAATATGTATAAAGATGACAAATGAGTAAAATATAAAAAGTAAGATATAGACCAAAAATGTCATTATAAATTAACATTTTTTTCTCATTTTTTTTATTGATGGACTTACCTCTAACCTGAAAGCAAAATAAGTAACGAGAAACGAATAGAGTACACAAAAAAGAACTTTTATATTATATATAAATATTTGTTTATCTAACTGTTCCTACACATTAGTTAAGGTAATTTTAATTTTAGACGTTCATTGCACGGCAATGATTTCATTTTTACGCGTTTTATATTTGTACAAGATTTTTTATAGTTCTATGTTTAATACATAGCATGGAGCACTGACATATAGGATGCAGATGCCTTCAGAATCTGCGAAAAAAAGATATAATATTAATTTTGTTGTAAATTAACAATTAAATTTCAGGTCTTTATAATTAAGTGCGGAAAGATAGCATAAAAATAAATATTGTGAAATAAGAATTAGATTCTTTACAAAAATCTTACTAATAATAAAAGTTGTTAAAATTAATAAGTCAAGTAATACTTTGTAGATACTTAACCTTAAGAATACACACATAGATCTCCAGACCCAATAAAAATATCGCTTGCTCCGAATACGAAAAAAAGAAAAGTTTCATTTTATAATTTAACAATATAAAAATTTTTGGTATCACAACTTATACAGGTATATTCCTAATTCTCAAAGTTTCAAAATAAACAAAAAAGAATTTAGAAATATTAATCTAAACCAAAATTATAATCTACATCAAAATTACAGCGGGTTTTTCAGACCTATAATACGTACGTATATGTGTCTTCGACAAAGAATTTTTCGGAAGTTGTGTATATTTTATAGTTAAGTATTATATATTTATAATCATCTCACTGATGCTGTTATTAAGATAAATGGAAATTTCAAAATTCTTACGCTTGTAAAACCCTCCAGAGATAAATCTACAAATTTTCCGGCTGTCATTGTCAATTCCTTTTGCGATCTCATTATCAATAACAACAAGATTTTGCTTTCCTTAGGCTTCAACTTGTACCAAAATGAATTGTACGCGGCCCAATTTATAGACTTGCTCTAAGACAAAATGAAAAATAAAGTATTAAATAATTTATAGAGTACTGGTTACAGTTAGTAAGAAAAAAGCACAGACAATATAGGAAGAGAATTAATAGATTTCAGCCTATAAAAAAAAAATGTATTACACCTTCACTGTGTAATGTAGAATTTGGTAAAATAAAATCGTTCTACCTAAATATTCCCTATTCCTATTGCCTATGCTTTTTATTGTGCATTGAGCTTTTATATATTTTACAATATAAAATTGATTTTTCTCTTTTCTTTTTCTCACCTTGGAATTAAGATATTCGCCACTAAAGCAAAGTATAAATGCTTCTAAATTCACGACGGCATAATAAGGTATGATCTTTACCATCAGAATATTTCCATCACGAGTGCCAAGCGACTACGATTCAGAGACGAAATCCTTCGAACAAATCGCAAAAATTCTGTTTGAAACGAGCGTGTCAAGTTACTCACAGTTACAATTACGAATCCGAGGAAGCAAATAACGAATGTGTTTAAGAGAAATTGCATCAATGCCATGTAACAGAACACATCCTCGATACTGTCCGCGAAGGCAATAATCCTTTGATGTCTACTCACGATAGATTTCAATGCGACTATACGCAAGTCGCTTTTGTTCTCGGCTACAGGAATTTCCAACAATTCATGACATATTATGTCAATCTGACCGGCAACGTGAAGTATCTAAAAGTGATAATTTAGAAATGTCCTAAAGGTTACACAACCCGTCAACCATCTAGTGTGCGCACATTATAAAAATCTGTTAACTCAAATATCGGCACTTAAAATTCTTTGATGATATAAAATTAATTTTTGTTGTAAAATGTAAAGATTTATTTAAAAAGAAATTATATATATATATATATATATTAAGGCAATTATATAAAACATAGTGGATGAACAATTCAGATATTGAAGTTAACTAATATATGTTAATAATTATCATGATTGACGAGGCATTTCTTCCATTGTGAAACCAGATGCGGATGTCCTGTTTATAAAATTCCTTGCGCTCAAATCAAACCCATTCATAAATAGTCATCTTCTAAGTCCGACGGAAATTTCTTGTCTTTTAGATTCTTTTTCAAATCTCCAAAAGTATGGAAATTGCATAGCAGCAAATCTGGTATAGGCAGGGTGCTCCGCCATTTTCCAATGAAATTGTGTCGTTATAAACTTTTCAAATCTTTAGAGACTTGTATCCCGATTCTATAACTTTTAACGACAGTATTGATATCATTATACTGTCGTTGCGCAGATGTTACACATGGTAAAAAATCTATCCAATGACAATAATACCGATATCGAATGATCGTTAAGAGTTACGAAATTGGGGATAGAATTTGAAAAGCAAGAAATTAATCGAACGCAGTGCAAAAAGTTATTTGCGAGTGGATTTAATCTCAGCATATAAAGAATTTTATGAACAAGGTATCTGATTTTACAATGGAAGAAATGCCTTGTCTCCCAACCACGGTTATTAATAGTATATATAACATGTTAGTTGCTTTCAATATCTGAATTTTTTAGTTCAGTGAAACACACTACTCTCGGTTAGTGCGCACTCAATGCTTACCAGTGCGACCTGTGAAAAATGCTATTAGTAAAAGGAATATTTTAATGCAGCAATATTTTATAAAATATTGCAATTCTTCAAATTAAATAATATTGCTGCAATATTGCAATATATTTCATAGGGATAAAATACCGTAAGGATAAAAATAGTGACTAAAATTGAGCTTCTTCAAGAAAAAACGCAATATTATTTGGTACGAAACCAACTTACTAACGTTACAATGAGAGCATTCAACATTCCCGCTATAAGTGCCAATGTGAATTGCAAAAGAAATTGCGTGACTACGACAATTTCGTAAATCGGTGACGCATCGAACTCAGACGGCAGTTTCATTTTGACAATAAGCGGCTTCTCTTCAACAAGTTGCTCAGAGCCCAAAGTCTTTTGAACGATCATGTTACCTGCTCCAAATAAAAATAACACAACAGTATATGTACCGATGCTGTATTTTGAAACTCGATGAGACAAAATCGCTTTTTTTAGCATCGGTTGCATCTTTGCGTGAGTAGAAGAGCACTCATTCCAGTCTTCGGTCATCTTCGTAATCATGTCATAAATGATACTGGATAATATGTAAATATATAACATAATATACCTATGCAATTAGTATACAAACTAACAGCAAAACTAATATTTCCAAAAATAAATTATAAATTAATTTTTTTAAAATTAAAATTATTATACATTCGGAAGGATCTTATAATTTCTATTTTAAAAAAAACGTATCTAATCTATCGCAATGCAACTCGTTCAATGTTGAACTTTTTATGATCAAGCATCAAATTAACTGTTTCACAAGTTAACGTATTCAACTTTAAATTTGAAAAAATTCAGATAACCATAAATGTAAAAATATTTACGCGCATCCATCCCTTGCTCATCAGTTGATGATACCTCAAACGAATCTTACCGTCCGTTCAGCCAAAGAAGGCCGAACTTAAAAAATAACAAGCTGTTCGATAAACATAGACTCAAAGAATCCATGAGGTTCGGCAGAGTATCGGAACCAATGTGAGTAAAGAGATGCCAATACTGTAAGAGTTGCCAGGTGACCATTGTCGTCGTCCAAACAATGCGCATCAAAAATCTGTACGATGAATCTGGCCAAACGCCGATCAACCGCAAAGTGAATTCCATCAGACTGTCAACAGTGCTCGTAGGTATCATCTTCTCTTTCTTTATCCGTGCTTCTCGATTAATTGATTGATTCCAACAATTGTTACAGCCGCAGCCGCCAGCCATTCTTTCGTTTAACGTTGACCAACGTAGATTCACACAGTTCTATCTTTCGTTTCTTATAAAAAAAAGATGAATTTTTTTCTTATTAAACGTGATCAGCTGTGAGTCAAGTGTTCGAGACACAGAGTGTCGGATAGAACCGTGCAGCTAACTAAACGCTATGCTGCACCATAAAAACTTTTCACTATGGCTGGTTGACCTCATAGAGGCAGCGGATAAAGTGCTGCTTTGTGCAGGACTACCGTCCAACTGCAATTACCGAAGACCATTATATGAAGCGCACGTAAATGTGTAACTACTTTGATGATCAGCGGAGAAAGGGACTATTGGAGGTAAGAGCAATCACACGTACTTCGTGAGTTACATTGTTCGCGATATCACCGTCGAGATCATGCGACTTTTGCTTTAAAACTACACAACCATAATTTATCAAATTATTCCGCGAACTCACGGGCAATCACGTGGAAAATTAAAATACAATTGTTCGTAGATAATGAAATATAATAGCCAACTATAATAGTTCAATTTGTTGCGTCGCGTCTGCTATACATCATGGAGGATTCGCTCAAGTGACACTTTCGCATTAGTCACTTGATCATTTCACTCCAACAAGTTAATATTTCAAGATCATTTTTTACAAATATATACATTCGAGATTAATCAAACAAAATATAAACTTCATGCTTTCTTTTTTGTTCAAACAAATACATATTTTTCTTCTTTCTGTATTAATGTAACGGAAGAAATAGTTTTTTAAGAAATATATCTCCTCGACTTCGATCTGAAACTGCCACAGTAAGTAAATAAATATCGTTGAGTTAGCATGAATTTACGGCTGTGAGAATTCCGATACCTCCGGTTCCACAATGATGTAACGTGACAATTTTACAACGTACATGTAGCGGCAATGGCAACCGTTGCCTCCGCTCCTAAAGTTACATCACATAATAAATTTTATCCGTATCAGCGGCAGTGGATGTATTACTTCCGGACGAAGGCAGACATAAGATTCAGTCGTATCTCATATAAATGTATGCACTGCAGTCGTTTTGAAGCGAAACATATCGCGCAAAACAATCCTTTTAGAAGAGAGCAATGATGGATGTCGTCTCCATTACGTTTCTCCAACCAAATAAGAGAAGAGTATCGTGCATGTATCGTAAAAATTATATGAATATCTTCGATGAAAATCAATTCGATTACTGGACGAAAAATTGCAACATCTCCACATTGTGTGTACTTGCTGTACATTTTACAAGTCTCGATCGATTTCTTCACTTGATATTATTAAATTCACTTTTCCAAATGTAACCACTCAAAAGAATAAATCGCAAATAGGTATAGCAACTTATAAATGTTCGCTTCAAAGTGTGTTATAATCATTCTTATAAATCATCCTTGCAGTTAAGTTATTGCAAATTGCAGACGTTTGGTCAGCATCCGTGGTCTCATAGGAAATCATGATGCTAGTAGGTAGAAAGGTGTTGCGGACAAATACGAAATAATGCGAGCCATAAAAATTTACGTGCGCTTTGGGACGCGAATTTCAGTAGAAAAGCAAGATTGAATAATATTAACAATATCAACTGAATGAGAAAATGTGTTTTATTCATAAATCTAAAATAAAAAGATCAACGTGCATCTGTACTGAATATAAAAATTTCAAAATGAATATATTTTTAAATTCTGTATGCACACACACACATTTTTATAGAATTACACTTATTTTAAATCTAACTGTTGGACTTTACAGTTTTCAACATAAAAATTCACTTTTGTGAATTAAATGTTTAAAATTTCAATTTAATTGAGAAAATGATTTTTCCCAATGAATATACAGCTTGAAACGAGTTTTAAGAAAAAAACCTGATTAAATATGATATAAAAAATAGAGATTTAAAGGATATCAAAGGATATTGTTTTATTAAAATCATTTGGGATAAACACACAGCTTTATATTTTTATTATATAAAAATTTAACAATATTTCTATTTTAATCGCGAATGATGATATTCTTTTCGTAAAATTTTTAAGATATTGAAACCTCAAGAAAAACATCAAATGAAAAGTTTTTAAGGTAACTCTCCATTGCTCTCATTCAGCAAACAAACATTAGTACTATCGTATAAGCATCACACCGTGTCATAAGTATTGTATCGCTATATTAGTGTAGTGTTGGGTGTGGTATCAGTAAATAAAACAGTCTTGTAAAAGCCAAAGGCTTTAAACCTCGATTGGTTCGTTGATCTGTAACAGTTACTCGGATTTAACAATACGTACATATTTGCTCTCGTTATAAACATTTGCCACATACGGAAGCAATGAAGGGTTAAAAAATGTATACGCATTCGCCGCCATTATCTAAAAGAAATCTTGAATCTAGAGAAAAGTTGACGATTATTACTGCAGAATAGGATGGTAAATAATAGCAAAGATAAAAATTACATTCCGACAAATTGGATTGTACATACATATATACATACATATGGGGCATTCGCCGCATTCCATCCCAAGTGTGCCACTCGAAAAGTTTTGGATTTTTGATTTGGTTGAAATTTTGATATATTATAGTACCCATCTCAAGAAGCTACCATAATTTTTTTCGAATTTTCTCTTTAACGACTATACGCATGATCTATAATAATGAATTATCTACTAAACTAGTAGGATGAAACATATGCGCAAAATTTATTTCACACTTTTTTTGCACAGGGACAGTCACATGTAAAATATGCAAATCAAAAGTGCAAATAACTAAGACAACACAAACATGTCTGTTTTTTTATCTTGAAATATTCTTCCAGATGAACAATGTTAAATATGCAAATGGAATAACTTTAACTGATATTCCTGAAAAAATTAATCTTCAAAATGAAATGTATGTTTTTAGTGGCGTTGTACGATATATTCCTGGACACCATTTACCGTAGTGCCATTTTGTGCCACTGATGACTATAATTATTTAACTGAACAAGAGAATTGGAAAGGTTTAAATTCTGAAGTAGGTAAACAAACGAAAAAATTGGAAGAAATAGAAATTCAAACTACATATTATATATATATATATATATATATATATATATATATATATATATAAGTATATCATATAAATAGATATTATGATATAGGAATTTGAGAAGATTCAACTCGGATAATTTTACTGGATATAATATTGAAAGATTAGTCTCGCCAATTTTTTATTCTTTACTGTTAATAAAGTTAGCTATATCAAAACAACTGATATATATGTACCATATATATATATATATAAAATGTTTTAAAAATATACATATTATAAATGCGTTAAACATAATAATTACTATAATACAAATATACGTTTAACTAAAATACGATAACAGATATTGAATAAATCTGTTTTATCAGAATTATTGACACATAAGTGTCAAAATCACAATAAAATAATTGAGATAAACAGAAACCAGGATCATAAAATTAAGAATCTCTCCATTGAGGTACAAACTGTTCTTTAAATTTCTAATTTTATTAAACTTTATATTTTTAACTAATGACATGTTTTATTTACTAATTCTTTTACTATTTAACGAATGTTGGGCTCGTAGCCCTGTTGTTTTAATTATTTATAAAGAATATAATTAAATAGATGTAGTTTGTATAATATACACATATATAAATATTACTTAAAATTCATTTTCCAACTTCAGATTATTTTTCCTTCTTTCAATTAGAATAAATTGAAGATTATGTAAGATATCAAAAGTGACGGCGAAATGTTTAATTACTAATTTGTTTATAATTTTTGTTTGACGGATGGATAAATGAAAATAACAGATGGGCGTATTGTGGACAAACGATTCCCGTACATAGTTATGAAAAATAATCATTTGGAGGTGCTAGAATTCTGTTTTTTTATGTATAACTTTTTTTTAGAGGGTGGATGAAAATAACGGGTGGACAAACGTGGACAAGCAGTGGACAAACGAATGCAATGATTTTACCAAAATTCGCATTTAGGAGTGCCGACTTCACAGAGCAGTTCTGTGAATTACTAAATTTGATTAGTTTTGCCCATAAAACTTTCTTACTACGTTTTTCGTTTCTATGGGCAAAACTAATCAAATTTAGTAATTGTACATGCAAGCTTAATTCTTGCATGCAGAAGTGTAGCCGTACTCTTACAAATAAGATTGGACAATAATAACAATTTATAAAAATGAAAAATTATGTTGTAAAAAAATTCATAATAAGAAAACGATAATTTTAGTATAAAAGAAAAAATAGTGAAAATGTTGGAGATTATCAACAAGTACTCTCACATTACTTAGCAGTTTCAATACTGTCCGTAGCGCTTGTTGCGCTGTACCGTCATATTCTCGTATATTCTAATTACTCAAAAATATAAACCGTCACATTACGATATTCTTTGTTCGCTGTGCCGGATGCTCTTCTACGACATTCTTTGTAATATAACCTTCTTTTCATTATATTAAATTTGTGCATCATTTATATCGCAAGCTCTACGTGTTTTCGGATAAACCTTAATCGATTAATTCACGCCTGATATCCAAAATATCCTGTGCACTCTAACAGAAAAAATAGTGAAAAAATTTATATCTCATGACTATGTTGATAAAAAAATCCGAAAAAAATCATGGTAGCTTCTTGCGATGGGTACTATATCAAAATTTCAGCCAAATCAAAAATCCAAAAATTTTCAAGTAGCACACTTGGGATGGAATGCCCCATATATATTACAATTCGCCTCTCTGTATGTGAGCTCTGTATAAAAATATAATATAATATATAATATAATATATAAATTGATCATTTATACAAACTTTATCAAAAATAGTAACAATAGCACTATTACGCAAGTGCTTTAGAAATATATCTTCCCCCCTGCATCCCTCCAAAAATGGTATGTAATAAGAGCTTTTCGTAAAAAGAGAGAATAATACAAAGATATTTTCCATATTTTCATCAAATATGATTATAATATAATTATAATATGATAATTATGTTATTTTTCCATTTGTCTAATAATACACACATTTCAATAAATATTATCCCAGCAAGGATAAATCCTGTAAATTGTCCCAATGTTCAAAGAATTATATATGTACACAACATGTTAAAAAATTATTCAGCATTTATATGGTAAATAATGTACACCATATACTGAATAAAAAAGCTTTAGTAAAGATCGAAATCAGCTTTAGTAAAATCGAAACCTCAACCGTTTCTGGAATATAAACAATTTAAATCTTCACATCGCGTAGACACGTCGGCGACACGTAGAAGACAATAAGTTGTGATACTAACATACATATTAATTGTTTAAATTTTAACTCTCGACCTATGTTCACTGCTTTTTTACTCATTATGGTACTATTTAGTGATACACATAAATGCTGAATTATTTTTGAACACACTATATACGTACATTGATATGTATAATGTCACAAATCAGTATGTGTGAGCATGGATAAAAAGATAGATCGTTCGTTTCTTTCGGGAAATTAATCCGTAATTAAATTGATTCATTCAAATGGAAAATAATTACATTATTCATGTAGTGTGTTTGAATTTCTATAATTATACCGTTAAAACAACACGCAATCAAAAATATAATTACGATATTATTGCAATATGTCCATGCATTTCATCGAAAAGCGTTTCAAATATTGAACGATAAAACAATGTAGATCACCGAATATTTACGCAATCGATCAATCAACGAGTTGATCGATTAACATAATATATTTACATGCCGTTGTAAGCTGGACCGCCACCACCCTCCGGCACTACCCAATTGATGTTCTGACTCGGGTCCTTGATGTCGCAAGTTTTACAATGAATGCAATTTTGTGCGTTGATCTGCAATCTTTCGCCATCTCCGCTTTCCAGCGGCACAAATTCGTAGACACCTAAAATCAGATTGCACATATTTGTTTTCGAATTGCTGAACAAACTGCCCTCACATATCTTCCGATGGAGGGTTGGAGAAATCCATAAACCACCGAGCATCTCCCAGCTGCACGAAAATAATTACCGGAATTCTAATAACATAAGTAATTAACTTATGTGTTCTTGGAAAACGATCCAACTTATGTATTCTTGGAAACCGTTTGGCTGCTCTACGAAAATGCTAATAATGTCGCAATGCGCAGAATGATTTATTCAACGCGGTTTATTCAGCAGACACATATATCCTCAGCACTCTACGGAGTGTGAGATTTACGTCGCGAAGGTCATGCCATGCCCTCGACCAGACAGTCGATAACCTGGTCCCCACTATCTTCCGGACGGCGCAGCAATTCTGTAAGAAAGCTCCCAGAATTCCTCTCCGATACCCCGACTCCCCACGTCCATGAAAGGAAACAGGAAGAGGCATCCTACAGACACGGGAAGGAAAAGCACGAGAATGAAGAAAAAATACGTTGTAAATATCAAGGGTGGATGTTCAAGAAATAATAGTAAAAAAGCACATAAATTTATCTGATTCGAAGGTGTAAATGTGATGTGATAAGATATATGTATACGATGTCTATGTAAAGTCATAAATTTTAAATTAAGAAAAACGCTCATTGTTATAATGTTGTATCATTGATTATAATTTTGTATAAACAATATAAATTTAAATTGATAGAGAGAGTTCGAAGAATTATTTAATAAAATAATAAAATTTTGTTTTTCTCTCTCTCATGATCAGTTAAATTTCGTATAAATTTTATCCTATTAATTCAATTTAGCTTTAGAATTTCACAAAAATTAAATTTTTTAAAGAATACTTAACGATCAAAAGATTACGAAAAATAATAGTTTTTTAACTATAAAAAAGTCTTAAATTCATTGATAATTTCTAAATTAATTCATAGATCATAGTTATCCATTTATACGACTGCAGGTATCTTTACATTTATAATTACATATTTCTAATTGCATCTTTCACGTTTATACAATGTTAATTTTGTGAATTACAAATGAATTGGTTTTTAATTCCTCATGTTACAACAATAACTGTTTGATTTTCCACAAATTATATCATTAAATTTACAATAATTACAGTAATTTTCCATGCCTTGTACATATAAAAATTATATTACCGTAAAACTTTTTAACATTTAATAATAAAATAAAAATATTCAAATATAAAAAACTAAAATTTTTGAATTTTATTAGATTAACAATTAATATAAATATTATAACTTATTTCTTTTATGAGAAAATTACTTGTTACTTATTAAACGTACTTATTGAATTGTTTATTACAAGTAGCAATAGTTACAGCGGCGAAAAAAAAACAATTCCTATCGCGTTTAGCGACTGAGATTGATGGGCGTGTATGATGATATGGCCAGGCTATGAATTCGTGCTTTTTCGGCGATCTTCAAAAATTAATATTTTGTTAATTTCAATTCAGTTTAATCCATCACTCTATTTTTGCCTACAAACACTGTCAGCAGAATTACCAAACACCCTGTATATATACATATAAAATACATGCTCTGCTATAAGCAAATTTTGATTGTTATATAATTAAACATTTCATTATTAGAACACTTGTAGTATTGCAAGATTAATATAATATAGGGAGATTCTTAAGGAACAGAGAGAGGAGATAAATCGACAGTGAAGGGTTGTTGGCCGGGCTGCAGGGCGCTGTTCGATTTTGGAGATTGAGCTTGGTCCGGGGTTGTCTAGCCATGCGGGGGTTGTCCGGGTAACTCAGGTTCAAGGACACAACGGTCGATAAACCCCCGACAAGACTGGAAAAAGGGGAGAGGAGGCAGACGTGGCTCGAGGGCGGAAGTGGAAAGAGCTGGATTGCCTGCAGATTACGAAAATGTATTGCGAATGAAATTGATCTCTCTTGATAATGCCCTTCATCAAATACTAAATTTTGCATCAGATACATTTTTTTTATGAAAAACAAGTAAATTTTATACGATTGATAAAATCGTACGGAAATAAGAGAATGTTAAAAATTCAATAAACTCGCACAACAAAAATAATGAATTTACTTTTACAGCAAATTTTAATAGCAGATTTAGATTTAACTTTTATTAATAAATATACAGTAAGCAATCTAATATGTTCGGAAAAAATGCAAAAAATTGCTTTAAAATTATCTGTTAAACGTCTAAAGCTATGGTTCACTTGATACTACAAATGTTTCGTTTTTTAATTACGATCGATTAATAAACTTCTTTTTACCGATTAGTCAATCAAAAGTTTCAAAACATTTGTAGCGTCAATTTGGATCACAAATGAAATAGAACACGAGCATAAAATTACGCGAGATATATATATGAAACTCTACAATGCGGTAAATATACTACTTATTCATTCTCATCAGAATAAATTATTCCATCTGAACTAACAGAATAATACCATTGTTGAATAAATTGATTCTGAGTATTTCGAGCAATTTGTGAGAAGAAATTGTATGAAGAAAATATATTATAATTTCTAAATCATATAACCAAATAAAAAAAAATCATGAAAAAATTATATGCATTTATTAATACGTATAAATATGTGTAATAAATTATTGTTAATATAATAATTGAAACAAGGTAAAGGACAATGAGAGTCAATTCGTAAGTAAACAAAAAAGCGATTAAAACATTAAAGTTATAATATGAATATTTAAAGAAAAAGAATACATGAAATACTTAGCCGCTTTAAACGCACAATTAAAAATTAGAATATCAGTCAATATATAATAATATAAATAAATCGCTCGATATAAATGTAACCAGTTTCGACTCTTGGTTTGAGTCCTCTTCAGACGTTTAACAAAAATTCCTCATTCCAATATTAAGAACAACACACCTCTCACTGACTCCTCGATTTCTTTCCTCGTTACACAACATTAGCGAGGTAGTAACGAGGAAAGAAATCGAGGAGTCAGTGAGAGGTGTGTTGTTCTTAATATTGGAATGAGGAATTTTTGTTAAACGTCTGAAGAGGACTTAAACCAAGAGTCGAAACTGGTTACATTTATATCGAGCGATTTATTTATATTATTATATATTGACTTGATATTCTAATTTTTAATTGTGCGTTTAAAGCGGCTAAGTATTTCATATATTCTTTTTCTTTAAATATTCATATTATAACTTTAATGTTTTAATCGCTTTTTTGTTTACTTACGAATTGACTCTCATTGTCCTTTACCTTGTTTTAATTATTATTTTCATATAAAGAGTCCTTCAACTTTAATTTTGTTTATAATAATTGATTAATAATTTAAAAACAATTTTTTAAACTATTTATTTAATATAAACATTTTTTATTTAATATTTTTCTGTTTTATTCAATAAATAAATTTTAATATAATCTTGATACATAAAAATATTTATATGTTCGCGCATATATGCATTCAAATTTATATCTCGAAAAAATACAAATGTCTAGACTCGGAAATGATGTATGAAAAAGTATACGTTTATATAATAGATTTATTATATCGTATTTCTCATTTTCTTGACTTTTTAAATATATTTTCAAATATTTCTTAATATATTCTTTGTTTAATATATTATATTTCTATCAAAAACTGTAATACTGAAAAATGTAAAACTTTAAGAGAATACTGAAGTAACCAAATTATTGACATTAAAATCGTATAAAAATCTCCAAATTGACTGAATAAAATTAAAAAATCTTTTTATACAGGTTATCTAATAATTACATTTGGGCCATAATCCTACTGAATACAATCAATATAAATTTAAGACTAATAAGCCATTTTTCTTTGAGATAGGCCTGCCACGCTCTTACTAGACAGACTAGATAATAAAAAAAGGTTAAGTAAATTTCTAACATTTTTCGATTTTTAGTATATAAAGTCCACTGCATCATCTCCTAATTTTGCATCTACTTTAATCCTATAAATAAGGATTTTTTATTTTGGTTAGTCAAATTGGGATTTTTATACGACTGTCAATAATTTTGTTTCTCTCTAGCATCTTCTTAATAGGTATTTAAAAAAATAAAAATCTACTTATGTATGTATGAAAGAAACAAATACAACTAAAAATTCATAAAAAGTAAATATCAAGAAAAAAGAAAAGATAATAAAATAAATCAATAAACATATATTTTTCGTATCTTATTGCGGAATCTGTTCAAAAAATGTACATTTTTCGCAAAATAAATTCAACAAATATATATATGTCTGAAAACATAAATATTTTATATCATGATACTTTATATATAAGATTACATTACAATTTATTTACAACAAAATAACGTTTAATTTTAACAATATTAAATTTTGTTTAGGCAAACTCTACTACCTTTATTAACTGCTACAAATTATATTCACATAGATTGTAATAAATATATTCAGTAAAACAAAATTATTTATAAAATTGATTAGGTCAATCCACTATGCAATTCGCAAAAGTAGAATATAACTAACATTCAATCAAACAGAATTAACGAACATTATGTATGTAATTACAATAGATTAATAAAACGACAAATATATGAACATGAAACAAACTGACTTACCAGCAGGGCAAAAGCGACCTTCTGCACCAGCAAATTCAGTCAAGTTTCTCTTTACTGGAACAGTATCGTCCATCAAAGTTAAATGAGCTGGTTGATCAGCTTCATGATTGGTACCAGTTAGAGCTACCGATGACAGAAGATCAAAAGATACCTCGTTATCTGGTTTAGGATAGTCTATCGGTATCGACTTGGCAGCTGATTTCAATTTCTTATAATCAGGACCTACGAACACACGGTACAAAAATATTAAAAATTAATAATTGCAATATTTTTCAAAAAACCTCTTCAAAATCCCCTGCATAAATTTGTTCCTACCTCCATGAGATAAAGTCCACGGTTCCCTTCCACCTAATAGCATAGAGAAACCAGAGTACATTAAACCACCGTAAAGCCCAAGAGAAGAATGGAAACTGGGCCTTATATTTCTTACGGCTTTCAATTCCTTATAAATCCAACTATTTTTTATGTTATCTGTATACGTTTTCGGCTCTATGCCTTTCGTTAGTGAGGTATTACTTTCTGCGTCTACGATTGCTTCAATAACGCTTTCTGCAGCCAACATGCCACTTTTCATAGCATTATGTGTTCCTTTAATTTTAGGCACGTTTAGGAAACCTGCCGTACAGCCAATGAGACAACCCCCAGGGAATTGAAGTTTGGGAATAGATTGGAATCCACCTTCCACTAATGCTCTAGCGCCATAAGCTATTCTAGAATTAAGAAGAACAAATGAAGGAAATATGAAATAGTATGTGCAACTAAAATTTCATATAAAAGACATTAACCTTTTTCCTCCTTCAAATGTTGGTCTAATACTAGGATGCTGTTTAAACTTCTGAAACTCTTTGAATGGAGATAGATAGGGATTAGTATAATCCAATCCTACAACAAAGCCTACTGCAATCAAAGGTGTTTCTTCATTCAGATGATATAGAAATGATCCACCGTATGTATTTCTATTAAGTGGCCAGCCAACAGTATGCTCTACTGCTCCAGGTCGATGCTTACTTGGCTCTATCTCCCAAATCTTTCAAAAGTTTTACTATTTTACTTTAGAATGTAAGTATTTTATATTTATATGTATAATTTTAAATTATTAAAATTTTATTATTAAAATTTCATTAAAATTTTATTATTGTAATATAACTCGATGATAATCACCTCTTTCAATCCAAGACCATATGTCTGCGGTTCACAATCTCTTCTGAGATTCAATTTTTTTGATAACTGTTTTGTTAGGTGACCATGACAGCCTTCTGCAAATATGGTACATTTTGCATGAAGCTCCATACCCCGTTCAAATGTATCTTTAGGTGAACCATCTTTAGCAATACCAACATCATTTGTGGCTACTCCTTTAACAGATCCATCCTCATGATATAAAACTTCTGCTGCTGCATAACCAGGGTATATCTCGACACCAGCAGCTTCTGCTTGTTCACCAAGCCATGTTACTACATGGCCTAATCTATAATCAATATTCAAATCTAAAGACCGTCAATGTACGAACATAACTAATACAAATACGAAGCCTATAACAGTCTAGCTTAGAAGCTAGACCAATCTATAATCACAGAAATACACTTTTTTAAAATCAAAAACAAAAGTGTATTATTTATTCCTCATTTACAAACATATAGTATTAAATTTCAATACTCACCTTACTATATAATTCCCATGATTATACAGTGGCATTCCCTTAAAAATAGGTATAGATATCCTCTTCTTTTCCGTGAGAAATGCAAATTTATCCTCAGTAACAGGAGTATTTAATGGAGCACCTAATTCCTTCCAATTTGGAAAAAGTTCATTCAAAGCAATTGGATCTAAACAAGCGCCACTAAGGATATGTCCACCAATTGCAGACGCCTTTTCAACAAGAGTAACCCTGAGTTCCTTGCCATGTTTCTCAGCCAGTCGACGAGCCTGTATAGCTGCCGATAGTCCCGCTGGACCACCACCAACAATTAAAATGTCGGTTTCGTCTATGTATCTCTCCATATTCACATCTAGTGGATAAAAAAATATTCTCAATGCATTAATTGTATTATTTTAGTGAATAAGAAAAATAAAAAATAATTTACCTTTCCATCTCGAGTCTGTCTCTCTGAGTTTCACTGTATAATGAGTGGTGATTTGAGGAAATTTGGCATCCGAATAAGCTCTTTGAAAAATTCTTTGCAACCTCTGTACTGCCAAAAATTCAACCAAAATTAAATTACAAAATACAAATTCTCACATTCAAATTAGAGCATTTTATTGTGTGCATAGGTAAACATATTCTATTTACATAAAAGTATATTTGAACGATAAAAAAAATTAAAGAAAAAAATCTAAGGAATTTTCAAAATTTAAATATTTCAAATTTTTTAAAATTAATTCGGATCATTTATACGCAATCACATATAATATTATCGATCAATTACAAAATTTTAATTTCACAATTTCATATAAAAATTTTTTTTTTCGCAATGTGCTAATACTTTATCTCCTGCTTTTTATTTAAAATAAAAATACATTTCTATAGATAAAAACAAAAATTTATTTTCTCGATTAAGTTTTTACGAACTTCTAGTGTTTAAAAATACAATAATAGACCAGTCAAATTATACATTTGAGGTTTCAAGTGATATAATATATTGAATGAAAAACATTTACAATGGTGTAATATTTAATACTAACAATTTGTAATGTTTTAATATAATATTGAAATGTAAAATTTTATATGAATATTTCACGATAATATTTGAATGAAACATGTAAACGTTATATTAAAATGTAGCATTTAAATTTATTATGCAAGTGTAATATTTAATCATTTAACATTAATAACAATTATTCTTTAAATGTTACATGAAAAATGTCATATTTGAATTTGTAACGTAGAATTTTGAATATTTCCATTCTATTATTGTAAGGTAAAACGTATTGTATTCATTTCTTTATAACGCTGTGGAATGCGAAGGTCAGGTAGCCCCCCCCTTAAAATTCCACAACCTCGCATGATACGCAAATCTGGAAATAAGCTCTACTAGACCCCCCCAACAGCCCCCAAAAGGAATTGAGCTGTTTTCATCACTTGAAAGTATTCGCCTTTTTTTGTCTAATTTGACTGGCCTATAATAAGCTTTCGCGTTTTGAGAAAGAAAACCGAGAAAGAGAGCTAAATAAGTGCAGAAAGTGGAGCACTGAACATTTAAAGAATATTTATATAACGCGGAAGGCAAAGGGCAATCTTGTTTACATTATTTGCCATCACGTAATACAATTTCTCTGAGAGAGATAGAGAGAAAAATATTAATGCTTTACGAAACAAAAACAGAAGCACTCGCAATTCGCACTGTCTGTTGCATGTGCCATGGAAAGTAGCAACCGCGATTTAATGTGATACGCTGGATACTTTAAGAACATTTTTCACGAATAAAATTGTGCCACTTTTCTTTGATTAATCATGTGTTATTTTATATATCTCTTGCAGCTCTCTCCTTCACACGTGCAACAGACGGTGCAGAATTTTTAAAAAATATTTTCGGTGCGTATTCGAAGCTTGTGTAAATTCGGGATGCGGTCCGGTAACGAAATCGATGCAATACATGCTCAATTCTCGTCTCGTTCATCGGTTTGTCGAGTTTATCTCGTGAAACGAGCGTCTAACTGGCCGATAAGCCGGGAGTAACCACGACTAAGATACGAGGGATGCGGGCACTACCGCCCCAGAAAGTGGAGTGCCTCGCGTCGCGTCTACCTGCCTAATGGTTTCACTCTTTGAGTGTACCGCAGAGTATCGTGGTTACGAAGGCCTCGTCGACGTTAGAGTCGCGTGTTGAGTCGAGGAGCCAGCTGTATTCGCAACGATTTCGCTCCTGCATCCGTTGCGTCGATCGTAGGCACAGGCAGTCGCTACTTGTACGCAAATCTGGAAATAAGCTCTACTAGACCCCCCCAACAGCCCCCAAAAGGAATTGAGCTGTTTTCATCACTTGAAAGTATTCGCCTTTTTTTGTCTAATTTGACTGGCCTATAATAAGCTTTCGCGTTTTGAGAAAGAAAACCGAGAAAGAGAGCTAAATAAGTGCAGAAAGTGGAGCACTGAACATTTAAAGAATATTTATATAACGCGGAAGGCAAAGGGCAATCTTGTTTACATTATTTGCCATCACGTAATACAATTTCTCTGAGAGAGATAGAGAGAAAAATATTAATGCTTTACGAAACAAAAACAGAAGCACCGAAAACGGAAAGAAAACCATACAATTCATTTCAGATAATAAACATTTATTGAATGGAATGCACGCGATTCAACGATCGTAGAACGAGCAAAAAAAATATTTACATTTGACCGTAAATATACTTTATAATACATTAAACGTTCTTTAATGACGTTACATAATATCGCGATATTTTTTTATAAATTAATAATCGTCTTTGGCGAAATATGTATATCGTGTTATCATTAAGATGAAATAATCATTCGAAAACGGAACAGTCAGTAAATTCCAAACAATACGATTGTCATTGTTGAGTGTAATGTCAATTCACTGTGGTATCCATTGTGATAAGGTTATAAGAGGCAGCAAAATTCTGCTGAGGTTGACGTACTTACAGGTGCAGGACGCATTAAATACCGCGGAAGCCATAATCGTGCACAGAAAACGCACAATCACCTAATAGCTGCTAATAGCGCAATCAGTGATCTGACAATAATATAAAAAAAAAAGAAAGAGAAACCAGTTCACAGACTTTATTTCAAAAAACGTGAAAGCGGATTTTCCGTGAGAATAGTGAGAGCAGAGCTTCTCTCTTGTGAGAGACTAAAAACTCCGTACACTAGCGCTTTAACGATTTGGAAACTTATTGGAAGTACATTAATTCTCTAGATAATAGTAGCGATTTGACTTACCGACGTTGAGTCGATAACTATCAGAAATCAAATACTTAGCTGCATTCGGTAATAGCAAATCTGAAGCGTCGGAGTGCTCTTATATGTATTATAGCAGAGAGAACGAGAGAAGCCTGAGAGCCGCCATGCCCGGGATTTAGCTGTTACTTTCATAGACTTATAAGCTATGATTACTTTATTTTGAAGCGCCTTTATGTCCACAAAATGTGGACATTGAACTATATAGCCAATGTCCACGATCGTGTCGGTAATGTCTAAGATTTTTGGTTCGAATCTTCCCTATGTCCATGATTTAAAAAAAAATGCCTCTGAGGTACCAAAATTGGAACTAAAAGGGTCAAGTGACCAGTAGTGGGGATATTCAAACCTATACGCGCATAACAATATGAACTGGCTCAATCTGCACCGTCTATCACACGTGCCATATGGAGAAGCTGCAATCGAGACATAAAATGATTTCTGGAACATAAAAACAATTTTTTCGAAGAGAGGTTTGCGCTACGTGGAATGTGTCGGAGATGTAAAATCGAAGATTGTTCAAGTTATATCAGTAGTAGTTATTTGTCGAATCTCGGAAATGGAAGCTGCGATCAAATAATAGAAATCCAGGGGGGTGTATTACAACTGTTTTGGTGTTTTTAATTGATCCTTCCCACCTTGTTTTATTAGTATTTATTCTGCAATTGCTCCTCTCGTTTTGCTTTACCAATAACCTCTTTTCGAAAGTATTTTAATTGTGTAAATATTATTATTTTATTATGATATATGTGCGGCATATTGTATATTGTTCAATTTTTTATACATGTATTGATTTATGTTGTAAATTGTATCCGTATACATTTATATACATATTATTAATGCATATTGTAAATATTATAGTATATTGTTAATATTATAGTATATTGTTAATTGCGATTGGTTGTGTGTATGATGCTGTGGAGCATGAAAATGCTATGCATCACATTTTTTAACCACACCGGGTATTCATTATTTGTATATCCGACAGTCCGCAGTCTGTAAAGTGGGACGGGAAAATGTGTTGCATTATATTTTTAGTAAAAGAAAAATAAAATAAAATTAGCGAAAACTAATTATAACTTTTATGCCGTATAAGGAAGACAGCCCTGATGACCTTGTTGTCCCTGAGTATCGGTGCGCGTGGCTTAGCGCCGAGACACTACCGTGTTTTCAGAACTTTTAATAAGTTTTAAAAAATAATGTATTATTTCTGCTATAACAAAATTATAAATGTAAAATTTTGTTTTGTGTTGTAAATCCTATTCTACAATGCGCATTTTATTTCTTGTTGCTTGCTTTTTGCTATTTTTTACATCTTTTTCGTTTGCCTCTTATCTCTTTTCTCGTTATCTGTCGTCCGAAATAAAAGTTAACAAACTTTCAAAAAGAAACAAGAAATACATGGCAAGAAATATAATTGTTGCCAAAATAAAATGGTTGTAAAATAGAGAAGAATCCAAGAGATAAAAAGCAAGAAACAGGAAACAAAAAGCACATTGTAGAATAGGCTTAAGTGTAGATGTTGATGCAGTGAGTCCACCTCTCATACGGGTGGAGGGGTTCCACAGTGGACATATGTTGTCAAGGTTATAACTTATAACCTTAACAACATATGTCAAGGTCAAAGTTATCGCAGGGAAGATGTCTTCCCTATTCGACATATTTATATATCCAAAATAATATCATGATACAATATTGCAAAAGGAATTGTAATAAAGTATCAAAAATCCTGTACAGGTGCAATCCTGCACCTTTTTTTTATAAATCTGTTTTATATAAAAAGAATCTTACATGCTGACAGAACATAACAATATCATATCGAGGGACTTACCGATACTAGAGAATGACTCGGAATGAGCCAAGTTGAGTCTTGTCTGGTTGTCTGTCAACTGACTCTTGTCAACTTGGTTATCTGCGTTAGATGATGTCTCTATTTCAATGACCAAGCTGCTGTCGCAAGTAGGACATTTGATTTTTGTACCTAAGAGAGAAAGAGAGAGAAAATCATCATTTTATCTCCAAAAACGCAATATCTCATCATAAAACAAACCTCTGTCATCGATTTAATAGCAAGTGCCACATATAATTCCGAATCCTGTGAGAATTGTGTCGAGCATTTCATGCATTTGAAAATCTTGAGCAGTATCGGTCGCATCTCAATTTGCTCGCTAATGGATGTTACAATTTTCTGAAAAAGTAATATCAAATTTTATTAGACCGTGTGAGTTTAAACTAAATACTGATGAAAACGGTCAAGCTGGATCTTGGATATTTCTAATATGTAATTTCGTATGAATTTATGTACTACATATGTAGATTCTTAAATACGCGCCAAAATTTTTTCAGACTTACCTACAACGCAAATTCTAATAAACTACCGCAGTACTATCACGAATTAAATTGACTAACAATCTAACAATTTTGGTACTTGTAGTATCTTGGATCTTAATAATGTTGAATAAAATATTAAAATATGTAATTGATTTATACTGCGAAAAATATTATCTAGGAGTCGAACTAAACTCTGGCACTCCGTGCGAGCGTCGTGAACTTTTAGACTATCAAGGCAATAGTATATGCAATTGTGTACTATTGTAGTCTAAAGGGGTTTAAAGGATCAAGACGCTTACACGGAATGCCAAAGATCCAGACTTGACTCCCGACCGAGATAATATTTTTCGCAATATAAATTAATTATTTACAGATTTTTAATGTGTCATTAATAGATTTTAATATATCATTCAATATTATTAAGATCCAAGATGCTACGGACATCAAAATTGTTAGATTGTTAGTCAATTTAACTCGTGATAGTACTGCGGTAGTTCATTAGTTTGCTTTGTAAATCTGAAAAAATTTCGGCGCGCATTTAGGAATCTACATCGTAGTATATAAATTCACACGAAAATTATAATAGAAGCATTCAATATCCAGCTTGACCATAAATAGTTTATTCTCATCGGTGTTTAAAATTTCACGGTCTAAATAAGAGTTTGTTTGTTTTATTTGTTATAAATTTATTTTATGAATGAATAGGCTACAAATTATTATATGTTAAAATTGATGCTATGCTATGTATGTCAAGTACTGATTGTTTATAGTCTCTCTCTAATTTAGTTTTGCATTATATATGGCATTTGTGTATATGTGTGTAAACACACAAAAATAAGATGAGATTAATTAGTGTTGTATAGCATTACTGTATTCTTTTTTTTTTAAAAGAAATACTGTTTTTATTTATACATTGAAAAATTATTTTTAAAAGTGTACGTATTTCTTCTTTGCACCAATTTGTAGTATATTTAATCTTGGATAAATATTTAGAAATAGAATTAAGAAAAATAAATGCGTATCTTATTTAATCGATTTTGCTCTATCAAAATATAATTTTTTATTTTTAATTCACATGTATTCAATGTTATATGAATATCTTATATTAAGTTTTTTTTTACGTGGAAGGTTTTTTATTTTAAAATTCATAATATATTTTACTTATATAATTTTTGTTTTATTTCATTATTTATTTTATCAATTTTAATTTAAAAACTAATTATTTCAACAATTTTGTCCTGATATCTTTCTCTATAAAACTATTTTTTTTATTAAAATTTAACTCTAAATATAAATATTTATTCTAATTTATATTGTTTGTAAAGGAAAAACCTTAGTTTATATATAATATTCTTGTAAATTTAATAACTCTCAATCATTTTTAATATGTATAAAACAAATAATAATTTAATGAAATTCACAATAATTCAATAAAAATATACTTCTTTAACTAAAATTGAAATCCTTTCTTTTAATATATCACATTTATAACAAAGTGGATGATTAAATTCTATTTCATTTTCTTTCTTTATACTTATATCATGAATATTTGCATGAATATAAACATAACGTCAAAAACACAATACACATCAAATAGCAATAGACAAATCCAAGATTAAATATATGTGTTACAGCTTTGTAGCTCATTCATTTTAAGATAACAGATCTATGAAGCTCGTTATATTCATTTCTAATATCATTTCGTCAATAAAATAATTTTATGCTACAAAATCGTTACCTCATTAAAACCTTTTTCATCACTCACCGACCAATGCATAGCAATGAAATTATCAGCATCCTAGCTACGATAATTCTGTAACATACAAACATAAGTTTCAAGTTAAAATAGTGTGTTAAAAATAATTAACATTACTCAAAAATTAATTTGAATAATAATTAAGATAGCGAAGAAGTTTCATTTTTGCGTAATTAACTTCACGCGTTAGAATAAGAGATAAGAAAGTAATAATCATCATACAAAATGAGCATAGGTATATATTGTAAGGTATGCAGAAAGATAAAGAAAGACGGAACTACCGTTCTCGGACCTCGAAGTATTATAGGATAAATATAAACTCACAAGGATAAGTTAGGAATGTCACGTAGGAATGGAATGGCAAAAACGAGCAAAGGGATATGTCGTGGATAGCGGAATAATTCTCACACACTTTACTAGGTACCACACTGTTTTTAATTTACGTCGGCTACACTCGTGGTGTTTACATGACGGAGGTCACTACTCGTTATATTTTCAAAAATAACTCAAGCGGCCAATCACGCCAGCCTGATCGCTTTCCGCCAATCGGCAGCAACTAGTTCTACTAACGTATATCTTACAATATATTATATTTATTATAATAGTCCGCTCGTCTTGTATTATGATTGTTATTTCCATCTTGTAAATTATGATATGAAAATCTTATTTATTATCAATTATTCACGACGCTACTTTTTCGGCCAAATTTTACGAAATATACTTCACGCGCGCGCGAATGAATTATTACATCCTTGTTCGTTAACGTTAAACAAAGATAAAACGATCACGTGTTACACAGAGTCACTTGTTGGAAAGCTTTCTTAAAACATTTTAATAGTATAAATAAGCGATAGGTTCTTAAAATATTTCGCTAGCGTCACGCGCGCGCGCGTATAAATATATTACATAATTTAATATTTATTTATTAATTAGTTACCTCGTTGGTCAAGTCCAGTAGTCCTATATGATCCTATCTTCTCAAAGAGATTCTCTGCAACAATCAGGATTCAGGATGCTTCTACAGGAAATCGGGATCAGAGCGATCAGGATGCTTCTTCAGAGTTTAGGTCTTCAAGTCCTTTTACGAGGAAAGGTAATCGTAATCGACGATTCGATCGCCAGGGCCAGAGATGCGAACTATTCTAACGTGATATGACAGGTGATAACAGGCACACACCCGTCCTCCCGAAGCGCAAAAGTGTGAAACCGCGAATTACGCGATATTTGTATGCTCCGATCAGACTCGAACCCCTCCACTCGCAGTCAACCAATGAGCGCGATGTAGCGCGATGCCCTGCTACAAGCGCGTATTCAAACACTGATTCGATCACCGTTAGCTTTCTATTGAAGTATATAAAGCGCGACGCGCAAAATTTTCAGTAATTTTCAGATTTTGATGTGTGATTCTTGAGGACAGAGAAGTTGGCATATATTTAAAACGCAATTTTACGATGATAGTGCGTATTTACGAACCCTTTGTTCGCATGCAGTATCAATAACGTAGAACGATGTGAATAAAAATGAATATTAAGGACGATATAAGTATATAAAATAAGAAATTATTAATTTTCCCTTTACCAATAATTAGTACTGAGTAATCGCTGCGACTACATTGGATTGTGACGTCATAAACAAATAATATAATACATTAAAGTTTCTGGTATGCCTTTTGTAAATAAAGAAAATTTAGGTAAAACAAAATAATAAGATTATCTGTAAAAGTGGGTCAAAGCTGTACTTACTCCTCCTGTCAGCCAGTAAATAATCATAAAAAGCATGTAAAATGCGTTTACTAGCGTTTATTCATTGTGCATGCATAGCCATTTTTATTTCGATCGATCGTTTGTCTTTGTCTGTCTAACGAACCGACAAAGACAAAGGTTATATAATCTCTGACCGATAATCATGGACATAGGGAAGATTCGAACCAAAAAATCATGAATATAGGGAAGATTCGAACCAAAAATCGTGGACATTACCGACACGATCGTGGACATTGGCTACATAGTTCAATGTCCACGTTTTGTGGACATAGAGGCGCTTCAAAATAAAGTTGGAGCCAGGAACTCCAGGAAGTTGTCAATGTCACATACAGTTACTTTGGAATAAACAGTGTGTATTCCATCATTCCATGATGTAAACTACATGAAAAAACAGATCTTACATATTGACCAGTATAACTGCACGGAATGCCGAATTGTAGAGTACATGTTTTCTGGTGGAATATAAAATTTAAAAGATGTATTCGTGTATGTTGTATGTTTTGCAGGTTGGGCGAATGAAAGTTAATCCTGTTGAATCGCCAGTTCCGAGAAGAAATCATGTTTTATGTGATAGGATTAGGTCTAGGTGACGCTAAGGACGTCACCGTCAAAGGGCTCGAAATTATTAAAAAATGCGACCGCGTCTACCTGGAGTCTTATACTTCTGTCTTGACAGTACAGCAGGAAATCTTGGTTTGTATTATAAGGTTTGTTTTTTATTTTTGCAAACTACACTAAAATTATTTCTCGCTTTCGCCAGATATCATAGATATATTTATCTTACTTTCATAAGTGTACATTAGTTTAGCTACAAAAAACAATTTATATTATAGTCTAAACCATCTTAACGTTAAAGATGACACGAAACTTGATTTACTTTTGTATAAAGTAAAGCGTTTGATCATAAACCTTTAATTTAAAAGTATATTGAATGTAATTTTAAGTAACACATGTGTGCATCTTATAACAGGAAGAATTCTACGAACGTTCCTTGATAGCGGCAGACCGCGAACTGGTGGAGAACAATGCAGACGAGATACTGCCAAAGAAAGAAGATGAAGATGTTGCTTTTCTGGTTGTAGGAGATCCCTTTGGGGCTACCACTCATACAGATCTAGTTCTACGTGCAAAGGAGAAAAATATAGAGGTGGGTACTTCTAGAACAACAATATTTAGAATCATTATTTTTAAGAAGTATCAAAATATTTTCTTACATTTTTATATATCTAGTAAACGTTATTTTAAAGTATTATACTTTTAATCAGGTAAAAGTCATACATAATTCGTCAATACTAACTGCAGTTGGTTGCTGTGGCTTGCAATTGTATTCATACGGAGAAATCGTTTCAATTCCATACTGGATCAACACTTGGCAGCCAGATAGCTTTTACGAGAAGATAGCTTCCAATAGACAGAGAGGGCTGCATACACTCTGTCTCTTAGACATCAAAGTTAAAGAGCCTACCTTAGAAAGTATTACGAAGAAAAAAAAGGAGTACATGCCACCAAAATTCATGAGTGTCAATGAAGCTGCTAGTCAATTGATAACGATACTGGACAATAAGATTCAGAATGGTCATAAAGATTTAGGTCAGTGGCAACAATTCTATTGGAATGATAAATCTCATGATAGTTATATAAACTGTATAATAAAAAAATATAGCAATCACATAATGATTATATAACGATCACAAATAATGATAATTAAATTAATAATCCGTATATATATAATTTTTTTTATTTAATAGCGTTCACAGAGCAAAGCTTGGTGATAGGCTTAGCGCGAGTGGGATGCGAGGACCAACACATTGTCGCTTGTTCCTTACAAACTATGACACAAGTAAACTTGGGTCCACCGCTGCATTGCCTTGTTATACCGGCTGAAAAGCTCCATCCTCTTGAGCTAGAATTTCTAATACAATACGCTCTCGACAAGGATCAGTTCAAAGAAATAACGCAACAAGCATGATCTTTTTTCATCCAAAAAAAGATAGACTAAATTCTACATTTTTTGTGACTTAAAATATGTATTGAACTATTGAAAAATATATTTATTTTAAATATAAGATATATAAAGAAACTTGCATCCTTTTATTACTAATTCTTAAAGAAAACATGCTGACTTTTTTATTTTTTATTTTTTCACAGAAATTAACATCTATTTATATTATATTGTCTTTTCTAGAAGCAATTATATTTGCTTTAACCCTTCATAGTCACACTTCTTAAGTAATTACACTGGTGTCAAAATGACCTTAGAACATAATTAACTGATTGCCATATTCACAATTTCTATAAAGTAATTACTAGTTAAATGCACTCTGGGGTGATTTTGATCCCAAGTGATCATGAAAGAAAACGATTTCTCGGTATACTCGATTTTGCAGGTTTCGTAATCCTAAAATCCATAAAGAAGTTTCCGACCCCGGGTTGTATAAAACTTACATGAGCGCTGTCGCAGTTATTAAATATTCGATATTTCCGGCCGTGTAACGGGTGATCGATCGCAACCGAACCACATCATTTAGGTATGACCGTCACGGAAGGCAGAGAGAAATTTGCGACCGCGCACACCGTATTTACGCGAACAGCATTATTATTCCGTTCGTTCTGGCCCGGTTCCATATTCTAAGCTAAGCCGCATATAATTCTGCGGGCCGAGTCACGTGGCCGTGCGCCAGGGTAGAAACTAATCAATGGACGAGCATCGACCACTATGCCGACGAGGCTGGTATCGCGTATCGGTGATTCAGTTGTGCTACAGGGTTGCACGGGGTGGCAACTCTTCCGTTTCATTCCCTTCCGCAGCAGGTACACTTGGTTTCTGGAACGTGCGAAAGACAGCAATATATCTGCGTTTTACGACACTGCTCCAATTTATGTTCTCGCATGCTTTAGCAGGTATACGGAATTGCAGTACGAGCACCTCGTTGTTTCGCGATGAACGTAGCACTGTGATCACGCACATGTACAATATATTGTTACTCACTGGAATTGTTTCTGCAAAAAGAAATATATAGAGAGCGATTGTAATATTTTTCTTGCAATTATTGTACCCTCGCACTCATTTAGTTAATTTGAAGATATATCTCTATTTAGCACTGAAATAAATAAGTAAAATACACTTCTATATAAAATGTAATTAAGATATAAAGTGAGATCAAATAGAAAAATTAATATCGAGTAAAAAGAAAAATATTTTTGGAATTGTTTTGTTGAAAAGTTACTGCTAATAGTTGTCTTTTGTAGATGTAATATGGTAAATTTGAAAATTATCGATTATAGCATATATATATATATATATATATACTATATATCTATATATATCTATATATGCAATAAAGAATTTTTTATTTATTCAAAAAAATTGCAACTTTTGTATATTAAACATTTTTGTGCTTAGAATATTCCAGAAAATTATGATTTTAGACCAAAACAATTAATATACATATATCTTTATAAATTAATTTTTCTCAATCAATTATTAATAGAAGATTAGAATCTGTCGTATTTTTAGTAATTACGTAAACTCCAAAATAACTCTACAATTCTTTTCATTTTAAACATTTAGAATGCAATAATTATATTGGAAAAATGCCTTTTTTCCAATGCTACTGGAAAAAAGGAAAAGAAGTTTTATATTCCATACGATGTATGTGATGTGTTGCAGTGAAGGGAATGCGACAACGAAATTCTACATATAGATAAAAAATAATTGGAAATACTATGACATATAGTAAAGTGGCACAATGCTAAGTCCAACTCCGACGATCGATCGTTCCAGCCTGCGTCCTGGCACAGGATACCTCATCGCGCCGCGGGTACCCCACGGCCTCGCGACTGTTGTCGAGGGTCTCACGAGGGAAGTTCTACGTCATCGGCCCGAGGATATATATGTTTTTGCAGCTCACCACTTTGAAAAGTTGCTAAAGCTACGGGAGGAGTACCACATCGAAGAATATAGTAATCGCGAGTTCAGCCATGAATTCAATCGCGATTTTAATCTGTGGCCTACAAAGGGAACCCAAAATATTGAAAAACCTTCAAACGGCGGTTGGTCCCTGGAGAAAGAGCTCGAGATTTTTGAGAAACCTGAAAGAACAGCCATTGACACAGAGGAGAGTCAGGAAGATATCTCTACTGACAAAGAAAATCGAAAAACTCCGAAACAGACAAGATCAAGAGGTCCTGCGACTACGAAGAAAATCTCGAAGACGTCGAAGGACAATGAGACAACGTCGACTGCTCGCGCGACAAGAATCATTTCCCAAATGACTGCTCTTCACGGTCCCGGCAAGAATATCCAAACCAAGGATATTAAGCAGGAACTCAGAAAAAACAAACTGAGCGGCGAGAAATCCAAAGCAAGCGATAATGTCGAGAAAGGGATTCGAGGCGATAGACGATCTAGGACGAGAACTACTAAAACAGACAAAGATTCTGCAGAAGATGTCAAATGTGTCACAACGACGACGACGAAGAGCTCGAGTAAAACCTCCGCACGAAGACCACTGAAAAAAGTACGTCGAATTGAAACCGAGTCCGAAACTGAGACGGAACATGAAATCGTAGCCAAGGCTGGACTTGAAAATGGGTACAATAATTTACTTTACAATAATATAAGAAAAAAATTCGTATTTCCTAATTATTTATTGTAATTATTTATAACTTTTAATATTTTTAAAATTTTAATAAACATGAATAATAATATTAAACGCAAATAAGAAAATTTATCTGAACTTTCTTTTTTTTAATTTTAGGCACGCAAGATCGAGCATTGAAAATAACGATACGATTCGCGAGACAATTCGGACAGAAAGCAGAGAGAAAAGACCAAAAGCGTGGCTCTCCGAACATTCCTCTGAGAGGAAAGTATCATCGAGAGCTCTCAGTATGGACCGCATCAGGGCATATGTATTGCGTAAATTTGCGAGCACCGCGAGCTTGGAGGTTCTGCGATCGCCTACGTACGTAGAGCAAGTGCAAGAAGTGATTAATCGCGCGGCGCCGATTATCAAGGAGAAACTAGAAGAAATCGGAATACCACGGGGAAAGCGTTCGAAATCTGTCGATCTTGCCTGGAACGAGGAATTACTTCATCGGCACGTTCGAGAAGAAAAGAGACACGACGATGAAGAAAAAAATGGAAGGGGAAAGAGCGGAAACGGACTGGAAGTTGATATTATGAAGAAAGAGGAAATGGAAAATTTTGCAAGAGACGACACGATTTCAATCATGGAGAGTGAGGAGAAGAAATCGAGGAGGCGCAGCGTAGGTTCGGGCAAAAGATCAAGAAAACGCGATAATGGTGACTTCGGGGTCGTCGATGAAGTCGACGACAACTCGAAGCATAGTAATAAATCGGAGCATGAGTCTAGTATAACGCACGATACCTTGGAAGCGAGATTGACTGCCACGCAGAGCATCTTGGAAGATATCTCAAAATCAACATCTGAGTTGGGCGGTGCTCGCCGAAGCGATCCTACCGGAAATGAACCATCGGAATCGGAAATCTCCGATCACGTCGTTTCTCTGCCTGTCGTGAGGCCACCATCTTCTAGAAATTCCAGGAGCGCTTCCAAGAACGGTTCGGATTGTCTGACGCTGCCGCCCATCTCACCGGAAGCTCCCAAATCAACGAAGAAAAAGGACGAATTGTCCTTGCCGGTTCTACTAACGGCAGCAAACAACAGCAGCCATTCCATCAGGAAACCGCAGGAGCAGGATGCCTCAAAAGACGCAGAGGAGGCCTCGACGATGTACGATATTACGAGCGATATAGAGGACATAGCGATCTCTTCTGAAAACGATCACGAAGATGCGATCGTAGATGTAAAGCAGAATCCTGATAGTGATCACCAGGACCTGCTAATATCGAACGTAAGATATATCAATGAGGAAAAACGTGAGAGAAACGACGACGTAGACAAAGTCTTTGGTGAGAAACGCGAAAGTCTTGAGGAATTTGAGGAATTAGAGAAATTTGAAGAAGGCAGGAAGTCGGAGGAAGTCTTTATAGATAGTTTAAACGTTACACCGGAAGTAGCTGATGTACCGTTAAGGCCAGACTCGTTAGAACCTGATGAAGAGGTCAAACTTGAAGATGATAACGCGTATCCTGCACAAGAAAATGCTTTTGATAGGTTGAAAGATAAATTGATCGAGATCGAAATGGCGGAACGTAGTATTGAGAAAGCGTTGGCTTGCCAACAGGTCGCAGCGAGTGACATTGGCGAAACGACGAGTCAAGCGGAAAAGTCGCTGACTGACGGTAAGATAAATGAAGCAGAAGAGCTAACTAATGAGGCGGAAGAAACTGTGAATGAGATACGAAAGTCGATGGATGCGAGAAAAATACCGGTAAATAAAGACGACGAAGAAAGAAAAAAGAACAATAACGCTGGAAAAAGGAAATCGACAAATGGTATAGAAAAAATAAAAGATATAACAGAAATATCAAATAAAACGGAAGATTTAAATATAGAAGAAAGTTTAACAAATAAAGTAGAAAAAATAGAAAATGAAATAAGGGAATCGACTAGTAAAACGGAAAATTCAATAAATGGGTTAGAAGTAAAGGAAATTAAAAAAAAATTGACGAACGAAACTGAAGCAGAAAATTTGAAGAATACAGTAGAAATATTAAAGAATGGAGCAGAAAAAGTAGAAACGGAGATAACGAAAACAGAGGATACGATAAAAGCACAAGACGAGAGATCGATAGATAAAACTGAAAAATTGAATGAAAAATTATCAAATAGCATAGAGGAATTAGCAGTTAATATTCATGTAAAAAATGTGCAATCCATAAATACAAGATCGCTTAATAAAGATTCTCGGATTACTGAAGTAGTCGAAACGGACGATGATAATACAGAGACATCAGGAAAAAAATCTGAAAATGCGACGAATGAATTTTCTAAAAGCACAATCTTTGAAAATGCTGCGATCACGAGCGAAAGCTCGAATCTTCCCAATGAGAACAGCCAAACAAAAGCACGGAAAAAACGCGAGAGCGACAAGTTACCAATGATAACATCGCTTTCTTTAGAGCTCCCGTATTCTTATGTTCTCAGCGAAGGTTCCCCTTGTGAGATTCCCGATTCCGTGACGACTGTGATCATTCCGGACAAGCCGTGTCCTTCTCCTATTACTCTAGAGGACGAGAATTATCAGCCTGAATCAACGAATCAAAAGGAAGAATCACTTACACGCTCCAATATTGAGATTTCCAACAACGAAAGACAGGACAAGGATCAGCGAGGATACGACATAGAAGTTTTTGGGGAACATATCAGACCGGAAGCCACCATTCTAACCGTCGATACCGATTTTATACATGGCGTGAAAGGGATAAAATCAAGTCAGGACAAAGTGATTGTCCATCAGGACTTGGATAAGATTAAAGAAGAAGGCGAAGAAGAAGTTGAAAAAGAAGACGACGAACCAAAAAAGACAGAGAGCCATCGAGAGAAGAAAAATGATGACGAAAAAAATGTAAAAGAGGAGGAAATGAAAAAGCTTGCAACACTAGAAAATATCATGGAGCACGAAGAGAACGAGGAAACTGATATAAAAACGATTGAGTCCAAGAGAGATGCTGAGAAAATCTCTTTTGACGTCCTCGAATATGAATCCTTACCTGATACCAAAGATTTAACGATCGATACTGTTTTGACAAACGAAGAAACAGTAGACGTCGCAACAGAATCCAGAAGCTTATTGGAAAATTTATCAGAAGAGAGCGGAAGTACGCAGGGTACCACTACTACGTCGAGTGACATTAAGAGAAGCACTACAAGCAATCAATCGATTGAGAGTCCGAGTCCAGACAGACCGGTAGTACCAGAATTAAACCTGGACTCACTCCAAGATAACACGGTGTCGTCTTTCAAGGTGACGACAAACGGAACAGAGAAGGAGGACAACGACAGAGAAAGCGATGCCACGATTTCCTTGGTCGAGCCGTTGATTTCGGATGAGAGATTAATGAATCGGTTGGTCGATCATGAAGAAACTATTATCACTAAAGGGTTGACAGAGAGAGATCAGTCAGAGTTTCCAGAGGCTGATCAATTGTATCATGCAGAACATATGGAGTACAAATGGTTGGAGAAGGATCCGTTATCGATAGAAATCAACTTGGAAGATGAAACGAAATCTCAGGAGAAAAATATTGATTCGAAAACGACTTTACCGGAAGATGCTATACAAGTCAATTTGGTTTTACAGGAGAAAGCGGAGACAGAGGAATTAGGAAGCGAGGAAGAAATTGCAAGAGAATTGATAGGCTTATTGGATAAAGATGTACAACTTCGCGCTAAAGAATCGGATTTGAAAAAAGGATCTATAGACGGTGGAAAGTCCGAGAAAAGTAACTTAGAAATAGACGACAAATCTGATCAACCATTATCAGCATCTATGCATTCGATATTAACTGAACAAGAAAAAAAAGAGTATGAAGATTCTATACATAAAACAGATGAAGTACTAAGAACTGAAATGACCAGCAAATTATCAAGTGATATAACGGATATTAGCCAAGATGAGGATAAAAACAATACGATACTAGATAAAGAATCTGAAAAAATGAAATTGGAAATGGTTAAAGAACACATAGAGAATTTGCATGTTGCACCTTTAGCACAATTTGAGCAAGATGAAATATTGGAAGAAAATGGTAGTTTTGAGATAGCTGATAAAAACATTACAGTTAAAAGTAAACTTGATACTATTAATGCTGATCAAATCGATATTCAGAAAAAACTTAAAGACAAACAAACAAGTATAGAAGTTTCAGAGAGCCAAAGTAGTAACAATAAAATTAAAGAACCGAAAACTGAAAATATAAAGCAAGAAGAAAATGGACAAGAAGAGTTGCAAAATAAAAAAAAACGCCAGCAAGAAAAATCACATGAGGAGTATAAACAAGAAAAATTAAATGTTCAAGAAGAAATCGAACAAGAAAATTTAAAAATTCAAAGCAAAGATGATCAAGAAAACATAAAGATGGAAGAAAAAATTGTAAATATGACAGTACTACCTCTAGAAATAGAGTCGAGGAAAGACTCAATAAGCGAACCAATGAAAAATGACGAAAATAAGGACATTAAATCAAATAATAAATCCATTATTGATGATCAAACAGAAAAAGATACGGAAAATGAAAAGAAAGGGAAAACTGAAGATCTTTCAGGAAAGATAGAAATCGTTCATGGACCAATTATAAGCGCAATATCAGAACAATCGATAGAAGATCATTCTCGCTGTAGATATTGGACAATGGGAACGAAATCGTCGACTGTGGAGACAGTAATTGAAGCTTTTGATTCTAATACGAGTACAGACGAGAAGATTATTGTTGATGAGTCAGAAATTATCGCGGACAAATCGCTTATTCAGAAAATAGACGATTTAGCTGCAGTTGTAAAAATTCAAGCTTGTAAGTAAAATGCAACGTTTTGATAAAATTATGTTATTTTTAATTGTGCTGCGTTAGCAATGTAGATAACTGACTACCGACTTTCTTATCTTTTATATTACGCTTCAATAACATAACAAACTCAGAAGTTTGCGGATATAAATAACATTGCAGTGTCATTAATTTTGTTGAAATTAGAAAGTGTGTGTGAGAGAGAGAGAGTAATGAAGATTATTATTTTAAGGTATTCGAGGATTTTTAACGCGTCGTCGTGTGCAAAAAAATGCAGGCTCAGAATTTCCTTCTAATGACGTTCCATCGACACAAAAAGTTACGGTAAATATAATTTTTACAATAATTTTAAGCCTTGATTTCTCGAAAAAATAATTATGGATTAATATTTCAAGGATAAAACATTATTACTAATTCACAAAATAGTAAAACGTTGCTGTACAATTACATAACTATATAAAAGATTGATTTCTGTTTGTTTATGTTTCATAAAAATTAATAAAAATCAAACGTTATACTGAGTCTAATAAAATAAAATTTTTTTTACTAAATTCTGTTATGGTATTCTAAATGGAATACAATTATTTAATTGAAACTGATCTTGGAATTGAGTCCATCAGTCTTCCTCTGTTTTGCTGAACAGAACAGCTGGACGCAATATTTCGCACGCCGCACCCGTCGGAAGTTTATTACGTAAAAGAGGAAGCGGCGGGTCACTGCTAAACGTCAGCGTTTTCATGATTGCAACAGGCGGTTTGGCAGTAACTGGCTTGGCAGATAGACCCGAGTTTTCCCTTAAAATAATTGTTTCTTAAATCAGAATTGACGTCTACGGAATTGACGTCTTACAAATGTTGTTTTTGTTACATTTCCTTAAAAATTTCGTGTCTTAAAATAAAATTTATTTACACTAACTAATTATTTATTATTCTTCTTTAAAAGTAATTGTGAAAATGACTAATTAATTAATTAACACTTCCCTTTTTCTAAATAAAAATCATATATAATTGATGGTAATATTTAGAGTAATCATCTGGTACCACAAGATACTTCGACTCTACGAGAAGCCAGACGTCTTCGACGAGAAGAAGCTTTACGGAATACAACACTTTCGTTGGAGAATGCCTTTGCGACAGGTCGACTTCAACATACAGGCGAATTTCACGATTCTATGCCGTTACTTCCTTTCGATCTGCTGCATAATAAAGTTGATTCAGTCACCTCGAACGATTCTTTGGATGAAAAAGCTTATGTAACAGAAGCTAATACACCTGATAATGCAAAATCTAGTGCCAATGAAAGTGAGACCGTGTAAGTAATAATTCGTAAAAGAAATAAAGAATGCATCAATTAAAATACAATATTCTTAGAATGTTATATAAGTATTATTGAAAATTAAGATAATACTATTATATTCTAAAAAAAATATTATATAATATTTTTTTAATGTTATGGGAGTATTTTATTGATGTTATATGTCCACTTCATATAATATCCTTATTATTTCTCTAATATTCGCAGAATATAGTATTAAAATATTTATTAATATTAATGATTGTTATATAAGAGTACAATGTGAATTTATAAGTTTTAGAAAAATTTAGAAGCAACTTTTATCATTCTGAGCTGGATCTTTGTGCTTAAATAATGTTTTGGTGTGATTTCATATACATATATTCAGTTTTACAACTGGGATTATTTTTAGTCGTTATACACGCAATCTTAAACCAAACTGATGTAATAGTTTTACAAATATTATTATACTTTTTCATCTTTATATAATATATTACATTAACATTAAATGTTATTATCAACAGTTGACATATAATCATCTATTAATATATTTCAGGAATATTATTCAATATTATTTAATATTATATATTGTAATAAAATAGTATAAGGTAGATATTATTAAAATGTTGCATTCTCTATTCTAAGAGTACGCCTAAAATAATAAATAATATTATGCGCTTATGGAATTACTCTTTAAATTATAAATTTAATAAACCGTGCATTCTTCAATCTTTGACGTTTGCTCCCGTTAGAAAGAGAATGTAACATATTGAATCTATATATACACTTTAAATATTAACAAAAATAACGCTAATAACCGCCATCTCTTTGATCTCATAGTAAAGCGTATTCTATACTTATTGTTAAATACATATATTAAATATTATTTATTACTTAGTATCTTAAATTACTTTTCTTAAACATCTTTTGCTACTTCTCACAGTCGCGAACATCGGACGACTTTCCACAAAGGCAACACCTTCGTTGATCCCACCTTTCCAATCGTGATGCATCTGCTGGCAGATGCATCCCGCAATTGCCACTTCACGGTCAGTCAAAATTCCCATTCAGATTTTAATGCAAATGCTAGAGGAGCCAAACCCATGGAACCGACTGTGGACATTGTAATGCTGGGTTATCCGAGAGACGACGAAAATCGATATCTGAATTTCATAACTAGCATCGAGGATGTAAACTCCAATATGGATTCCTTGACACTGCACGATATGACGAAAAACGCAAATGACACCAGCGATATTCATCATCCTTCAACAACTTCCGGCAAGGGTAGTCTCAGGGAGCCTTTGGCTCTTCCAGGAGTTTCTCAGGGTGTCGTGATCGAAGAAGTGATCAGTTTAGGCGAAGTTGTCCCGTCGGAGTCGACGACGAAACCGTCGACCGCGCCGAAGACCTCGCTGGATACAAATAGCTCAATGCCATCTGAGGAATGTGCCCTCGAGGACGTGAAAAATGATTTAGGGACGTCTCCGAGGACTACGGATATAATGGAAGACCGGAAACAAGGAGCTGAAAGACAAGAGTCTGATCGCAACCCTGAGAGTGTCGGAGAGAGCAATTTGCATAGCGGCGATGCAAATAAAAATTCTAATGAGTGCTCTGGTAATAGCCAGCACGTGGACGAAGAGAAGGATAAAACATGAATCATATATTCATGAATCATGTATTCATGGAGACGTGTAGGCTGACATGAAACAGAGCGGGAGTCGCGAATTATATGATCGGTCAATTGATTCCTCCCATTAAAATCGTTAGGAATTTGCAAGCCAATTGCTATAATTTTCATTGCACATTAACATATTTTTGCAAGGCGCACTTACGTTTTATATTATTCTTAACGTAAAGTTTAGAATGCCTGCGGTTCGTTAATTTATTTGTTTATGTAGAAATAAATAGATGCGCGCGCGCGGTACGAGAAGGATATCACTCAGGAATATAGTATTAATGTAGGTATAGAAAAAAACATCATGACATATATAGTGCTCAGTTACTAATTTATATACGAGGAAAATGCAACGCGAGCACTAAAGTCGCAATTTCGCTACAAGCGAAGTCTTTTCCCGCTATTTATTATTATACATAGTTTGAAACTATATTATTAACTATACTATATTTGTATATGCAAAGAGCATCAAATAAATTGCATATATAAGATAACTCAATTCGCTTTTACTTTAGAATATCCACTATAAAAAATATTTAATTTAATGAACTAGTAAAAGTAGATATGTAAATTGCAAATTTAGTACATTCTTGATGATAAGATATTTCCAACGTCTGTACTGCACGATTATGGCGTATGAATTAATTAGAAATTAATTACGATGCAAAAATTTTAAATTGATGAAAATAATCACTTGTTTTATTAATATCTTGCGTTAATTTGCTATTCAGTCCTGGCTCCTAGAGAATCAAAAATGGAATGTAAAAATGGAAACAATACAAAAAGAAATTTTATCATAGCAAAGTGTTCTGTATTCTTTGAACTTCTGTGATTGGCTGCTAATTGCGTCCGTAATGATCAAAAAGCTTCGAGATCGAGCCGACGATATTTTGCATTTGGATCACGCAGAATTAATGCAAGCAGCTCGGATACGGACCTTGGTACATATTTTTAGTGCCCGCCGCGATCTAAAGAGAGAAAGAGAGACGAATGACGATCAGTATCGTGGTCGTCGGTCGTCGCGAGCGTCCAGTGAGCGGGGATCCAAGGTAAGGGCACGACGTTGAAGTGACGTCATTGGGCGTCGCGACGACGACGACGCCGTCGTTGTTGTCGCCACTCGCTACAACGCGCGCGCCAGGCATCACCGCGATCTGTCGCGACAATCATCCGTTTTCTTCTCTTCTTTCTCTCGTGGTGATCGTCGTGTATATTATCGCTTCAAAAATCTGTCACGCTCGCTAATAATTGCGAGCGATCTCTGTCACCGCAACTTTGTCACGTACGACCGGTATCTTTAAGAGGTAAGCGAAATCAACGTTTGCGAGTGCAGCTGCGGATCATGCAGATAGCTTTATTCTGAGAAAGTTTTCAAGAAGATATCTTTATCGCATTCTTTTGCCTCACCTTTCTTAATTAATACTTGGCTTATCTATGTATTTTTTTAAATACATACAATTTAATCTTTGGCTTCGGTTGATTTTTACAGTTATTAATGTCACTTTTATTTAATTTACTTAATAGATGTGTCTGTCATTTTAATGTATGTTCAAATTTGTTATATTATATTCAAATTTGCAAACGTTCCTCCTAGCTATTAATATTATTACCGGTAAATACATAGCAAGTGAAGATCTCTCTCTCTCTCTCTCTCTCTCTCTCTCTCTCTCTCTCTCTCTCTCTATCTCTCAATTTGTATTTTATATTTTTATAAAATTGTAGTTTTAGAAGATTACTTTTATCTAAAAATCTTGTATCGAGTAAAACGTTATTTAATCTCGCTTAACAAAAAGTAACTCCCACGTGATGTCCACTTCTCTATCTTTGGAAAATGTGTGAAATCATCACCGTGTAATTTTAATTTGTGAAATCGTTATCTCGATATAATCTAAACTAATGTGAAGAATAACAATATAATATTAATTAACAAACGTTAGAAATATCATTGAGTGTAATTAATAAAAACATTTTGTTAAACGTGAGATACGCGATGGAGAACGAGACGAAGCGCGCGTCATGAGTATACGATGTCCGAGTTATCGATGTCCGAGTCGCGGCCGATTGGATGACGCGTATCGTCCGAGTATATTTTCGTGATGATGAGCATCGGTGAAGAGTTATGCTCGAATACGCAGAGATCAAACAGCGGACGCAAACAAATTGGAATGTTCTTGGCCGCACGCGCGCGGACTTTCGTCGACACTCTCGCGAGCATCAATCATCAATCAGCGTATATTGGCCTCAGGACGACGAATTCGCTGTGACGCGCATGTCGACCGCACTCACGAGACCGAAATTAATGCTATCCCAGGCGTATTACGAACACTTTGCGAGCTCCCCAATACAGCCGTTCTCCCCTGACATGACGCGATCAATCAAGCCGCAAGTGGAAGAATAAATGTCCGAATGGTACTTAAACAAGTACCATTCGGACATTTATTCTTCCACTTTATTATATAAAGTTTCCTAAATTAAATCGCTTACATTATATTTCTCAACAAACAAACGTATCGCTGAGGAATAGAAATCACGTAAAACATTGTACACTATAAGAAGGAAAATTATTCTGGCATTTGATTAAATTTAATGCAATGGCAATGTTTTGATAAATCCTGCATTTTTCTTACTTGATTATAAAACAGATAACATATCTTATATGTTGTATTATATAAAAAATAGCATTCATATGTATCTTCTGTAGAAAAGTATAAGGTAAATTCTCTCAAAATGAAGTATGTATTTAAAAAGGGAAAAGAGAAAAAATATTTTGTAGTTCCCCACGGTTTTATAGTAATTCGAATTGCTTGCCAAACTGCATTGATTCTTTCTCCAGTCTTCTCGTAAAGCAATAAAATCCAGCACGTTTGCGTTTTTAGAAGCGCGTGAAGGCCGTCCCGCAGCTATCGGGTGATCGGCGCTCACCCTCTGCCAACTTTGTACGAAATTAACCCATCCTCGGATGCGTGAAATAAGACATGAAGGTGATCGACGGTTCGGAGAACCGAACGGGCCTCTTTCGCCGGTGGGTTATCATCGCAGAACGCATGCGTGATAGATCCATCCTTCGTCCGAGGCGGATAAACTGCGTTCGCTGAGCCAACGTGCGACTCTTCGTCGTGCGTTCGTTGCGCATCAGTTTCCCATTCAACTTCTGGCTAGGAGGACGCGCGATAATGAGATCGCGGAAGTGAACGAAAAAGTGTTCTGCGAAGGAAGAACGATCGTATATTTTTTGTGAAAGAAAATTTCCGCTCTCCAAAGAATCGGGAAAATCTGGCTTCGCCTGCTCTCTCCTTCGGAGAGATATTTATAAACCAGAAGAACATCGATCACAAATTTCACTGAAGATTATTTTTATAATTTTTGCAATTTAAATGTCCAATCGCGATTGACGTTAAAGTTTCCCAGAAGATTCCTGAAATAATAGGGAGACCTATGGTTTTCTTCCGGAAAAAAATTTTTACTGAGTATAGAAAGTTGGTATTTCTTTTTGCCATCGATATTTGTAATTGATCGAAGGTATCCTGAGATTGTTATTTGTCCTCTTTCCGCTAGTGGGGTTATAAATAATCGAAAGATTATCCTGTCTGCAAGATTACCTCACTTCCGCTTTGAAACAAATTTTTATAAATATATCTTACGAATATTCGTCTCCCTTTATTCAGTTTCGTTTGGAATATCATTCCAATAAATTGTCTACTTTTGAATGAGTCTGTTCTTTCGGGAATTATCTTTACAAATAATCGAAAATAACTTGAATTGTTTTCGCTCTTGGGGAATCGATCTTTGTAAATAAGCTGTGAAGGTACACGAATCTCTCCTTAAACGATCTTTGGAAGTAATCCGGGAGAGCGCCGAATTTCTGCGGAGTCGGCCTTCGTGAAACACCTTGGAGAACTCGGAATTTTACGGACGGACTTTAACGACCGAGACACGGAGTTTCGCGTAATCGGCTTAGAACTCCGTTCATGTCGCAGACTTCGAAGGAGGACGCCGACGCGATGAAGGCCAACACGGCGGCGACGAAGATCCAGGCCAATTTCCGCGGATACCGTGTGCGAAAACAGCTGAAGGAATCTACTCAACGTCGTCGACAGCAGAATCAGCAGGACCAAAAACGGGATCAACAGCAGCAGCAACAGCAGGAACGTATGAAACCGAAGGAGCATTTACTGAAGAGGCAGAGTACTCGGGAGGCGCTCGAGGAGAAGTCGGCGACGAAGATCCAGGCGGGCATTCGCGGTTTCCTGGTGCGAAAGAGACAGCAGGCCGTTCAAGCAGCGGCAACGAGGATCCAAGCCGGCTTCCGCGGCTTCAGGACGCGGAAATTGCTGAAGCAAAACGGCCAGTAAGCTGTCCCTTCCTGGCATGAGAAACGACGTGGGACGTTGACGCGCGCAAGAGGTTCTCCCCGTTTATGTCTCGTGATTGCGCTGACGTAAATTAGAACCTGTTACTGATGTGATGCATTTGCTGCGAGGCTGAGTGGAAGATGTGATAATTACTTTGATCTACATATATATATTCCCAATCCGTTTCTCTTAAGATCTAACAGAATTATACATGGCTATACTGAATACGTAACTTTTTCTGTGTGAATTTGGAATGTCCGGAATGTATCTTCTCTAACTTATCTATATAATGCTATCTTAATTAATTCTGAAATACGTTAACAAGTTTTCCAAAAATGTTCTAATTTAACACACCACATGCATATTGTTTAATTAAGTATATAGATATACAATATATTATATATATATATTTTTTACAATTTTTTTACTATATATATATATATATATATATATACGTGTGTGTGTGTATTTGCAGTATGTGTGTGGATATGTCCCAACAAACTGGCGTTATTTGTCGCTTTTTTTTACATCAAAATAACGTCTTTAAGATTACCAAAATCTTGTCTATTGAGATATTATACAATAATAGGAAAAGCTGAAAACAATTCTTTTCGAAACTTAGATTATAAAAATATTTTTTTATGCAAAACGGGTAAACAAATGTTTTTTGTTATTGTTTGATTTAAAAGTTTAGTTTAATTTCTGTGCTTTGGAATAATCACAAGACACTTATGAGTCGTAATAGAAATGATCTATAATATCTTCTTTTATTCCGTTATTGCGTATACAACAACAACGAGAATTTTATTTTTAATATAAAAGAATTGTTTTTCAGGCGTGTTTGAAACGTGGTAGCTCGCAATGATTGCGACGATTGCGTGTTAAATACTAATCGGCACTCATTAACTGCACAAGGAAAATGTAAACAGCTGCAACATGTGTCCGCGACATCTCAGCGCTTATAAGCGGTTTAAATATAACGTTAAGCTTGCGCCTCGAGCCCTTGACCCTTAAATTCTTCTTAGCTCCGAATTCTTTGGCACGTCTCTCGACCTTCTCCATATATTTGTTCTCATATTGTGTATCGTTTATTTTTCAGCATTTTGCGGATTCCTTTGTAACTCGGACAAGACCTGCAATTGGATCGGAGGCGAGAAAGGAAATGACAATTTCAATTAAGTTAATTACACTGTACGCTTTTGAGACACTCCGTTTGTCTTCGAACTGTAGCTTTGTTAATCCTGTCAGAAGCTCGGGAATTGATCAATAATTAGCGGAACATTGTTTTACGACAATATTCATCATTGCTTTTATTTTCTTATTTCTATTTTTTCCATGATAATTTTGGTATGAGAACGATGGCGATAATGACAAAAAAAAAGATTAATGATCGAAGATATCATGCCTTGAAGGAAAGCAGTTGATATATATATAATAAGCAGTTGATATATATATAATAAGCAGTTGATATATATATAAAATGTATTAAATATATATATATATATGTATGATAGAAATTAGTTAAATAATTATATAAATCTCTTAATATACTCTCTTGTTATATTCTTTTTTATGTAATTAATGTAATTAACGCGTTGATTTATAAATTCAAATCCTGCAAATTAATATCAAAGATACACTTATAGCGTAATTTTGTATCAGTACAATCTGTTGATAAATGATACTTGTGTAATATGACTAGTGTATAAAAATGTATATATTAATATATATTCTTTGTCGTTATATTTGTGTTTTATGATTCGAATCTTATGAATAATAAATTTTTAATTTTTGTAATAATTATTCATAATGGTTACATATAATATATAGATACAATTAAAGAATAATATATAAGATAAGTACTTCTTATTATTCAATATACATTTATTAATTTTTAACTGAAGGAAATATGTGTGTGTGTGTGTGTGTGTGTGTGTGTAAATTTGATGCGTTATCCGACGAGTAAAGCAGTTTACCGGTTCTGGATGGCAGCACTTGGTTATAGAAAAGATATTGTCTTTAATATATAAGAGATGTTTTAAAATTTCTAATTTTTCAATCAATGACATGTTGCAACCATTTTTTTTAATGTTTCAAAGATGATATAATAAATATAGATAAAAAGTCAAAAATAAAAAAAGAAGAAAATCAGATATTAAATTTAGAAAATGCGGAAAAACACTTTTATTTACGTAAACATGAAGGTTACCTTTACACTTATCGTTTGGATAAACAAACCATTTCGTTTCATTTATCATCGTAAAAAAAACAATTTCATCTTGTTGCGAATGAGGCAACAGGCTGATTCTGGTTTAAGAGCGCGGATATAAACAAATTAATCCGAGACGAGGGAAGGTACGTCAATAACGCGCACATGAATGCAACCAATTTTATTCTGTTGTCCGTTACATAGGAGCGGCGCGTTCGCCGAAATATTCACATCCGGTCTCCGCAGAAATACCGAAAGTTGTGTAAGGTACTCATTTCTTGAGGCGCTTACAGACTAATCGGTGCGAGTGAAGTACCGGTGAAAAAGTCAACTATTAACTATTTTCGTGTCTATTTAATAAATATTAGTAACAGTCCGTTAGTGAGAGGCAAAGTATTGATATACTGACAATATTTATCTAATCGGGCACGCTTTATCAGGAGATCCCTTATCGCAGGGAGATCTCACTCTGTCCTTAAAGTTTAAACGCATTTAAAATAAAAATAAATATTAAGATAAATGCAAAGTGTCGATATAATTTTCGTGAATAATATACGTAATCGAAATGTCAAATTGGAATGTTAAAAATCATATTATGACTGCAACTTTACGGAATAGGGTAGGAAACAGGAGAGGGGGGGGAGGGGGAGGACTTTTGTCGTGTTTTCTTTCTCGTGTACTTCATCCTCAACGTCATTTTCTGCCGCTTTTTGACTCTCAATAGAGATTCGGCTTTTCAATGTTTCCCGAAACATTGAAAACACGGCGAAATTCATCGAGGATCCCGTCGATCGCCTCTTGCTGTTCTATGCAAGAGACGCGATTCACAGCCAAGGACCATGCGCGATGATTCATCTCTCACGAGATCAATCTAGCCGGCGACGTACGCACGCGTGCTCGCTATAATAAGCACGCGAACACGGGCGCGTGTTTCATTGAGACGTGCGTGTACAAAGACGGGATAACGTAATTAAAAAATCACAGAAATGCCATTATACACGGACACCGTCGTCTCGCGGGAACAGGAAATGGGGATGAGGGTGGGTAGAGACGGGGCTCCGATGAGTTATCTATCACAATCGAAGATACCTAATGGGATTATATCGTGAAATGCAATAAATAATTCGGAAAATCACTAATATATATCCGCGTTTCTCTCCACCTTTCTCGTTTCACATTCGCTCCTCTCACATTCGTCGTCTCATCCATTCGTCGTTCTTTTCGTCCATCCGGGGGTTGGTTTAGGTTTCCGTTTACTTGGCGAATCTGTCGACAGGGAAGTTGTCGAAGATATCGGGATAGCTCCGCGTCTCCAGGCTTTGATGAGGCAAACAAGTGTTCGCAAAGCACGTGAGGTTGTCCACGCTGCAACCAGTACAGCGGTTGCAACTGCAGATTAATCCATCGCCACAAACTCCCCAGGAATCGCTTGGACCACCACAAATTTGTCCAGGGCCCTACAGGAAAGCGATGTCAATCAGACCGCACCATATACAGAATTCTCGACAAACTTTCAAATGGGGACCAACGCAACGTCGGGGATAAAGACAAGAATAACATTTTCACGAATTTAACTTTTCACGAAGTTAAACTTCACGTTAAATAAATTTCATATTAAATAAAAATAAAGATGAAATTTTATACTTTTTAGAATAGATCTTTAAGTCATATTAAAACTTCTTCTCAGCACTTTTATCGATAAATGTACACGCTCTTAATTTAATTAATACGCTTTTATCTCTGAAATCCTGTAGTACCTATATGTAAACAATTGTAATGTAAATAAAATAAACTACATGCTAAATGCGCGCGCTATCATCGTTGCAAGCGCGTTCTGAATACGAGCTTTTGAATTTTAGAATGATGTACGATGAGATACGTTTAAGAATGATCTTCTGCAGTGGAACAACGCGTCGTACTATTGTTAATTGCTACTCACCCTTCGGCATTCCAAGATACCGCAGAGAGTCGACGTTGTGTAACCGAACTCGCATTGCTCGCATTTATCGCCGCAGCCCACACACAACGGTCTCGGCTCGTGCCGTTGTGCGATCGCAGGATGCGCGTGGCACTTGTCGATTCTGTAACACCATTAGAACTATGTTAATTATTGTAACATATGCACAGTGTAAGGCTATTTATAGTCAATTCTTACATTCAAGACTATTTTAAGTACAATCGAAAAGATATCATGAATTAATCAGAGAGTTGTATTAGTATCTCAAAATATATTACTTAAGACGGTCATGAAATAAGAACGGACTATGAATATCGAGCCTAAGATCACTCATTGCTCCATCATTTATAATGCTTACAGGAATACCACGGCCAGGAGGACGATCATGTAAGTGAGTTGGAAGGTAAGCATGATGATCTACCAATCTGAAACAGAGTCGACGTGCATGTAAATCGCCGTGCTTTCCTTACTGTCGAATTTTATATGCCAATGTAAAGATGAAATGGTAAAGAAATTAACGACGAAACTCTTGTTTAAGAATAAAACGTTCAAATAAAATGTCTGAATCATTATTCCTTTACGTATCGATCTTCTTATAAATCATTTCTTTATCTCTCAATAAATAGTTCTTTTATGCCTAAATGAATAAATTTACAGTGCTCGAAAAATAACGCGTGAATATATATAATCCGGAAAAAGAATAAATTTTACATTATAGATAAAAATTTGTTCTAAAAATAAAATTACGATATATATTAATCGTACATTAATATTATGCATGATTTCTGATATTTTTCGTGATAGTTGTTATTAAAAGCTACATTTCCGATGCATTCATCAATCTAACACTGCCACGAAGCGGCCTTGCGTAATTAATAATGCTGTCGCGATTTGTATCGAATATTAATGTGAATCCCACTTTATGGTGTATGGTAACTATGTAAAATATATTCTTTTATAAAAGACGATTAATAATTACAATGATAAATCATTTGCTTCTGGTAAGAAATAATTTATATCTCTTTATAAAATAATAATTAATAATCTTCTTCCAATTTTATATATATCGCAATGCCGCAGATGCGGATTATCTTTCCATTTACCGAGTTCAATCACCTCGCTTCAGTGTCTTGACATTATACGCAACAATGCCGGCACATTGCAGGAATATTAAATATCCACGAAATAGGTAAATATCACTACAAGACTGACTTCTCAAAGCCAGTATGTCATTAATTGTTACATGTCTACAACACGAGCATATAGGATGAACGACATTCGGTCCTTTCTCTCTCTCTCTCTTTTGAACTGCACCAAAATATGTCATATAACTAACTCGTTGCAGGATATAATTGTATTCATTTAAGAAAACAGATATATATATAATTATATGTTTGGGTAAGAAATCGAAAAATATTCCATCCACTAAAAAATCAGACGAATGTTACATGTATCCAAGAATGAAGAACCAGGAATGCACCGACCTCAATAGGATCACCAAAACACTATCACACGAAATAATGCGCACTTCAGCGTCTGACATATAGACACTTGGAGATATGGCCATTAAACGTATAGACATGAAACATGACAGTCGTGAAATAGAATCTTCTATGATGCTCTAATACGTCTTTATATAAATTCACGATTATATTATTCTACAGAAATATCAATGATAATGATAACGATGATGAAGATGGTGATGATGATACTACAACCCGACGCGGTCGCGACGCGAGAGTTAAGGAAAAGCGTTCGTGCCGGCAACCCGTCGTGTGAATTAAATGGGTAAAACTGATGTCCCACATCGCCACGGATGGTCCCCACTCTACATATAGCGAAACGCTTTGCAAAGCCACAGCCTCCGTGACTCCGGGGGGCAAAGACTACCGGCGTGAACCGATTTATCGATAAATACGGAAAGGACAGCCGAACTCGACGCGGCTCAAACCCCTTCACCTCAGAAACGACTATTCTCCATCGCCACTGATGCATCTGTCTTCCCGATGCTTATCAAGCTTGCCACTAAGAATTTTTACTTTTTAAAAGGTCCGAGAGTTCAAGAGAAATTATAAAAGCAACCGGGAAGTCAGACTGCAAGAAAGTTCCGCAATCTCTCGACGCGCAGTGAAAGGATGAGATAAGATACTCATAATTAATGATATATGTCAGTAATATAGATAATAAAATGATATACGTAAAATATATAATTTAATTCCATACACGTATTATAATATAATCTCGATTTACTTTGCCTTTGTTTATCTATTTGCCGACGTCGTTTTTCTTCGTCTGTTTTGTATAATCAACACAAACTTCGATAATGCAAAATTCAAAGTTCGTATCGCACAAATAAACACAAAACTCCAATCTGTGTTGATTGCGATTTGTTCATCACACACGCGATCGTAACTGAACGACTTTGCGAAATCTTCAACGCTAAATAGAAATGGATTTTTAAATTGCCTTGGGTTCGTTGACCGAAAAGGCGCCTTGTTTCTCCGAGGCAAAGCAAGCAGAGCTCTCTTGATGTTCTGTCCGATTGTGCTAATAATAAACATAAACATTTCACGCGACCATATGATCTACTTTCCACCAAACAAGGCTTCCCTTCTTCTCTCCCACAACTATTCATATAAACTTCCGTTCGTAAACAAGGAAACCGAGCGGGCTGACTCAGCGTTGATACTCGCGGCCTCCTTTACTCCGTTTTTTGTGAGCGCGCGTGGGCACAATAATAAAAGAATTTATTTTATCTTGTATTTGTCGCAATCTTCGTTATCTATTATTTTGCACAATTATGTCGCAATCTTATCTATATATGTTTATGGGTCATTATATTTTTGGACTCCGGGATAATAATCTCCCTGTATGTAAATATTGCAAGGAGACTTTGGTCCCTCTATAAAGACGAAATAAATATGGATAACAGCATCGATTCGACCTTCTAATCCCGTAGTTATCACATCTTTTCTCTTTTTGATTCTTTCACAATCGCAGACGCTGCTCAGAGATGCACGATCACGATGTGTGATCCCGTAGGCGCCACGTAATTTTTCGCGAACAACATTTGTTATTGATATCAGCGTATCTAGGCGTTCTATGTAATATCGTGTATCTCGACGCCATTCACATCGGCAAGTTTACAGAAAAAAATTGCATTAAAATAAGGTAATGGAAATGCCGATACGCGATGTCTGGCGTTTTGTGCTCTGTTTTTCGTCTTGCACACAAACCGGCTATGTTCGGTTTGGTATTCGTAACCGGCCTTTTGTTTCCCGCGGCGAGAGGGAGAGAATGAGGGAATATTTCTTTTCGGGACGCACAAAAGAGCGGCCTGATGATTATTTGCGGACGTGCTACATCTTCTCATTGTGGGTCATTGCGTCGAACCGCGGAGTCTTTCTAAACTCCACTGCGAGACGGCGTAAAATTAGCTTCCCAGACGGCGGCGACTGCTTGATTCCCTCTCGATGAGTAAAAACATACGTGCCGCAAGAACCGGGTTAATGACACGAGAAACATGCACCTTTGGGTATTAAAACCCCATTGTCGACTTTTAATTGTAAGCTGATTTCATGCTTAGTGGTCCTTAAACATATTACTAAACAATATTTTACAAGCGCACGGAGAAAAATGTTTGGTTGAATCAATTTTGGCATTCTGAATCTTAAATCAACCAGAATTCTATCTTATAAATCATATAGCGTCTTTTTATGTCGGATACTTATCGGTATGCAGTTTATATCATTTTGTGCATTGTACGATGGACTTCACTTTTTGATAGTATTACTTTTTCAATCCTGGCGTTATAATTACTGCAATAAAAAAATGGTGTCTCTCGATTGTACAATATCATTAATATCCTTTCTATAGACAATTCAACATAACTCTCAATATAACTTTTAATTAAATTATACAACGTTCAGTTAATTCTTATTACAAATGTTACACTTGACTTTAGCCTTATCTAATCATAGCGATATGTATCGATTTCACTTAAAGAAATGCCATCTAGTTTAGAAATTTACACATTTTGTCTTTACTATAAATCTTAACTCGATGATATCGGTTTATTTTCATTATACTTTACAAATACAATCGATATATTCGTATAAGGACAATTAGATAAGATCAAAGTTAAATGTTAAAACAAGGATTAACACAATAATAATTAACTAAATTATTATACGCAATTTATTATATTAAGAATTATCTTGTCTAGAGAAGCATCAATAATATTGTATAATACAATATAATTGTTTAATAATATTAAGAGTGTCCAGACCACTTTATTTGAAAAGAAGCAATATCGTGTACAAGAGAAATTTTAAACTTGCCGATGTGCGCACTAAACACGGCTACGTTTAATATATATAAGAGCAAATCTTCGTATTAAATAAATAAGAATCGGAATCCAGCGCATAAATACAACTCGCAGTCTTTACGAAACAATACAAATAGTTTATTTTCGTTGCCTATTTTCGTGGCATTGTTGTACCGGAAGTAATTTCACGTGACCGTGAATATCAATAATCTCGTGGTCGCTACGCAATCATCGTACCAGGAACCAGCGAAATCACCGACTAAAATCGTGCGTTCTATGACAGTAGTGAATGACGCGCATCGCGACTATACGTATGAGATTCAGCGCACGTGGAATTCTCATTGAATTTTTCGCGGTGATTAACCCCTTAAATTTAGCCCGCTGCGCAAAATAGCTTCGCGTCTTATTTATAGATTTGCTTTGTGCAAGTGTATGCATTTTAATATCATTATTTTACTAGCAACATATAAATATGTATACACATTTATTACAGTAGATTGGAGAAGTTTTATATGTCACACATAAATCTAAGGTATTCAAATATTTTATATCGACAGCATTTCATATTGTAGCTGAAAGAAAGAGAGATAAATAAATCACGTAATAAAATTACTATAATTGTAAAATTTATAACAGAATATAAAATTATCTACAACAAAGAATTTTCACGTAACGTCGTAATTTTTTAACGCGAAGTCGTCAATCCCAAAAGAAATGTTTCTTCAAACTCGTTTCTTCAAATCGCAAAATCTGATTATCGCGAATCGTCAATTCACTCAAAAAACCGCCTAATTCTTAGATAGTGCGAAAACTGCGAATGATTTCGTAGAGCCGCGCGTGTTCTCCATTCATTCCGGATTGCAGCGGCGGCCTGTAGAAAAAAATCCGCAAGGAAGACTTCGCAGTTCGGAAAACCGCCGTGTCCGATGAGACGCGACGTCGTACCTCTGTCTGCTAAGAATAGCCGAAGAAATTTGCGTTGCTCGACGCAGATGCCAAATTCTCCCTCCCCCTAACTATCCCGCCCTCTTGTCTCTTCTATCGTCTACCTTCCTTTCTCTACCCGCCCCATCCGTTCTGTTTCTTCTCTTTATCTTTTCGCGGCGCGCTCTCCCTTCTATTTATTTTTACGTGTCTTCCTCTGCACTGTTAAACCTCATATTCCATTTCTCTTTATTCCGTCTGTTTCTTGTTTTCTGATTATTATATCTCTCTTCTGCCACCCTTCTATCTCATCCCTCTCCCTCCACCCCCCCCCCTCTCTCTCTCTTTCTCTCTTTGTTGTTTTCATTTTCTGTCACATGTACGTAGTTACGCACACACATCGTCTTGTTTCGTTGCTCCGCTGGTACAAAGACCGACTGAACGGTCAGTATCGTACCAGTTAGCATTCGTTTTGGACGTGCGGTCAAACAAACGGCAGCGACGAACTTGTTCCATATTAGTGAGTCCCAGCAAAGACGTATCTCCCGAAGGTGAATCTCATGCCTCGACAAACCGAAGAATTAAAGGGTTTCGAGAAAGGCAACTAGAGAAAGCGAAAGAGAGAAAGGATTTTTTCAATTTCTAGAATTCGTAATTTTCTTTTGGAGGATTGAACACGTACTGTTTGTCATCGTTCGAAAGTGAGTACCACCGACGTTTATTCAACTAATAAATAAATTCTAATTCTATATTGCAATTGATTATACGTATTTTAGAGATGCAAATATCAACAGAGACATCTTGATGAACAAAATTGTATGCTTAGATGTAATTTTGCTTTTAAAAGCTCTGACATTAGAGATGCTGTCTCATTACAAGAAGACAATAAAATTAAATATTATATAATAAGAAAGCCATCACGTTATATTACATTATCTTATAATTATGTAGCTATTTATACTATAAATAGCATGTAAGAGAGACGGAGAATATAAGTTAAATTTTTAACTCTTCTTCTATCACGATAACACTACATTTTGTTATAATCTAATTTTATAACAAAATCTAATCTAATTTTAATTTTAATATAAATCATAATAGAGAAAATTATAAAATCAGAATCGAATAATTAGTACCATCTAATTATATAGAATTCGAAAAGGAAATTTAATAAAAGATCAAGAGTAGACACGTGTTTGGATAAACGCCTCGTAGGACCGATTGCATTGGTCCTGTGACGATTGCATATTTAAAGATTCCCATCGCGCGTGGTTTGAGCTAAATGTGGCGTCTGATTCTGCGTCTTATTTACTTCGTACACAGATTGCCTTCAATGTAGACATGCAGCAACAATCGGATAGGCACGATTTGGCACTAAATACGCTTTAACATATACAATTTACGTTTTCATCTCTATTTAAACTTTTTCAAAATATGGAATAAACTAATTAAAATTTTCGTTATCTCTGTTATTTTTAGTTACTTTATCGAAAAGCGAGACCTACGCGATAAAATGAATTCCTAATTAAGAAGAGTAAATTGAATTAAGCGAACAACTTATCGTTAAAATTCGGAATTAGAAATGCATCTATTTTTTATTTTTGCTATAAGACTTATTAATAGCAGCCGACTTTTAATCGTGAAAATTGTTGTCTATTAAGGGTGCAGGATCAATATTTACTAATGCACGTGCTTTTGATTTTAAATTTTCACCGGAAATCGAGCAAACATGTTTACTGTTAACTGTTGACACAATCAAAACATTGTGTCAACCGCAAAATGCAATTTCCAAAATTTGTGCCAAACGTGCCACGTTGCCTTCGCAGTTTTACATGGATCAATATATCTCATTAAATCATCTGACATCACGTGCCTTTTGACATATATCTATATCATTATAGATATACGAAATTTTGCAAAGAAAAAAATAATTTTAATAAATAATATTTAATTAATAAATCATATTTTAAAATCCGAATCCTAAAATTTTATAATACCTAACATCTAATGAATCTAAAATGATATTTGAAATTAAACGATTTCTCGCGGTTTTTCGATGAGAATTTTGGAATTTTTTAATATAAACCGAATTCCCGCGTATCGAAGATAATTTAATCGAAAGAAAATAAACTATTTGATTACCGTTTCTGTTGCATGCACGTCAAGAAATATACGGTTTCCGAAAAGTAACAAACATAAGTTACGCATACCGAGCAGTAGATAAACATGCAGAGACCAAGAAACGGAATGGTTGGTATGGTAAATCGTTAAAGAGTAAAACAGAAGTATCTCTCGCTTTGCTTTTTTTTTTTTCTAAAAAGAAAAAAGAGAAAAAGGAGGTGCAAATCTTTGTGAGAAGCTTCTCGTAGATAGAAATAGTTTAAAGTGCATCCGATGTAAAGAAGCAGCATGATGCGAAGAAGACTTGAAGATCTATACGATTTGCCAAGAACGACTGATGCAAACGATTTCTGGCGGCACGCAGATCGGGCTCGTTTGACAACTCAATGCAGTTCGCGGAATTCCTATCTTGTTGTTAAGTAATTAACGGTCTTTACAAACTCACAACATATTAAATCTCATTTATTAAACATGATCCAATTTGCCGGTTATTTTTTGAAAAAAATTATGTACTGTAACGGGATAAATGAATAAAATAAAAGGAACATTACCTGGACTATTAATTCGTAATGATAATAATAATCGTAAATAATAATACATGATTACTAAATATCTTATAATAAGACAAAATTTCAAAGAGCACGTTTGTTGCACGATTCAATCAAATTATCTGACATTGCGTGTCTTTGTCAACGTCAAAGATGATACATAACGTGCGAAATTTTACAAAGAAAGAAACACTTTTTAATTTATAAATAAAATCTTGTAAACCAAAGTTCCAAGATTCGAGCTTTTCTAATAATATCTAGTAGTGTAATATTTAAAATTGGATGGCTCGTTCACGAGAGATTCCCGTCTATTGAGAATAAATCGGTCAGAAGAAGAGAAATTATTTGATTATCGTCTTTGGTATTCACAAGTGTACGAAGTTCCTGAATCCAAGAGTAACAAATAAGCCACGCAAGCTGCAAATAAACATACAGAAATCGAGGAGGCTCTCAAAATGATTGCGTGTCTTTGTAACAACGTGAAACAGAGAGAGAATGTTTAAACGGAGCCTACTTTACCGCTTTAAAAAATAACACGAAAGAATTTTTACATTCTCGCTGTTTAATTTCAGAACCGAGAGATGGGCATGATAGCGCGCGTGAGGCGTCGCGTCCGCGCGAACTCGCTGACGGTCGACAAGGAGAAAACGGCACAAAGCGTCTGTCTTCTAAGCGCGGTGCTTCTTCTGCCCTATTGCCCACGCGGCCCGCTGCCACTTTTACCATCGCCTGCGCCGGTCCTATATTCAGCCCTCGTCCTGCCGGTCGTTTTAAGCGCGAATTACAGATATCCGGTCCCGACCCTCAAGACTCTCGCCGAGGCGGCTAAAGGTACGAACGGATACTCTAACACTGATCTCGCTACTTTTTCACGATAATTTCCCAATCTCGTCTCCGGACTAAATTGATTTTTCGACTTTAGATTATTTTCATCTCATCTTTCTTTTAGATTTCTGAAGTCCGAAATACATTTTTATAATAATGAGAATTATTGATACTGCGACGATTATGCATAAAGCTATATACGATACTCGTGTCAAATAAAATTTTCGCGATGTAACAAATAATTAATCAAAATAAGAAGAATAAAATGAGATCCATGAACTTATTTAAAATATAATGTGAACTTGTAGGGGTTGATAAAAAACTAATACGATTTATTTAAAGTCAAATATAAAATATATTCCAAAGCTTATTTAAAATATGTATATATTTTAAATAAAATTGATTTAAACTAAAACGATCGACCTCTGATTGATACGATTCATTTAAAATAAAAAATATAATAAGTTCTGAAAACTTATTTAAAATAATAAATACTAAACAACTCTTTCATTTCTTTTATTTAAAATATATTTTTTAAATAACTATATTTTAAATACCGAGCCCTAATAGAGATACATTCGATGTCCGACTAATATGAATATAATGTTATAGAATGTCAATATTCTTCCGTTTTCAATTATTTGCCAATACATACTTTGGATTAGTGGATATTAAAGGCTGCTTTATATAAAATATCTAAATATAGTGATATCATTTTGACAATATAAAATAATACACATATTTTGTTAAATTACGTGACAACATCATTACTTTTAATTTTTAAAACATTCATATGTTTTAACATTTAACTTTACTAATTTTATGTATTATGCAGCTTTTGGTATACACTAATTCAATGTAACTTAAGTGTGTAACTAAATTCGCTATTAGTTAACGTATGTAACAGTTAACAGTTATAAGTAGTTATTTCAAACATATAACGTTTCTTCAAGAAAAAAATTATGAAAGAAAAAACCAAGAACGTCGGTTGTTGTTTTAAAACACGAAATACATACATATATATATATATATATAATTTTAACGACTCTATTAGCATTCTACAATATACGAGTCTAATAATTTTATGTAACTAATCATCGATCTCTCTCGAAAACGAATAAAATATAGAATTCTTCAGCTCTTGGCAGCATCTGCTAAAGTTCAATTTTATATGAAACTATACTATTAAAATTACATTTTTTAAAAACACTTTTAAATTCAAAATTTCAAATCACAAATAAATTCACTTTCCAATTAACACACATTTAAATCCTATATAATAATTCAAAAATAGCGCGCCGATTTCAAACTAAGACAGCGCCGGTTAAAATTGAATTTTACGTCAAACTACTGCAAAAAGTTAACTGTTTTTAAAATAATATAAATATATACTAGGATTTAAAATCATAAATAATTCACTCTGTAATTAACAGCATTTAAATTCAACATTAATAATAGCACCGCAGATTTCAGTCTTACAATCAGCTAAATATTAATGATATATCGAAACGAATATAATTAAAATATTGTACTTATTGTTAATGCATAATAAAATTTATAGTATTACAGTGATTTTATTAGTGATACGGTTGAAATTGCAAAGATATAATAATAGCGAATACGATTCAAATTATAATCAAGTAGTGCAGAAGTAGCGTTGCACAAACGAGGAATTGCTGTAGGGTCACGTGATCCTCTCGCAACTCACCTGAACTCTGGAATCCTCTCGCTGTTGGTGAATGTTTGATTCGCGTCTCTAATCGGCGATGATCCCTGTCGTGTTGACGCCAAGTCGTTCAATGCTCGGTCGGAGACAGAGCGCTGTTAGTTTTATAGGTAGCAGAGGCCCTCCTGGACTCCAATCGGGGGATGGGAGATCCTTCGGTTGCCATGTGAAATCCTACGGGTTCCACCGCTATATCGCCTCCACAGTATCTGTCCTTGTCTCGTCCTGCTGCCATGTCGTCGGTGACTCGTCCTGACTGACGTCCATTAATATGCAAATCCTCTCTCGATCGTCGGTTCTCTCTGGGACTCGTTACTAAAAATGAAGTCGATCATTCATCGAAGCCACGTCAATTACGTTATACTCAATTAACGGTGGCTGATGGAGGCGCTCTCTCTCTCTCTCTCTCTCTCCCCTCCCTCCTTCTCCCTCTCCCTCTTTTTCTGTCTATCTCTTTCTCAGCCTCCCCTTTTTTTCTTCCTTTCTCTTTTGCACGCGCTCGCGCTCATCAGCTGGCAACAAGTTCACGATTATTAACGTAAAGCACGCCCTGTCATGTTATTCAGCAACTTGTCATCCTCCGATAAAACCCTCAACAGGGGGTTGGTCGCTGCCGATCAGGTCTACCTCCGGAAAATCACTCACGATGACGCGTTCCTATCTCTCGTTTTTACTCTCTTTCTTCTTCGGGGAAGCGAAAGACGATGAGAAAGAGCGAGACAGAAGAGTAGAGGAGGTGGAGGAAGAGGAATCTATTCCCCGTAGCGAATGCATATCAATGTTCTCGTGTTTAATAATAACGAGATGTCGCATGTCTGTGCATTTCTTTTTTACTCGCCTCCGCATTCTCGCCGGCGCAAATGACCGTTAAAAGGATAATTTTCTTCGGTAATTACGAGGACGGTAGCAACTATAAACGATTTTTGTTCAATCATTCAAGAATTCGTCGACGGGGCAAGTTGCAACTTTTACAAATCGCCTCCGTCAACTGGCCGATTTGTAGCCTCAAAATGTGATTATTATCGATAGAACGATTGGGTTTCACGCTTGTCTCGATTACTTGTGATCTTTGTCCGATAGCGAACGTAAATAGCAGCGTATAGACATTTTTTTTGTATATAGGCGAATAATTTTTTTTTTTATAGAAGCCAATATAAAAATTGAAGTAATCGATCTGCGTTAGTTACTTCATCATGCCGGTGTAATGCACGAGAGATCCCGCGTCGACTTGAGCTATAACAGTAAAAAATTGCCTTTCGAGAATCCGCGCTTCTTAAGTTATAATTTGAAGGTATAAATTAAGAAACTTTCTTCAACGTTGTAATCTCAAAGTATAAATTAAAGTTATTAATCGCTCCTTCAAACACGGGAATATTCAAAATTTGTCGTTGTGAACATTTTCGAATCTTAAACACCAGTCTCGATATCTCTAAGGCGCGATATGAAAAACTTGCAGTGAACATCGATCTTCTTCGTGTTGTATCAGTTTTTTTTTTTTTTTTTTAAGCGTAACAAATAGTGGACGCACAGAAAACAAAATTAAATCGGCCCTTATATCCGCCAGGTAGCAAGCTAACGTTATTTATCATCATTTTGGCTTCAAAATAACGATAAATCATATTTGTTTGGTATCTGGATATTGAGGCAAAATATTCTTTATTTTGTGTGTCAGAGTATATATATAGAAACAAATCTCTTGTTTTATATTAAGATAAAAATCTTTCATTTTACTGACTATAATACGATGTTAAAGGTGGAGCCAAGAGAGCATGGCATCCTCTGAACTGCTTCCTGAGACGATTATATGCACCGGTGGACCGCGCGGAGAATCTCTTCCTGAAGATGCGCAATCTCTCCGTCATGGCGAACCAGATAGTGTTCCTGATCTTGGCCGATAAAGTGTTGTTGCCGCAGCAGAGGTTGACCTGCTTGTACACGCTTATGTTCTACAACGTGATAGCCTATTGTGTGAGCTACATCAAGGAGTTGATCCAAAAGGAGGATTGGTCACCATACGTCACCTTAACTGAGCGATCTAAGATCAAGCATCTCGCAATGTCGGCCACCAAGATCGTGCTCGAGTGGACCAAGGCGGTAACATTCGTCGTTACGTTGACCTTCATGCTTCTTGTATTCGGACTGGAGCAAGGCCTCGATCATTACAAGTGAGGAACTTGATTGAAGAGGAATCAATCCTCTTAATCTATATATAGTAATTAAGAATATCTATCACAATTTCCTTTGCTTGTTATACGTGCAATTAATCCTTCTGAAGTAATGCATTTTTCACTTATACTAATTTCACAAGATTCCTGTAGAAAATGTAAAAGTGATAACGAATAAGTTACTATAAGTCTTAATGAGTAATAAGTGTCGATGTCGTTAATTATTACGCAAATTTTTACCATGTACAATGTGTGGTCCGCAATGGCGGTAGCAGTAGTAGATGAAACTGTAAAAGTAAAAAATTGACCAATCACAGTCGAATGTGAAAAACATGCTCAACTATGATTGGTCAATTTCTTATTCTTAATCTCATCCATTTATATTGCTACTGCCATTGTAGACCATGCATAAAATCGTAATTATATTACTGTCGTTAAGACTATTAAAAATTACAGAATAGGAACTAAAGTTTGTGCAAACTTGTCCTTAATTGTTGATCAAAGGGTGAGGAATTTAAGGCGTTATAATAAAGTCTTAGTAGAAAAATTTACAAATTTTGCTGTAAATTATGCAAATTTTTACTATTTTTAATTTAACGTACTTATACATTGATAGAAGTGTTAATATATTAATATATATAAATTGAATGATGATGTTCGTAGACTCGTAAGATTTAAAATCATAGAAAGTGACAATGCCTACTCGAGTCATTGTAACATATACTTAATATATTAAGTATATGTTAAGCTTTATTTAACATTTTATATTCTTTATGGATTCATAAGATAATTTCTTTATTAAAATATTTCTTTTTCAAAGAAAATTAACAATTTCGATTTATGATAAGTATGATCCATTCTATTCTACATTATCCTTCTGGCCCTTTAATTATTTAACGTCTTATCAATTTGCAGACCTTCATTGATGTATACGATGATTACGTGGATTTATTATTCAGCGACGGAGAAGGTCTTCGTCGAGATGTTCCCAACCATCCTGGGTTTCTTACAGCTAGAAGCATTGGAGAACATCGAGAATCTGTACGCGCCGGTGATACTCCGCTGCTTTACGATCGCCATGTCAGCAATCTTTAGCATTCTGTTATTGCCATCGGCCTCTTGGAGGTTCCTAATGGTTGTCACGTATTTGAACGTGTATCTGCGATGGAAGGAACTGATGGAGAATTCAGGCGCGGTGCTGCGACGAGAACGTGAAGTGTTGAATCGCTACAGGAAAGCGACCCTTGAAGAGATCGAGAGATTTGATGACGTGTGTGCGGTGTGTCTGTGCGGTATGACGAAGGCCAGAGTGACACCCTGCCATCATCTCTTCCACGCGGATTGCCTGCGACAATGCTTGAAGACCAGCGATAAATGTCCCATGTGCAAGCGCGAACTCAAGTTCGACTAAATAAACGACACGGGGAATATACCCTTTTGATTGCCTCCAGAAAGATTTACGAGATTCTCAAAACGCGCCGTTGAAGAAGACGAAGAGAAGAGAGACGTATACGGATGACATTTCGCGTATGGAAGATTTACGGCGTCTTTCATATATTTGGATTTACGACGTCATTGGCGTCGGAAGAATTTACGGCATTCTTTTCGTATAAAAAGGATTGAAAAAAAGAGCTTTAGAAAAGATTTAAAATGAAACTCTTGGACGTGTGTATTATTCGAAAAGAATCAACGAAAAGAGAAAGTTTGCGATATTATGGAAACATCGATAATATTCGCAACGCATGGAATGCATGTTCCTTTAGATATACATTACTGTGATATAGATCAGCAGCACTGCGTAGCTTATTATTGTTAGGATTATCGGAGATATACAATAACTTTACTATCATATTGGTCAATTCGTGACCAACACGTAATTTATAACTTTAATGTAACCGGCGAATAAAAATACGCTTATTTTGTATTACTATCCTGGTAAAAATGTTTCTTAGAATTCTTCATATAATTTTTTAGAATTTTTATGTAAATTTCAGAATTATTAAAAAATTTTTTATATAAATTAGAACTTTTTTATAAAATACTGAGAAAGTCTAAATCTTTTCCAGAATTTTTTATATATGTGAATTTCTGACATTCTGATGTTTATGAATATCTGAAATATTCTGATATTTGTAAGATTTCTCATTCTTTCATAATTTTTAAAGAAAATTTATAAAATTTAAAAAAGCTCAAGATACTTTTTCAGAAATCATCTTAAATTTAAAAAATATGATAAATTCTTAAAGATATTATGAGATATTATGAGAATTTTTTACCAGATCTTTCTACTTTTCGTTACATCGTTAATATAATATCTATCGAGGAAAACTGTGAATTGCGTTGTTTGCACTATTTGTAAAACATCCTTTTTGTTGCGTTTTACATGAATTGTGTATCCCTATTTTTTTTTTTATGTATCTAAACAGCTTATTACAAATATGGAAAATTGTTTTGCAACAAATGGTCGATAGAGTAAATAGATTTTAAAATATTGCAGTTTTGTATGCTACAATTTGTTTCTTAGAAATTGTAATAAATAAGCTTGTAAAAGCTGTATGATAATGCAATTAAGAAATCAAATAGTATTAAAAGATTGCTCTCTTTTGACTAAGTTTTAATTCTCATATTTGAGAGAAATACTCTAAAGAAAACTTTATTTTCTCAGGAGTTATAGCAGATAGAATAAGTTCTTATATTCCACTGAAGCTCTCATTATCTTATAATATAACATAGGGTAAAGTATACAGTGATTGACCATTTGCTACAAATTTGCCTACATTTTAAAATCCAAGTCAAATTAATAGCTAATTTCACAACATAGTATAATAACTGATCTTTACTAACTTCATATATAAATAAAATATTCTATTTATAGTCTGTTTTTTACAAGGTAGACTCATATATACTTATAGATCCAGGCAGATAAAAATTTGTAAATATTAATATCTTTTTAAAAACTTTTAACATTTCATTAAATTTATTTCTTTTCATTTTCTGAATTTTTCTTCTTCATTTTGATGGTTTTTATAGTAATAGTCAATCACGGTCAACAATAACTATCACTGTGATCAATAACTATCATTTTCTAAATAAAAGTTTCTACTGTTGAAAAAAATAAAAAACATGATTTCATTCAAAAAGTTTTTTGTATTTGAACATATTCTTTGAACCTTACTTAACGTTTGCTTTGCATCAAATATGAATTTCAAATAATTTCAATAGCGATTACAGTGATTATATTAAATTGCAGTACTTAAGTGATCAATCACTACACACTTTACCCCATGTTTTTTTTTTTTAGAATAATTTGTCGTTTATTTATACAGTAAATCTTCTCGAAAAAATTTTTTTTCTTATATTAAAATATTTATTTGCTTCTATCGCTTTCTATATTCTATTAAATTCATGTAACACTATTAAATGTACGAATCCAGATTTCAAGCTCGAAATATATGTTTTATTTGTATTCTTGACTTTTGGTAGTAAAATCGTTTGATGTAAAAAATCCACCTTTTTTACAGCAAAAAAAACTCATTCTTCTCCATCAAATTTCCGAGTGGTATTTGTATATTCTCCATCGGGATTATCATAATTTTCTATTGGAGGCGTTTTTAATGGTCCTTTCGCTGTATGTGGTAAAAACTCTAAATCCAGCTAAAACATACACAGATGCATGAATTTAAACCATGCTATAACATTCTTATACAAAATTGCTTACAATTATGACATAAAAATAATCATGTTCAGTTTAATTTCTTGAGTAAATTAAATAATTAATTACTTGTATTGCTTCTTGATATAAGTCTTCTGATTCTGCTCTTAGTTCATCAAGTGCTCTTTGCTGTGAATAAAAGATAGAATCTATTGTCTGAGTGTTAGCTAAATGTTGTTGAGTTTTGAATTTAGTCCAATCTTTTTGCAATAAAACTCTAGATTCTGCTTCCTCTTCTGATATCGATGGAAGCTTTCGCAGTCGTTGTCTGAAATCAGTTTCTAGTTAATAATTACAGGCATAAGAACATTATAGAAATTAATCATTACATTTGTCCTGCATACAATTTATTTGCATAGAAAACTTACTCCTTTTCCTTTATCAATTTTGATGACACTTCTATCTCACTGATTGGTTTCAACTGCTTAGCTTGCTTTTGTAATCTACGAATTTGTTTTTCTAACTTCCTCCGTCTTCTTTCTTCTCGTGCCCTGATAATCGCAGGATCCAATCTCTTTTTTTTCTTCAACGGTTCTCCTCTACAAAATAAATAAAAAAGGGTTACAATGCTTGTAATTATGCCATAATGTATGCAACAGATGTTGCAAGAAATTTGCAATGGTAACTTACAAAAGTACACTGCTGACTCTGAAGTACAGTGGATCGGTACATACTGATATGTTTCGTACGCCAGATATAGCGTGTACCGACAGTCTGAAAGAAAAACAGCAGATCAATTTTCGTACAAGTCTTCTATCAAACTTACAAAGCCAATGTACAATTTACAGTCACAATGCAATTCTCTTATTAAAACCCAGTTAGTTAAATTATTACCTAGATAATAATTTATTTCGACACTAAATTTAGATTAACATTATTATTTAGATAATTAGAATGTCGTAATTACCGCGACAAAGCAGGTAATAAATTTAAGACACTCATCCTCATAGGATAACCTCCTCACGGCATTCACTTCACTTCAATTCACTTCCTTTTCGATAAAAATATCGCACAAATGTCGCAAAATTGGTCGCAGAAGCAGCAGTGTCGCCGTAGCAATATTCTCCCTAGTCACTAAAATCCCTGCACGTGTCGTAAAAATACAATCCATGCATGATTACGTGTTCATCACGTGATGTGGATACCCACGTGCGGTGTCACGTGTTATATGTGTTCGGTGTTGCCTTGACAACAGTTTGACATTACATTGAATCGCCGCAAATGTTGTACTATGTACACATATGTTAATCACTAAGCAGAATTCAGAAGAAAAAAGGAAATAATTATCACAATGACGGACGAAGTGCGACCAGAGGTGATAAAGAAAACACAGGACTTGCTTGGGAAATATTTCAAAAAGCCGCCATTGACCGAGAAACTACTCCGCAAGCCGCCTTTTCGCTTCCTCCACGATATTATAACAGCTGTAATTTATCACTTATGCACAATTTTAGATATTGGAATATATTCTTTAATTCTTTTTTTTAATTTGTTTTATCCTAAATTTATTTAGAGAATATATAAATTTATAATATATAAGTCCTGCCTGTATTTAAAGTACTGCATCTAGCAAAATTCGTTTCAGACTATTAAAGAGACTGCTTTCTTAGAAGGATTATTTAGCGAGGAAGAGCTAAATTCTGATAATATAAAAGACAAGGAAGCTAAGCTCGCTTTTTTGACAAAACTTATTGATGTCATCAGTGAGTATTTAATTTTACTCAACTGTTATGTTCTATCACTGTGTGTGTATGTGTGTGATATGATACCTAAATTACATATATTATATGATATATATTGTGTTATTAGAATTGATCTCGGGTGCTAATTTAATGGTCAGAGCAAGTAAAATCGTCTCTGGTCAAGAGCCTACAAAGACAAATGAACTGTTACAAGCCATTGGAAAAGCTCTTGATAAGAAAGTAATATATTTTGCTGTTTAGGTAGAAAATCACTTTCAAAATAAATTAATAATATATTTATTTATTTAGGTCAGTAGCAGGGAGGCAATTGAACACTATAAAAAAAACTTAGAAAATAAATTAAAGGGTGGATCAAAGACAAAAAGATCCACAACTAAAGAGGAAACATCGAAGAAGCCTGCATCAAGGCAGTCTTCGCAAACGAGAAAATCATCGGAGAAAGATAAGATCTCAGCGGAGCGAAAGAAAAGATCATCTAGCACAGGAAAAGTAGCGTTGAGTGAAGCAAAACGTGATAAAGATGAAAAAACCGAAGAGAACAAAACAAAAAAAGGAAATGATTTAAAGAAGGAAAGTTCGAAGAATATCGAGGCCATAGATATCCCACCAGCTGAAGTAAAATTTTAAATATCGCTTAAATTAGTGATGCGTAACCATTTTTAAGATCATTTTTTAAAAGCTACTTTTAGAAATAGGTAAAATTTTTCGGGCCACATAATATTTGTATAAAATAGAAAATATTCACATTTTTGGCTGAGTTAACAGACCGCAAAAGAATTACATTAAAAGTAAGCCGCAGGTTGTATATCACTGACTTAAACAATACAGTTTTTTAAACAAATACTTTTAAAGTTCTGTTTCTGTTTTGTTTGAAATTCACAGACTGTTTACTCCTGGTTTTATAATTAAAAAAATTTTTTTATCTTTTCTCACAAGTATGTGTTTCAACGTGTATGTACTCACACATTTAAAATGCATCTTAATTTTATAATATTCGCAGCCAGTTCAAAATAGAGTTCCTACTTCGGTGCAAAGAAGAAGGCCTTCTTCGTCTGCCAAAGTGAAACAAGATGCCATGATTTTAGCAGATACTAGTGATTTAACGAAGGAAGAACAGGTACGATATAGAAGTACCTTCAGTAGAAAAAAATGCTTGGTACAAGTGAATAGGTCACAAGAAAAAATAGAAAATATATCTTTACAGACATCTAATAATGAAAATAAACCAGTGACGAATAATTATACTAAAGAGATTAAGGAAAATGGAATAGAAGAGGATAATGCATGGCAACAAAACGTTGGAAAAAGCGATCAACCATCAGAGCTTGCAGGATCTCAAACAGAAACTACTGAAATGAGGTAATGCTCAGTTCTACAAATTCATTGCTGATAACCAAATGATACAGAAGTGTGTGGTAGTAATATTAAACTTAAATTTTTGTTTTAGCGTTTTACAACAAACGAATGCGAGACCTAGAACATCTTTAAGACCACCTAGTGCCAGGCCCATTAGTGCCAGACCAGCAGCTCCCAGAATGAGAGCAAAGACAGAGATAATAGTCAATGAAGAAATACAGTAAGATTACAATTTAATTTATATTAAACAAAAACTCATTTATAAGTAATTTCAAAATACGATTATAGAACACCATTAGGAAATATCAGCGTCATCGTAGAGAATTCCGATTTGAAGGATGACGATGACGATGATGCAGAAGATATGGTAGTGATGGAAGCAAAAGGAAGTGGCAGTGATCTTTTAGAGAATGGAGATTATAAAATAGACAATCACCTGATGCAAGAACATGGGCATCTTGTGGCTCAGATCTTAGAAACTCAGAGAGAATTAGTCAACACAGATAATGTTGATGTATTGCCGAAGAAAGTCGATATTGTAAGAATTAGAAAGTGTTACTGTTACATCTATTTTTACGCTATATTGATTTTTACTACAGCAATTTTATAACAAAACGTTGAGTAAATTATCATTGAATAAATGCATTTTAATTCAGGCGTGGGAATCAGGTTCGAAACGTGACCGAGAAACAGCAGCTAAAGAAATCGATAAATTACGCGGAACTATACAAACATTAACACGAACGACAAATCCTTTGGGAAAATTGTTGGATTATGTACAGGTAATATATACGAGTATATATACATTCACACGCATTCTTATACTATCGATGTCTCCTTATGAAATTAAATTTAATTAGGAAGACGTAGAAATGATGGAAAAGGAATTATTGGATTGGAGAAATCAATATCGTCAATTAAGCGAACAATTGGAAAAAGAACAAAAGTACGTAAAAAAGTATATAAAGTACTTAAGTACATAAAATTGACAAACAATTCAAATAATTCTTTATTCCAAAAATTAATATGGAAATTTTTTAGAGAAACTGAAGAAATGATAGAACCTATGAAGGACACATTGAAAGAAATTAATAGCAACATGGAGGCTCAGTTAAATAAAATACGTCAAGTAAAGGCGCAAATTATGAAAAATGATCAAAAGATACGGCGATTACTTAATGGTAATTTATAATGTAATTATATCGCTATATAATTAGAATGTAAATATTTTTATAAATTATTATGAAGTGCATAATTAATTATTTCATCATAAATCATATAGCTTTGAAGAAAATTCTCTGTATAAATAGAATTTTGTGTATAAAATTTTCTTATTGTCAGTTATATAACTATAACATTTGAATATATAATATCTATATATTTCTTTTGTAAATATTATTTATATATATTAAAATATAGATGAACTTTTAGAAATTTTACATAATAAAATTCTTTTCCCTAAAACTGTTTGATCATAAAAGTACAATAAGACATATTTGCACACAATTTAATGAAAAAAAAAATTTATTTTCACTTAACAAAAATCAAATGTTATAATACTTAAATGTACCCCATTTTATTCTTCTAGTTTACTTTTTCATTAGAATTTAAAAAAAGTTTTGTTAAATTTCATATTTATCCTGTAAGTCTGTGATTTCTTTCTTAGGTATCTTTTCTGACGTATTACAATATGAGAACATCAGCTTCAGATCTAAAAATATTTTTAGCCAGTATTATTTTTATATCCATCATATAGAGAAAATATGCAATATTATACACACCTTGTTTTTCAGAATTACTGATGAACATAGTAAATGCTCTAAATCTCTTAATATTACTGAGATCTTTTAAATACGAAAATATAGGTTCCTTCCGTTTCATAAATTCTGTTTTGAGTATTGTTAAGATATCACTAAAGATATCAGTTTCCATTGAATCTTGAAATATTTTAGGTAAGCTACCTGATGGTATTTGCTAAAAAAGAATCAATATAACTCATACTCTTTATATCAAAAAATTTGTTACTTACCTTTAAATATCTGTATCGCAAATCAAACGAGGTGTACTTTTTCCAATTTATTAAAAACTGCACTGCGGAGGCAGGGATAGGAGGTATTTCTTTGCAATTTTCAATAAAGTTTTCTTCTGGTTTACATGTTTCATTGCTTTTCAGTTCTATTTGATTGTTACTACATATTACTTTGATCTCTTCTTTAAAAGATTTACTTAAATCAGCCTCCTGCACAGGTATCCTTTTCAATGGCTCCTAATTAAAATCAAAATTTAATTATATTGCTACGAATATATATATATATATATATGTATATATATAATATATCATAAAATAATTAAATAACAGACTAAATTTACCTTTGAACGTAGATGTGGAGGTTTATCAATAGGTTCTACGACTTCAACTTCATTCTTTTCAGGTAGCCAATCTGGAATGCGTTGATCTTTTTTTGGTTCTTGTATATTTGTTGGACTTGGTTGTACAGTTTTATTATCTACATTTACGCTATTCTTTTTATTTTGATCTTCCTTAGCATCAATTACTTTTTTACTTATATTTTTATTATCAGATTCATCAGTTGTACGTATGTTTTTTTTGGACATAAATGACTAAAAAAATATAGAAATGTATGTAAGTAATACAAACATTATATATATATTTATAAAATATATAACTATCAAAATTTAAATCTCAATAATTATAAAAAATACATACATTTCCAAACTGCTTTTTAATTTGGTTAAGCAAGATTTCGGTTTCCTTGGTGTAAGGTTCTAAATCTGTAATCTTCTTTACATCTTCTAATGCTGCATCAAATTGTTTTAATTCTAGTCTAGCCGTTACTCGTCTGTGATAAGCTTTTACATAAGTTTTATCCAAAAGTATCGCAGACGTGCAGTCTGCTTCTGCTGAATACAACCTATAATGTAACAACGTTCAGCAGCTGTTATAAGTAAATAATAGAAATTAATATGATCTATTTATCACAATATGTGGTATAAAATTTACCTGTCTTGTTTTAAATAACAAAGTGCACGATTAGCATAAAAGATAGCATCATAAGGAAAAAGTTTTATAGCCTCGCTATAAGAAGCGACCGCTTTATCCCATTTCTTTTGCTTCACAAAGTCATTGCCTTGCTGCTTGTACCCTATCGCTTTATTGTGATCCTTCTGAAATTCGTCTTCGGACAAAGGCTCATCTAAAGACTCGTCAGATTGTTGTCCATCTTCTAATTCCTTGCATGCTTTTTCCTGTACAATAATTTGTTATAAATTAATTACAAATTTTCAGATAAAAACTTGCATAACTTCAAGTTACGCAAATGACATCACTAACAACATTAAATTTATCCCACGATGTGTAGTCATATGATTTTATTCGTTTAGAATCTTTAGATGTCTTGTCTTTTTTTACCGAACATTTTTTCTTTTTATTCTTGCTTCTAATAGGTGGTATAATTTGCTGAAATGTATAACATATCTTACTATTAAGTATAGATATAAATTATATTCAAATTTCTCTAAAGACTTAGTCAAAATAAGATCTTAGGTCAATAAACTCGTGATACCATTATTTCTTTCTCAATATTATTCATCAATTTGATCTATTTACTTTTTTCTATTTAAGCAAATACCTGTTCATTTTGTTCATTTAGTATTTCTTGTTCCTTCCGTTTTATTTGCTCCTCCCAATTTTTCAAGTCTAAAAATTCACTCCGTAAGTCCTCCGAATTATCCCGCACCTGCTTTTGCATTAATATTGAATTGTCATGCTCCATGATAAAAAGAAATTCATAAATTGATAATAGTGTTTCGTATTGCGCTTCACTTCGCCAATGCCAATAACGAGTTGTTTATTGTTCCAACTGATTAATAATAGGAGTCGTATGACTTTAACTCTCTTTGAGGTTATATGCTGCTTTTAAAACTATGTTCTTAATATTTAACAATTTTTTTAAATAATCTTGTTAAGTAAACACAGCTTCCAATGTTAGGTTATATCAGGTTATATATTATAATTAAACCTACTTGATCCTCACATGAAACTCATGCTCATGAGAATTATTGATTGGCTACAGGAAAGAGAAGTTGTCGGATCTCTTTATCCTACAGCCAATCAATGAATTTAAAATCTTTGTCGTACGACCAGAGAGAAACCTGAGAGCGGCCATGGAGGCCTTTTTCTTGTAATGCTTCTAACTGCCCGTACACTAGCGGCACCAACGTCTGCGGGAACTACGTACCACGTCCATTTTCGTGAACCGCCATCTCGCCGATAAAATCGTATCGTCGAAAGTGGACGTGGTTCGGGTCCGTGTTAAATCAGGATAAAGAAGATTTGCTCAGTATGAGTGAGCGCGACAGCTCGATACGTCCGTTCTTTTCTCGTTCGGCAACCTTTGACGCATCGAGAGAGAGCGAGACAGCGAGACGCTACGTCACGAACGTCCCGTCCTTCTCGCTCGGTCGCTTGTTTCGAGCGACTAAAAATGTTTTCTCGGAGATTTCGAGGTCGACCTCATTTTTTTAAATGGAATTATATGAATTTTTTCACTATATATGATTCCTCTAATTATTCTGTACATAAAAGTATCAAGGTAGAGATATAAAAAAACCAATAGTTTACGAGATATTTTACATATTCTTTTGGTACATAAAATGTTTAATAACTCGTGAACTATTGACTTTTTGATAATCGTACCTTAATGCTTTACGGGGCTGATATTTTATCGGTCGACAATGCTTTTCAATGGCTGCAGAACAGAATGATTCTCAGATTATCTATTCTTGAAAAGAAACGTATATGTATGAGAAATCAGAGAAATACTAATACAAAGTTTATTAATGAGTTCTCAAAAATAAATTTTTGAATTTTGTATATCTTCTAATAGAGTAATCAAAATTGCTGACTTTTAAGAAACTTGAAATCAAATATTCAAACAAATTAATTTCACGAATTTTGTCTGTTAATACGTGTCTGTATAAAAATGGAAGTTGAATAATTAGGAAGTTGTTTTTTTTATGTTAACTTAGCCCGTTCTTACTAAATATATGTATAGTTATTAGTAATTAGTACATAGAGATCTTGAATACATTTAAAACTTTTCCAATCATATATTGTGTGACAGTTTAAGGTTTTATTTAGCAAAAACGAGCTAGAGAGGCCCTCCACCACCCCCGTCGATTTTATCGGCGGTCCTCTTTTCATTATAAATTATACTTACTCGTAAAAAACGGACCATCGTAAATGTAACAACAGCCTGTTTTTACTTATAAGTATATTTGTTGTTTTATATTTTTATATATATTTTTTATTTTTTTTTATTTTTTATATACATTTTAAATATAATATTTAATGCTATTTTTGGATATAATTCTTTATTCAATTTAATAATATAATAATTATAATATGTACAATAATTATGTGTATATTACAATAACAGTGACAATATATAATAATAATAATATTTACAATCATAGATAATATATACAATATAAATGCTGTTCAAAATACATGAAAAATCATATTAAGAGAGAACATAATTAAAAAATTACATTATATAATATAATAAAGTGGGATTATACGAAAACGTCGAAAATACGTATAAGAACACATAATTTTATTAAATGTATAGTTTCTAGAAAATACTTATAAATGAAATTAATTAAACATTAGCAGTAATTGAATCGTATTTGTTTTTATAACTCTTGACTTATTATAAAATTTATTAAGTATAAAATCTAATAAAATTTAATATATTTATCTTGTGATGCGCGCTGGTTAATATCCGATACAAAAAAGAAAAATCTTCATAGTAGGGAGCGAATTTAATACATTCCGTTTCTACGTCAAATTCATAAAATCTATTCGCAAAGAAAAGTTAAGCAATCCGTCAAACAGCGACGGTCTTGTTATGAGATTTTGTTACAGGTGTGTGAATCTCGAATTTTCCTGACCGTTTATGTGATAATTTTAGCAGCGTGTCAATTACAATTACCATTTTTATCGCATCTTTAACATTATATTAAAATTTGTATGCAAGAAAATATATGTTCTGCCATTACTAAAAATTGTAATCTTTTATTGAAAATGAATGGATAGAATGATTTCCTTGTTGAATAGTAGTTACGAAGGAATATATTTAATAATAATAAAATACACGTATTACTGTAATCTCTTATATGTGTGGATACAAAGTGTCTCGGGTACCAACTGTTCGAGATGAGCCGAACCCAATAATAGTGGGATTTTAAAGAATTATTTTCTATTATTTTATATTGAAATAATTATTATATAAAATGTGACAATATTTCCTGCATATATTTCAGGCTAAACATTTTAATTATTATAATCCCGCTAATATGAGGGTACCCATTCGACTTATCTCGAATTTTCTGTATCCACACTTTTTTAATCAAATTCATGTATTCATGATACCATTGTTGAAAGAGTACAAAACATTTTGGTTTATCTAAGTTGACACAAAAATCAAAATTTGTTAAATATAATCTTATAATACGTGCATGCATTTTATTATAAATATAGATATATAAACATATTAGAGAAGCTGCAATTAATTAATTAATTAATATCCTAGAATAGCGGGATGTCCAATACCTGAAAATAATTTTTAAAACAGTTAACTGTTAGAGCATTTAATATATACATTCGTAACTACATTTTTATTAAAACATAAGTAAAAAAAATTGAAGTAAATCATTTGTATGAAATTTGAATGTATAAACAAATATATTATTATATATCTATAAGATACTAAAGTTTTATTGTCATTAAGACAGTATTGTTACTAGCATTATTACTAATAGGAGAACATTTAGTAAAATTAAGAAAGCGAAGAAAATTGTTTTCTAAATTATACCACTAAATTAATTCGTAACTTAATTTTAAAATACATATCGTAGATAATATAATTGTAATTGACTCATTGACAAAATTATTTCTGCGCGAGAACTGCTTATAGAACCTTCAGGATTAATTCCGATTTTGTAACAAGAATCTCCAACGGAACCAACTACACTTCGCAAATAGATTTTACAGAAAACAACGAAGAATAATGCTTCATTATGAAAATAATTTCGATTTTCCATCAGTATATGAACCAGGCATTTACTGACAATTATCTGACGGAGATACAATAATGAGACCCTTACATATAAAAAAATTAATCACCAATGATAATATATTTTTATAATTCTGTAATGTTAAAAATATACTTGTCGAAAATTTTACGAGTGAGAAGTTAATATTTAACCATTGTCTCAATCAAAGCTCAAACTTGTACTACATTTTATTTAATAAAAATAAATCTATATACTAAATGTAAAATATATGTCGATTATTTTTCACCAAAATTAGAAGTAACTTAAAATTGTTGACTTTTTGATATTCAAAATAAAATTCAAATTAAAAAAGAGTTAAAATTACATATGTGTCAAAATCTCTTGTTGTTATACGTTTCGCCGATTTCGTATAATTTGCAGTAACTCAACAAATTGGTGTACTGAGCCAAGATAAATGCTATTAAATTCAGGATATTCAAAAATCCGATATATATTACTTTAATAGTCTAATTAATGTATAATTTATTAGTATAATTGTACAAATTACAAAAATTAATTTGATGGCATTTATCTGGACATAGTTTACATAAATTTTACATTACGCATCCAATACTATAAACATTTATTTACAATAAAATTAAATTACAATTACAACATTAATGCGTTACATAAGTAATATCTGTGTAACATTTTACATTGTTAAATTAAATCTCGATAAAGAGTTGCTGAAAATACAATAAAAAATGTAAAACTATTAATTCATATTATCTTCATATTTGCTAATTGGAACAGAATGCTGATAACTGAATAAAATTTAAAGTTTTATTCAATTTTAGTTCCTTCTTTCCAATTATCAAGTATTGTATGATATCTATGGATGGTTTCGTTTCACGTATGATGCGAATGATGTACCATTTCATCTTTCTTTAGTATTCGGTAAGTGACAAGGATAAAATTATACATCTTGCGCATCGTGTGTGAAACGGAACAAGGACTTATATTTCCCTATTTATATAGTATATTAATTAGCCTATTCATACCTATTGTCCTGCCTACCCGTATTTTTATTTCGTGCCTATTCGCCTATATATCATATAAGCGGGATGACCTAAACGCGATACTAAACGAAAAAGAAAATTTCAGAAATGTAAGAACTCGCAATTTAGATTGCGAGTTCTTATATTTCGACAATTTTACCCTCCCAAAAATGATTACCCTCCCAAATATCAAGAGACACGGTAGTGTCTCGACTCTAAGACCATTTAACTTACATTATATATTTACCTTTGTACCTTTACTGCCTTTGATTGGTGTTACATACCAACCTACCTTTGTAGATCCTCTTCGTCTTCTTTCTTCTGGCCAAATTAAACTAACCTTTTGATGATCTTGGCCAATAATTTCTGGCTTCGTGTACCAGAAATCGATATAAAAAGGAGAAACTCCTTTTTGCCTGCCGACTATCATCGGCAATATAAAATTTTTACGCTTTCGTTGGATGCGCGAAACACGGACGCGTCGCGAAGGGCCATCATATTAATGAAATTAATTGTA